TCTGCGCTCACGTCAACCAGGAAGCATGATGCAAGCTGGGGTTGGGGAGTAGCGGCATTGAACAGAGTAGGGGAGGCGTGAGTAAAGTACTTCTGGGACATCAAGTGGTATGTTTCAATGGCCTTCTCAATATCCTCACCGTGAATTCCCACAGCTACACGCATCAGCAAGTGCTGGGGACGCTCCGCAACATTGCCGCTGATGCGAAGGAGGTATGAACGCTCGAGGGTCTTGAATCCGAAGTAGTTGTAGTTGAAGTCACGGTCGTAGACAATGGCGGAGTTGAGCTCCTCGGCATGCTTCATAACTATCTCGTAGTGCTGCTTTGAGATCATAGGAGCGGGCTTATTGTTCTTGGGGTTCACATAATGGTAGAGATCGGAGATGACCATGGAAAATTGTTTTTTGGTTTGCTTGTGAAGGTTGGAAACGGCGATACGTGCAGCCAGAATGGCGTAGTCAGGATGCGTAACGGTCATGTATGCAGCGGTCTCAGCAGCCTGAGATTAAAAAGGTTAAAATCATCCCACAAGCTGGGGTTCAGTAGTCGAACACACCAAGTTGTCCAACTCGACGGTGCCAACACCCTGGTAGACACCAGAGATGACCTTCTGTGTGATGGCTGCGGCATCAACGTGCTCAGGGTCGAGGCCATAACAGAGTCTTGAGACACGTGCGGTAATCTTGTCGAACTGCACGCGTTCCTTGCGTCCATCTGCGGTTTGTATTTGCGTTAGCTCTCAATCTGAAGAGCGTGGCAAGAACATGTGGTTGTGGCGAGATCAAGGAGGAGAAGCCATCTCCTGCCACTAGTGCCTCTATATATCAAACAGTCATGAATGCACTTACCTCTCTTGTAGACGAACATTTTAAGTCGTGATGAGATGGTAGGGTGCAGAAAAGAATTGAAAGTAGTGGATAAGGGTATCAAGATCACAGAAGCAGGAGAATTGAGAGAGTATTAGGGTATAGAGAAAGGGAGAAGATGAGTGTATGAAGCCCGTAGAGGGGTGTGAGAAGAAGAAGAGATCAGAGGGGCAGAGGAATCTTTGGTTGCCGAGTGGACGCGTTGTCTTTTCGCGTGCCCGCGTTTTTTCAGCTTACCAACATAGGGATCCACCTTTCCGTCCAAACCTCCATCCTGCCTGGCAGAAAACATTTTCTCATACCAGATACAGTTAGCGCAGTGATGCTAGTGATCTCAGCGTGGGTTTGTTAGCGGGTACAAAGAAGGCGGTGTGTACATCGAGCAGGCGGTGAGAAGGGGCCTTGCAGCAAAATTGCCGGTCGCGAGTTATCACGTGAACACGCGAATGATCGCGCATGGATCCACGGCATCCGATGGCCTTCCGCCTAGCGGCCTTAAGGCATTCCAGGCTCAGATGATTTTTTAATGTTACTGCTAAATTGGTCTTGGTTTTTGACAGCGTGAAGTGCACCCCACCATGTTCTGGCCAACAACATTTGCAATACCGAGAGGCTCGATCACAACTTTCGTCACAACTTTGGACCCCTTGCTGCATTACATGTCAAGGTGATAGATCTACATAGTCCTGATCAAGGGGCCAAGGTGAGGACAATTCGTTCTCTTCTACAAGGGAAACGCTCTGGCATCTTTTGGCTATTGATAATATTTGTTTGAATCTGTTTACATCAACCAACCAGCTGATAGACAATTGAGGCAGACCAGGTGATTTCAAGAATTGTGCTGTGGTCAGAAAACAAAGAGCACATTAATCAATGCGAGTTTGGCAAACGAGAAGCTAAAAAAAAAGTTCAAGAGATTCAGATATTGGCATCAGGAGAGCAACAAATTCAAGAATTCAAACCAGATTCCTAAAATAACAGTGATTCAAATCAGATCGAAAGAGCAATTTCAAGGCTAGTAATGTGTGCTCGTATCGATCATTGTTTTAGGCTGCTCTCACTTAATGCTGAGTTATTACAGCAAAGCAGCAGCGCCGAGGAACACCGCAGCAACAAAGGTGGTAGCGGAGAACTGGCGGTCGGACGAAGCGGCGTTGAAGGTGGAAGATGGGGATGCAGCGCTACCAGACTCGGAAGCGGTGCCAGTGCTGACACCTGATGCACCGGCAGCAGCGCTGGTGCCAGTGCCAGTGGCGACGGCAGAGGAGCCAGTGTGAGTGGCAGAGCCAGAGGACACAGCGGTGACGAAGCCGGTGGCAGTAGGGCTCTGAGAAGTGCCGGTAAAGGTAGCGGTAGTGGTGGAAACATCAGTGGCTAAAAGAAGACAATGTATGAGTAGCGGATTCATTGAGATGGCGTCCTCTCGGGGATCTGTTAATCCTTACCAACTTTGTAGCCGAGCTGAGCGCAGTTGCTGGCGAAGAATTTCAGAGAGGCCTCGCTATCGGTACAGTTCTTGGAGATGTCAGACTGAATCTTGCTGGCGCTGGAGCCACAGATAGTCTTCGAATCGGCCGGGTTGGGTTGGTTGCTAGATTATCATCAGCTCGGCGCTCATTCCTTCCATTCCTTTTGCAACACACCCGATGATCTTGAGAACACAGGCTGGGGTCTGCACGGTAGTGGCAGTCGCGACATTAGCCAAAGCCACAATGGCGACGGTAACGATGGACTTGTTGAAGAGCATGGTGAAAGATTGGAAATCGGAGACCGGGAGAGGGAAAAGGATTGTCGGACTGGATTCAAGATCGCACAGCGAGTCTGGGGTAAACGAATGTGTGGGCTAAAGAGCGACTGTAGAGAGAGTGGGAAAAGTGGAAGACAAAGAGTGACGAAGGTGTCAAAGAAGATAAGCTCTCGACCAGAAGGGAAACGGGGGGGGGGGGGGGGAATCGGGCAGTTTCATCACAATCTGGAAGCCACGATGGGGGTCAGGGTCTGTTACATTACACCAAGCGTCTTACAGAGATGTACTACCACTGCTGGCACTATCATAATAAATATACTTTACAGTACCTGTTATATCAGTACAGGTATCTTTAGTTCCCCATGGCTTGAAGCACTTCTCCCAAACCGGTTTAGCGTCAGGGACCTGTCCCCCGGATAAAGGGGGCCTGTCAGTTCGTCTGAGGTGGAAAATATGTGACAGTTGTACTTCTCAAGGGGTTGAATTTGAAAGTTCCCATTAAAAAGCTGAGACTCTGTATCATTCTAGCTAAGACAGAAGTCCTTCGTTTTTCCCTCAATTAATTCATGTGTCTTAAGTGGCCGACGGAGATAAAATTAAGGGCTCGAGCTCTATAAATAGCTTCTATGACTAATGATGGAACATCTTTTGTTTTCAAGTTTCTATAAATTTTTCGGATTTTTCAAGATTTAGAAAGTACGCGAAAGCAGGTATTAGGATTGAAGGCGTACTATCGTCCTTTTCGTCCTGAGCATTTGGTCTGATGTGTTCGGCATCCCGTAAACGACTTCCGTATAGTCATGCCTATTTCAGGAGGTCATAGAAGGTGCTGATAAGCCCAAAGTTCCGGCATAGATCTCTTGTATACAAAAGAGGCTGACCAGTGATCCGTCGGCAATTTTCCTCTCGATGACCAATGTACCTTGTGCTCCTCGACCCACGGAAACTTTGATTCCTAGGAAGTCTTTAGCTCACTTGTTTTTGTAAGACAACAATATCCGGGTATATCTGTATGAGCACTTGTTCTATGTGAGAGTGTGAAGTCACCAACCACTACACTGAGTCTCCGGAGAGAAAGTAGTTCTAGGACTCGGAAAATCAACGATCGATGCTTAAGGGAAACCACAGCGTAGGTCAAGTTTTTCGAGCTTGAAAAGACTAGGTACGTTTACCTTTCATTAATCCAAGGGAGCTGGCGTAATCTCGTGAAGTTTCCGGAGTAGAATCTGTAATAGTTTACTTTTTCCCTAGTAAGGCAAAGTTGCATATCAAATGCTCTGTATTGTCTAGTCCGTAAACTATTATATCCACAATTACAAACTAGCATCTTTGTTGATCCTCTGCATATCAGCCATTTTCAGCCCGATTTGAGAGGTTCTATGATAAATCCACTGATGCCGGCAGACAGCGGAGCCAAAAATCTGACCAAGAACCTCCGAAGGCTTCGAATTAGTTCACCACCTTCCCCTGGGATAGATGGAAAATTGCAGTTGTGGAAGGGGATGCTTTCTCTTAAGCTGGATGGCGTGCTTGTTGGTCTAGTAGTATGAGAGGAGCATGGCGTATGGGCCCGGTCATTTCAGGCTGGTCTCCGCAATCTCCGCCCAAGGCCCGCAGAAATAGGTATCGGCACTGTGCACTCGAGGCACACAGAGTCTCAGAGGTTGCCAGGAGATATCGGAAGCCGAGGTATTGAGGGATTTTCCATTGAAACTATGTAAAGCACTCACACAAAAGCTTGGAAGCGGTCACATAGACCGGCTTTGTTGCGGTGGCCTTTGACTAGAGGATACATCGGTTGGAGATGTACAGCAACTAGTGTAGGTTTGATGCGTTTTCTTCAGTTCATTCTCCAACTGGCATGCCCAGCAAACTGCAAGATGTAGGGCGCTCTCTATGTTCATCTTAGGAAGTAAGTCCTAAAGAGGAGTCACATGTTTCCTGGGCATGAAGGTGATCCTCAGGGGCAAAACTCTCTCCACGACCCTCTTATTATCTCTACCTGCCTCCAATGACCCTTCCAATCAGGATGATAGTCCTGGCCACTCTGTATGTGGAAAATAGTGTCGTAGCCTCTGGTGATATAATCACACCCGAGATTACGTCCTCGGTCAAATCAGTTGGATATATGAAATGGTATACCACTATCTAACTAGGCGTTTACAGTGCGGCTTGACTTCGCAATACACCCCTACTGACCTCGGCGTACTCCTTGGTGCGAATCTACCGGTTTCAGTGGCACGTGAGGTGAATATTGATCCATAGCACAGGGAATTCGCATTGAAAATTTCCAATATCGTGTAAATAGTGATGCTTCGATAAAAGCCCAAAGTTCTATTCCTTAGCTCTATAGATACATGCTGCCTGTTCAGAAAAATTCGCATAATCACTTAGAATAAATGGATGCGTCGCTCGAAAAGTCAACAAACTTGGGCCAGGTGTTTGTGTATACCAGGTTCTTGATAGACTTCTCAGCCTGGTCAAATGCATTGGCCGTGAAATTGTCAGGGATGGTGACAGAATTCAAAACACGGGGCTCAAAATGCATGATACTCTGGGCCTCATGAGGATGCGCATCTGAACACAAGGCTTGAGTGTCTTCCTCCACGATTATCACAGTTGACAACTTCTTTCTATGGGTAGGCATCCAATTGTATGATTCGGGACGACTCCGGTAGGCGCGTGTTTCAGCTCTGCTGAACACAGATTGGCCGATAAGCTGGGAAGCTTCCCCAAACATTTCCCGTAGATCCGAGTAAATTTGAGATTCAATGTTTATAGGGAACTCTGCCAAGTTCATATCGATGCAAGCTGCGTAGATCTCAACTGCGATCTTGAAGAAATGAACTCGGTGATACTCAGGATCCCGGTTCCAATTGTATTCCGGGTTCGATTCACCAACCTTCGCCCATGCAGCTTTCCAGTCGCGCACGTAATTCAAGAAGATGATGTTCTCGCCGCTGAATTCCTTAGCTGCGGCAAATTGGAGAAGAGCACTGGAGTCTTCTTCTAGACACCTCCCTAGAGCCCTTCGGGAATAAACTTCAGGCACGCGACTGGCTTCACTCGGAGTTCGTGATGGTGCTGAATCCAATTTTCCCCCGCTGGCTGCTTTCGTCTCATTCCACTCGTGGAGTTCCTCCAGAAAACGATCTCTCTGCTTCTTGGAGACGATAAGCTCATAGCACGGAAAGAAAATGGTAACAGCTTCCATTGTCATGATACCGGGAGCAAACCTGCGAGGGTTAGTATTTAGATTTTTCTGGATTTGATTATGGACCCTGCTTACCAAAGAGATGGCACCCAGTATCTGTTGATAGCTACCCAGACTTTGGTTGTCGAATAAAGCGCGGCGAACCACATGGGCGAACCCGGTAAACTACGCATGCGTTAACATTGTTGATTGGGTGATCCCAGGCAAGGGCAATGCCAAGGAAAACGTCAAGGAGCTTACGCAGCTATAAGGCAGCAAGTGATCTGAAGCCGCCAGTGATGGATGTCATGGATATTGCGAATCTTCCACAAAACGTATGGCGCGAATATCCAAGACCAGAGCAATTGCCAGAGAATGGAAGGAATCCTGGAAGGTTTCAGGTCAGAAAAACCGTCACCTATTTTGTCATTTGAAGCAGGAAATCGAAATCTTACCATTCAGGGCCTCGCCGACAGTCCTTGGCGCTCACATGCTCGGAGAACGTGCCAAAGGTATGGAATTTCCTGGAGGTAAGAAAGATGGAAAGCGATACGAGCAGCTATAGATGCCAGACGAGATGAGTGGGGAACACCAGCGAGCAGGCGATTAAGATACACTAACTTGAACAAAAATCCCGAATATGATGCCCACTCCCGTTTGTTGTACGAGGTTTAGTTGTCTCCATCGAGCCAGGTACTGATCAGACAAGTTTTTAGGATCGATTAAGTGAAGTCTGTGTGGTTGCTGCGCCATCAAAAGCAGCTTTTCCTGAACGCCAAAGACGGTCAGGAGCTGTATGCTATTTGCTTGGAAAAGAGCGATTCCAATGGGTAAATAGATGCTCATGATCCAATACTCCGCGGCACAGGGATATTTGCCGCCGATCGAATACGAAATCATGCACAAAATCCAGTAGACATGGAGACACAACACTGTGCTCAAGATGAGACGCAAGTTGCGAATGCGAATGCATTGCTCATGGCGATTGAGAATCAGCAAGGCGGAGCCGGCAAGGAGAGCAGTCGTCCATGTGATGGCCACAGCTACATAGAATTTGGCCACTGAGTCAAAGATAGCCGGGCCACCGTCGGTTCCCCCGGAGCGGGTGAAGGCCATATTCGATTGTCGTGGAGACCCGAATTAACTCCTTAGAGAATGCCGATCACCTTTTTTTTTTACCGGGTTCTGAAAAATGGGACAAATGGGCCGGTTAACAAAGGAGTGACAAGGACGGATGATGGGATTAGGCTCAACGCTGGGTACGGGAAAAGAACGGCTGGGCAACTCCTGCAGGAAACCGGGGGATTACTCCACAGTCTTACGCAACGCTCTGGCATTAAGCCGGTACTTTGTTCAGTCCATGTGCGCTCTGGGACTTGCAAGGGGTTGCAGCCAGTGTAAAATAGTTGGGCCTAGCCAAGTGGACTTGGTTTGTCTAGGGCTGGCTAGCATAGGTTTCCAGTGTTTACACGTGCAAATCTGCCCCTGAGACGTTATTTCCCGCTCCTAGCGCAATTTCGGTTTCCTCTAATCTCTAGTTGCAGGTACCTATGCCGTGCTGGGTCTTGGGAGAGGCTTCACTGGTCAAGTCCTGACATTGGGAAGATTGTAGAGTCTGGAACGCACCGTTTAGTCGTCACCCACAACTTCCTATCGAATTATCTATACCCAGTGACAGAGTTCCTACATGTACCTATAGGTAGGTGCAGCACATTTAAGCAATACTATCGGATCCGGACTCCTGCGGGCCGTCGAGATGGTGAGACACGGGTCGATTCACGCTACTTACATGCTAGCCGCCTAGGTGCATAAAAGTGGCGCACGCAATTTTAGGATACGTCGGGGGTCAGGACGTTGGAGCTAGACAAGGGTGAGAACGTTTTTCTATAGGCGAGGCTGATAGGCAGCTCTCTGGGTCCCAGGATATCCAATTTTCAGTCATCAAAACAAATCTCCAACGGCACTGTAGAGTAATCTAAGGTCTATTCACTCGCTCATTCCAAGTGATATTGCTGTGAAAATCAGCGACATAGGTACCTGAAACAAAGCTATCGCAGATGTACCCCTCGTACTTTTGGTGCTGCAGGTCTAGATGGAAGGAGCTAGGAGACCCACGAAGGTCCCCGGAGCCACTCCGGACACCGAAGTTATCTTTCGATCATACAATATTCGACAGCTTTGTTGAACTGCCATGCGACAGAGACACTCTATGATGGCTTGGTGGCGATCATCCGAGCCTCCCCACATGTATTCCACAGTGCTATATAGAATAAGAATTGGTTGAGCACGTTGTATTCCTATGACTATTTAATCGTTCCCTTTGATAGTCCAAGCACATCCAAATTATTTCCATATTGGGTAGTATCTAAATTGCTGCACGATACTCACACAGGATGGAATCCCCGATCCAAAAACCATCTCCCACTCATGCAAGCAAGCCGAGTTTTGCGACATCGGTCAATACCTACCTGAGTGACAGCACCTTGGACTGGAGCAAGTCTTCCGAGAAAGCCGATGTTGAGGCTCAAAATAGGCCACGAAGGAGCTTTTCATCAATACGATACCTCATTCTCACAATCTATCGCCGCCTGTTCTCGTTGGTATATTGTGCCAATGCAGTCGCATTCGTTATTGTTATGATAAGGAGCCAACAGAAACTTCTTGCATTCATCAACGCAGCAGGCATCAACTTGTTGGTATGCGGTCTTGCTCGACACCCGCTGGTGGTTAATGCCATCTTCCGGGGCATATGCTGCATTTCACCGTCAGCTCCTCTCTGGCTACGCAAGAGGGCTGCTGAAGCATATCAATACGGTGGAGTCCATAGCGGATGCGGGTTGGCAGCCTTCTTATGGTATGCGGGCCTCGTGGCTCTGATATCAAAGGAGTATTGGTTGAATGAAGACTCGCGGACGGTCACTGTCTCGGTGATTGTTCTATCCTATGCATTACTCGTTGATCTTGTAGCCATTATTGCGGTGGCGTATCCTACATTCCGAGCGAAACTCCACAACTATTTTGAACTCATCCACCGATTTGGCAGTTGGTTAGCAGTAGCTCTGTTCCTAGCCCTCCTGTTGGTCTTCTCGGATCAAGCAAGACATTCGCAACGCTTATCTCTCGGACAATACCTGCTCAGGCTCCCCGCATTTTGGTTCATCCTGGTCATCGTTGTCTCCATCGTCCATCCGTGGCTCCTTCTTCGCCGGGTACAAGTTTTGCCAGAGCATCTCTCATCGCATGCTATCCGACTCCAGTTTGATCACACATCTACTGCATTTGGTAAAGTGCTAGCACTTTCCAACCATCCTCTCAAGGATTGGCACAGCTTTGCAACTTTCCCCAATCCCGATGGTAGGAGCTTTTCCTGCATAGTATCCAAGGCAGGCGATTGGACAACCCAGTGCATTGATCAGAAACCAACCCACCTTTGGAAGCGTGGAGTGCTCATGTATGGCTTTATTCACGTTATGCGGGTTTTCCGCCGAGTGGTTGTGGTTGCCACGGGATCAGGAATCGGGCCATGTCTCTCGTTTTTGAGCGAGAAAAATCGCCCGCAGTTGCGAGTTATCTGGCAGACACGAAATCCCAGCCGAACGTACGGCCCAGACGTTCTCGGCCTTGTGCATCAGCTCGATCCCAACCCACTTATCGTGGACACCAGCACCAGCGGCCGAATGGACATGGTGCCAATTATCCAAGAGCTCGTCCGAGAAATTGATGCGGAGGCTGTGTGTGTGATCAGCAATGCGCGGCTTACGAAACAAGTGGTCTTTGAGCTCAAGGCAAGTGGAGTAATTGCCTTTGGACCAATCTTCGATTCTTAAATATGAGAGAGCCAGAGAAAAAAAAATTTTTAACCCAGATTTACAAGGGCACTCGACGGTCGTTCCAATACCCACTTGTGAGCCCACTTGTAGGAAATGCACGTTTGGTCGAGAGGGGGGCGTAGACCTTGATACAGCCCTATTCATGAGAGAACAGTCAACCTCCCATTAAAATCGAAGGATTGCGGGTAAGCAGATCTTTCGAAACTGATAAACGCCTTTAACAAAATGGCCGCAGGCCAGGTTAAAGACGCCCCACCCAGCAGGCATTGCCCTGTCTACATGTGCATGTAAACAGGTGCATATGGATGGATCTATGTATAGATTGAACCAATCAACTTTCAATTGTCATTCAATTACAGCCCTAGACTTCGGAGCCTTATTGTGGGGAGACTATTCCCCATACAAGAGAAAGGATGCTCATTTCAATGTAGCATGTACTAACGGTGTACATCATAGGACTTGGTCAATATCACCAAATTGAACTTGTTATAATTTCTCCCAAACAGGATCAAAAATACTAGAAACAACCTCCTGCACCGGCAATCTTTGGTCCACAATCTCCCTCCCATTGACCAAATCATTCTCCCGGGCTCTCTTATCTGCCTCAACCTCATCCCTCGCAATGCCAGCCTGAACATGCCTAACCACCAATCTCTTTCTCGCAACCTCAAAGTCAACATCGACAAACCAAAGCTCATCCATCAACCCAGCAGCCGTCTTCCACGGCTCCCGATCCAAGCTAAGATAATTCCCTTCAAAAAACAGCACGTGACAACTTGCCGGAATGGGAATGTCCCCATCAACAGGATCCTTAATGGCATGGTCAAAGCTCGGCGCGTAGAGACTGTTCGTCCGGGCCGTAAGTGGCGCTCGCAGAGCCCGTACAAGCTCGAGGAACTTCTCGCCGTCGAAAGTAAACTCCGCGCCTCGGCGTGCCGCTGCATGCACCGGGTCCGGCATTACGGCCAGCTGTGCACGCGTCAGATGGTACCCATCCATCGGGAGGGCGATTGCTATCGGTGTCGGCGTTGTTGGGTTCTCCGAGGCGTAGATTTTGTTAATCCGCGTTGCCATCATCGTTGCTAGGCCTGTCTTCCCGGAGCCTGGGATGCCACTGATGGCGATCATTAGACGCGCATCGTCTGCTGTTGAGCAGAATTTGGCTGCGGTGGTTTGTTAGTGTTTTGGACGTGGTCATGAGCGTTTGAGGATAGGTCTTGTGAGGGTGTGGGGGTGTGGCAGAAGGACGTATTTCAAGCTTGTACTTGTTCCTCTTTGGTAGATGTGGTAGATAGGGGGGGGGGGGTTAGGGTTACTCACCCCAGGTCTTGTTGACCAGTCGGTCTACTTGTTGATCCATGGTTGGCCAGTGAGATCTCACTGGGATCAAATGTGTATGAAAGAAATATCTGAAAAGACAGGGCCCTGGGTTTGTGGGATTGTGCGATGTGCTGAAATACGCTTGAAGGTTGCAGATCAGCGTACAAGGCAATGTTCGAGAGATCTAAATACTTTGTATGGTTGTTATTTGCTTTGAGTTGTTGGACTAAGCATAACCTCGACATATTGGCGGGGGGCTCTTCAAGTGGGGACTGCTGTACTCCGAGACATACGTCACGGAACTTGGCAGGCACAGTAAATTTCTACAAGTCTATTGTTTTATGTGCTTCTCTAAGTCGTGGGATCGAAATAAATGGGAATGCGAAAATTCCCAAAAGAGCAAAATTGATGAAATTTAAGCCTGAAAAGACCTAGAAGCCGTTAATGTCCGCTTGTCCAATGATAATCGACATCAAGTACACCGGACAAAATATGGAGACAAGAATGTTAAAATCACAAGACAGCCTCAGAAGGACCTGTCAACGCTGTCCCAAAATGAATCCCAAAAAAGTACATCTGTAAATTTCGCAAAAAAAAACGCCCGTATCAATGTCGCCAATATCAGATCCCAAGTTATTCAGTGCCACCACCTGGGTGGCAGTATTCAGTTATCGCGGTTGGCTCGAGAAGTACTCTCGGTGTCTGGGGAGTCCATGCTCGCACCGAGACCACGGTCGAGAGTGCGTGCAAGGCCGGCCGCGGCCCACCAGTTGTCGGGAATATCCTCGCGGCGGGCAAGCCGATCTAAGATGACTTGCATATGGTGGAGATCATCGTTTTGGTGGTGGCGATCGGAAAGGGAGGGGTTTTGACGACGACCGTCCGAAAGAGTGAGAACGCTTGCAGGAATTATAGTAGGGATAGTGACGGGGGGGTGGTTGCTAATCGTCGAATTCTGATCGGGATAGTGGCCTGCCCGTCCCATGAATTCATGGAAAGTTGAGGGAGCATCCTCGTCATCGGAGGAAGAGAGATCACAAGGGTTGAGTTGGTCAGGATAGGGGTCAAGTCCGAAGTGAGCACGGGCAGTTTCCGCGGTCATCGGCTGCGCTAAGTTAAGAGAGCTCCGTGGACGAGGATGACGCGAAATGTCTGGAGCAGCGGCAGCTGTTGAGGTGAAAGAAGTATTAGTCGATGGAAGGGTAGCGTCTGGTGTCATGGTTGAGAGCAAAGTCTCCCAGGCATCGGTTTCCCGCTCGGCGTCTGGACTGGGACTGCGCTGGCGATCCCCAAGCCCGTCTACGGCGGGGTCGCGGGTTGGCCGGGTTTGTGTGTTGTGGGACCGAGATTCAAGTATCTCCGGTTGAAATGAGTTGTTCGAGGGGCGATCACTGTTGTATCTCTCACGCAAAGAGGGAAGACGAACTTCACTGACCGAAGGAGTCGAAGAAGCGGTGGTATGGTATGCGAGAGCGGGAGCGAAGTTCGGAGTCAATGAAGGGTTGACATGTGTGTTTCTGGGCTGACTGTCCATGCGACCGAGGAGGTTGGTCAAGGCTTGATCACGGTGGCTCCTGAATCGCTGGTTGGCTGCCTCTGTCTGTCGGGGTGCACTCGCGGTACGCGCTTGAGCCCAGACGAGGGTCTCGCGTTCGTCCTGTTCCAGGGCCACTGCATTCTCGATAGCTCCATTAGGTTGTATAAAAGAAAAGCGCGGCACGCGTCTAGGTTCCACGGTGCCGCGCCGTAGCTCATCAATGATCTGTGAATGAAACGAAGCCAGGATATCAGCGCGACGCACGCGGGAGCTGCTGTGCCGCGATGGTCCTCGGCGAATCGATGAGCGTGCAGTGGCAGTTGGGTCCTTTTCCAAAGTAGACTTGGAGCCTTCGGCCTTGGAAGGCTCACGCCACATACTGTAAATTGAAGTCAACAGTGTGCGGCGAAGCAGTGGCGCATGCGCCAACTTTTACGCGCCAACTTGAGGATGGGATGACTTACGGGATACCCATTTTGCCTTTTAAGCAGAAAAGAAGGAGAAGAAATACAACAAAAAAGTTCAAAAAGGACAAATCAACAAAAGGGCAATTACGACACTATTAGAAAGCGACATGCGATAACGGTGGAGATGGTTGATGGAGACGGGGGAGATAGATTGGGTTTTAGGGAAATCGATGCCTGAGGCAAGAGGTGGCCAGAGTGGCTGGGTCACGTGTATCTTGTTCAAGGATCTTTCACTAAAATTTGTGGTGCATGGTATTTGTAACGAAAGTGGTTGAAGTGCTCTCATTGTGAATAAATTGACGAAATGTAGACGAAGGGCCGGATTTTTAAAACACTTCTTATCTTGCAGTAAAGAACGAAGATTTGAAAGCCTGAGGCATGGATTCACAGAACATCACGTGGGCTTGTTTCTCCGATCACAGCAAGCTCCGACCTCTGAAAGTGAACTATCGCCGCCTACGCTCATCCTAGCTTTGTTATTTTTTTTTTGACAATGGAGCTTTGAAGTCCTAAAACTGCCTGTCATTGCCCGATCATTCGGACAATAATGACTATTGACCTTGAAATTCCCATTACGCTACACTCGGAGGAATGATTGAGTTAGGATTGAGTCGGGTCGCGAGTCTGCTCCAGCAGACTCCGCTCTCATGGAAGTCCATTCACATTGCTGGAACCAATGGTAAAGGGTCTATCAGCGCCTATCTTTCCCATCTGCTGTCCACCGGCGGAGTGCGCTGCGGTCGCTTCACTTCCCCGCATTTAATTGATCGGTGGGACTGTATTACAATTGGAGAAAAGGTGGTCCAGGAATCCCTCTTCCGACAGATCGAAGACCAAGTCAAACAACGTGATCAAACCCTAGGCATCGGAGCCTCCGAATTCGAGTTGTTGACCGCAACGGCGTTCGAAATATTCAACCATGAACAGGTCGAAGTTGGTGTGGTCGAGGTGGGCATGGGCGGCCGTTTAGATGCAACAAACATTCTAAATAATGTTCTTGTCTCGGTCATTACAAAGATAGGGATGGACCACCAGGCATTCCTTGGATCAACACTTGGGGAGATTGCTCGTGAGAAGGCGGGCATCCTAAAGTCTGGGGTTCCTTGTGTGGTAGACAATACAAACAGTTCGGAGGTGGTCGAAACTATAAAGGCTCATATTCAAGAACTGGGTATTGATGCCTTGTTTGTCTCTCCCGCGACGGTCTCCGAACAAATTCCAGCACTTGCACCTCACTTCCAGAAGCTTGATCTAGAGCCTCACCAACAAGAAAACATGTGCTGCGCGGTATCTGCGCTTCGTCTTGCTCTTTCTCGGCTACGACCTGAGATGGATGCATTCACATTGCTTCCATATCTGGCCGATGTAACATGGCCGGGCCGTTTGCAAAAGATTGTTCTCCAGCCTTTGATTGTCCGTGCAGAGCCCATCTTGCTTGATGGTGCTCACAATGCACAATCCGCCGAAGTTCTCGGTAAGTATGTGGACCGCAAAATGCGTCTTCAAGGCCAGCCGGTGACTTGGGTTGTTGCTGCATCAAGTGGAAAGGATCTGGCTGGCGTCTTTGGTTCGATTATCCGGCCCGGAGACCGAGTTGCCACCGCCGAGTTTGGTTCCGTGGATGGGATGCCCTGGGTCCAACCAACTAACGCCAAAGATCTTGCCTTCTCCATTCAAGCTATCCAAAATATTGGCCAAGTTCAGAGCTTCGAAGGAGATTTACTCCCCGCCCTTAAGTGGGCTAATGAGCAGTCTCAAGGGGGTCCCCTTGTCATTGCTGGTAGCTTGTACCTTGTTTCTGACGTTTTGCGCCTTCTCCGTACTCAAAAAAGATACCCTGTATAGATCGATTGGATTTCCTAGATCTATCAGTAAATTATAGAACCCTTTGGCAACAGCAAGCCTTTTTTTTCCTTTCCCACCCCTAACTCCTTCATGTAAACTACATGTTATAATTATCATCTTATTCTTCTTGTTAAACAATCATAATTCCATCAAACAAGGTGCTATAGGGCTGATCGGCGATTGTCCAGCACAGCCTGCATGATGCGGCGGGTGGAGCACAAAAGTTCAAAACAATCACGATTTCTTTGCGAACAAACGCCCTTCGCGCTTTGTTGTCGCCTCTACTGGGTCAAAACTCTTCAGAATACTACATGGTATTTGTATCTATCTGAAAATCTTACATGCACTTTGATTTGTCGTGGAAATAGCCCTCTAGGGCGTGAGAGCTCAAGTGTTGTAATGTCTGCTTGGTGAGACCCTCCCCATAATGTCCGCACATGAACGGACATTCGTGATGCTTGTTTGTGCCTTGATAGACTAGGATCAATTGACAATTATGATTATCAGAGCCTATGGACATGACCTATGAGACCGTTGCTATCAGCTCTTTCAAGGTTGCCTCCTTCCTCGGCTTTGACCCCACCCCCCTCTACCTCAAACCACATTGTGAGACCGACAGCCAACTCGAACACGTGCTAGGATATACTAAATCCTAGTCCGCTGCCATCATGGTCGCTCGGCCCGGTGAAGGGACCGAAGGGCAGCCTCGCCCTCTCACACCCTCCTCGAGAACCGCCGGAGCTCCGATAAAGCCGCGATTGACACGAGCTGGGACGAGTCCAACAAAGCGAGAGGAGAAACCGAAGGATGACAAAGTTTTGAAATCGTCGGCAAAAGATGTTGCAGAGCTCACGGACTATGTACGGACATGGTGTCCTGTTCCCCACAAAACACGGATTGGGCAGATGCTGACCTTGGGTGTTGATGGTAGCAATTGGGAGACTGCCTGGGCAAAGGAGCTTTCGGTTCCGTGTACCGCGCGTTGAATTGGAATACTGGGGAAACTGTCGCCGTCAAGCAAATCAAGTTGACGGATCTTCCCAAGAGCGAACTGCGCGTTATCATGGTACGAGATCGAATCGTTCTCGGTGTCCGCCTGAAATGCTAACACGTAACGCAACAGCTTGAAATTGACCTTCTTAAAAATCTCGATGTGAGACATGCCGTCAAGAAAAATGAACAAGCTCCGTACTGATGCAGATCCTTGCAGCACCCTAACATTGTCAAGTACCACGGATTTGTGAAATCTGTTGAAACTTTGAACATCATTCTCGAGTATGTCTCCCCTGGCTCAAGTTTAATGGAGCATAAAACTGATGGTTTTACAGATATTGTGAAAATGGCTCATTACATTCAATCGCGAAGAACTTTGGCCGTTTCCCTGAAAACCTTGTGGGACTTTACATGTCCCAGGTTCTTCATGGCCTACTCTACTTGCATGAACAGGGTGTTATTCACCGAGACATCAAGGGTGCGAACATCTTGACCACAAAGGAAGGACTCGTCAAGCTTGCAGATTTCGGTGTGGCGAGTCGGACTACAGGCTTGAGTGAATCAAGCGTGGTTGGTACGCCCTACTGGATGGCCCCCGAAGTAATCGAGCTTTCAGGAGCAACAACAGCTTCCGATATCTGGAGTTTAGGGTGCACTGTCATTGAGTTGTTGGAAGGGAAACCCCCTTATCATAACATGCAGCCCATGCCAGCACTGTTTCGCATTGTAAATGATGACCACCCTCCATTTTCGCAGGGTGCCTCGCCAGTATGTCTTTATCGATTGCCAAGGCAAATTTATACAGTACTGACTCTATCTAGGCCGTGAAAGACTTCCTAATGCAATGTTTCCAAAAAGACCCCAACCTTCGAGTCTCGGCAAGAAAATTACTGAAACATCCATGGATCGTCAATGCTCGCAGAACCGAATCTGTAATCCCCAAAAAGTCTACAGAATACGAAGAAGCCGTCAGAAGTGTCCAAGAATGGAACGAGGCTTTGCGGTCACCTGAAACGGGAACTTCGAAGAAAAAACAGAGGCCAGACCACCCTAGTACTTCAGGTCTCCCATCTACCCGAAATAACCCATTGGTCGATAGCCTGCCATCGCCAACCTCTATCAAACCTACCGATCGCTTTCGCTCACCTGTATTAGCAGGGGATGATAATTGGGACGATGACTTTGCTACTGCAATCTCTCCTAGCGCACTCAAGTTGCCTCATCTTAGGCCACATGATAACTTCGGGGGCATGTTGTCTTCGGAGAGACTCAAAGCCTTTGCATCACTCGATGGGACAATTCTCAAATCGGACGACATTTCTGATCCCTTTGAGGATAGCTCAGGCTTCTCGGACGACGATCTGCAGACCATTCGACCATATCCCATGAAACCTTCTGTAGCAGAGCCTTCCAAAGCTCTAAGCCCTGCGATCTCCCAGCATAGATCCAGTACCTCCGTTTCTGCATTGCAGAATGTTCCAATTCTCACCCAAACCCCCATGCCGAGACGCGCTCGCCCAGTTCCTCGTACGACCAATCTCTACAAAGAGAACTCTGTCGATGATTATTCAGATCTCATCATGGCAAATGAGGATGTGCTAGATCGAAAGCTGGGTGGCTATCAGGTACAGTCTCCTGGAAGACTTAAAGCTCCCTGTGTGAATCTAACACTTTTCAGGACTCCGAGGATGGCCCATCATCACCCATCCATGGAAACATAGGATACAACCAAGTAGATGACGATCTTCGTGGCCCGCATCCTCAGCTGCGCAAACAGCTTTCAGTGAAGCGTGACCGCTCTACCATTGAGATTCAGAGGTTTGCTGAGAATGAAAATGATGAGGATTTCTCTGATATTCTTGGGGCCGACCAAGCTGCTCTAGATCAGACCGAGAGCGACGATGGCTCGGATCAAAGTCAAAGTACATTAATGCTAAATACAAAGCTGTCTAACTCGTGGCTAGGGGACCAAGAAGATGAGGATGACCCATTTGCGCAATTGGAAGAAGGCTTTGATGAGGTGGATCTGGAAGAAAACATAGCGCGCGATAAATACGCACGTCTCCGCAACCAAGTTGAGGGTCTTGTGGACTCTCTCAAGACATCCCAGGACGAAGAAGTTCTTGCAGAGATTTCTGAACAATTGTTCACCATTTTCTGTGATCTCCCAGAGACAAAAAATATAATCATCAGCGCTCACGGGATGCTACCAATTCTCGAGATTCTGGACACTACTCGCCGGCGTGATATTGTCTTCTGTCTGTTGAGGGTTGTCAATGCCATCATCTACGATGACTATGAAGTCCAAGAAAATCTTTGCTTCGTCGGCGGAATTCCTATCATCAATGAATTTGCATCCAAGAAGTACCCGCGCGAAATTCGACTTGAAGCTGCGGCTTTTGTACAGCAGATGTACCAGACTTCCACCCTGACTCTGCAAATGTTTGTCAGTGCTGGAGGTTTGAATGTCCTGGTCGAGTTCCTAGAGGATGATTACGAAGATGAACGCGAACTGGTTTTGATTGGCGTGAATGGAATCTGGAGTGTCTTTGAGTTACAAGTAAGTATTTCGCCTTTGTTGTACTTTGCATCTCGGCTCTAACTAAATTTCTTTAGGGCTCCACCCCCAAAAATGATTTCTGCAGAATCCTGTCTCGCAACTCCGTTCTTGATCCCTTGTCTCTTGTTCTGAGTCGTGCTCTCGATGAAGATGGAGAGTTGACAGAAGTCATCGAGGGCCGTATTGCTAATATCTTCTTCATATTCTCGCAGGCCGAGAATCATGTGAAGGAGATGGTATCCGAACGGACAGTCTTGCACAGTAAGGATGATTTCGGCCTCAAAACAATTGCAACGTTATGTGCTGACGAACAATTCTAGGAGTCTTGAAAGAACTGAGGCGAATGAGCCCAGTCCATCAAATTACGATGTTGAAATTTATCAAAAACTTGTCGATGCTCTCTACCACTCTAGATTCGCTCCAGAACTCCAACGCCATCGATGTCTTGACTGATCTGCTTCGATCAAATCTGAGAAAAGCACACTTCCGCGAGCTCTCGAACCAGATCCTTAACACCATCTACAATATGTGCCGCCTAAACAAATCTCGCCAAGAAGACGCCGCACTGAACGGCATCGTGCCGCTTCTGCAAAAGATCGTACTCACAGAGCGGCCGCTGAAAGAGTTTGCCCTGCCAATTCTCTGCGACATGGCACAATCTGGAAAAGTCGGCCGTAGGGAGCTGTGGCGCAACAAGGGACTGGGCTTTTACATTTCTCTGCTCTTGGATCCATATTGGCAAGTCACTGCCTTGGATGCTATTTTCACATGGTTTGTCTCCCGTTCCTAAAGCGTAGCCAGTTTCAAAGCTGACAACGAACAATACTTAGGCTTCAAGAAGAAACCGCCAAGGTTGAAGAACATCTCTTGGATGGTATTTTTGAGAGTGACACATTTGAGGGCCCCATTACATTCACTGGTGCCATCGCAGAATGTTTGAAGCTTTCCAAAGCCAACGCATTCGAAAACACACTCGAACCTCTTCAAAAGCTTCTTCGGCTCAGTCCCCCTGTCGCATCCACCTTTGCGCGGCCCGATATCTTCCAGAGACTGAGGCAGAAGCTGCATCACACCAAAGCCGCCGTACGGCTCAACCTTCTGCGTATATTAGCCAGTATTTGTGATTCAAACGAAGAGCAAGGCGGGCTACTCGCAACCTATGGCCTTCTTGACGCTATTCGAAACATGGAGAACGACCCCGCAGTCCTTGTCAGAGATATGGCAGGCAAGCTAGTTCGATCCAGCGAGGCATATGGCGTCAACAAACGCAGACCGACAGCTCGACGACAAAGCACATGCACTACCCCTCCAATCTTATTCTCGGCATCCTCTACCCCATCCACACCTTCATCGAACCGCACCGGCCAGTCAAGGGGATACCTGGAAGGTCGGGAAACTCCCCGGCATCCACGGAATTCTCTCAGTGTTTCTTCTCTGGCCATGAGACCTGGCAGTCGGGATGGCAATAATCCGGTTCTTGGATCTACCGGCAATGGAAGCAGTGCTGCCACTGCCAGGCCCAGGACTGCCCGTCCCCTCTCTAGCAGAATGAATCACGTTGAGCTGCTGCGTGAGGAAGAAAACAAGACGCCAAGCTCGCTGGGTCGGCGACCTTCAATCATCCCTCGTCGCCGCCGCCCAACACTTGCAGACTCTGAGTGGACGTAATTCGACGACCAAAAGGGTCTACTGCGAGTCTCTATGCTTCTGTTATTGCGTTTCCGATTTATCTAGCTCATACTGCCCTGTTACATACACAGGCAACGGCGTTGTCAGCTCTAAAATGGACTTTGGAGTCATGGTGCATGGTTTTACACCTTTGTAATAGTCCTTTTTTCTTTTTATGTGAGCAGCTAGGGTTCTTGTTTTATTTGAATCAACAACCCCTTCCAAGTTGCATGGGTGCTTTTGACATGAGCTTTTAGGCCAACAGTTCGAATTGCACACTGTAGCGTAGTAGATATCCCGAATGTCTAGTGTTTATTGGTGGCTTGAGGCCCCTATTTTTCTATCCCTATCTCTCCCTCTCTTGTGATATTAAGGGATGCATCGTTTCAGTCTTTGCCTTCCTATCAGATCAACTTGTCAATCTGATCATCGAACTGATCAAATTAGCTATGACGTCTGTTACTGGCCGATCTATAGATCATGATCACGTGCAGCCTCGAAGCCGATTGGCGGCGAGAACCGTAAAAAAAATTACCCTGGGCAGACAAATAATTTTAGGATGAGTTGAGCCCAGAGACGCCTAAACGCACTATCGGCCCTCTTTCCTTTTCTTTGAATAATTTCTGGCCGGTGGCCTTAGCCTCGGGAATGAGCGCAGCGCTTCGCGTGCCGTTGCGTGCACTCAAGATTGATCCCGCTACGGTGATCGGGAAAACGTCCAAACCCTCGACATCCTCGTTCCTTCTGGCCTTGAACTCGCCGCTAGGACAGTCGGCCTCCTCCGGTATACTTGACGCTTCATCTTGGGGTCGTTCAGTGTCTTCCCAGGGCTCGACCGTCGCCGCTTCACGCCGTTCTTTCTCAGTTAAGGGTTCTCCTCTCTTGTATGCGGAGACTGAGAGCAAGCACAAGTCTGAAAACGGGTCCAATGTGAATTCATTGCAGCGGAGTGCTATCAAATGGTTTTTTCTTGGAAGTATCCTCGGTTTGGGTGCAGTGACGTTCTCCGATCAAGTGGAGCATGCGTTCCAGGCAGCGAAACGCAGTGGGCGCGTTGTTGGCACACTTGCTGTCTGTATCAACGAGTAAGTGAGGTCTTGTGACTCTTTAGACCTTTTCTTTGTTGCGCCGTGACACCATCGCTAACACGACCTCAAATCTTCACAGCTACCGTATAACCCTGAAACGAGACGCCTCGTCCCCCGAAGAACATAACGCACTGATTAGCGCCTGCCACAAGCGATGCGCCGAACGTACACTCCGTGTCCTAGAAAAGAATGGATCGATTTTCATCAAATTAGGCCAACATCTCAGCAGCATGGGCTACCTGCTTCCCATCGAATGGACCTCGACCTTCATCCCACTCCAGGACAGATGCCCCGTCTCGTCAATTGAATCAATTGGCGAGTTATTCCGCAAGGACACAGGCCAGGATATGAATGAGTTGTTCTCCTCTTTTGAATCGACACCCATCGGTGCTGCATCCCTGGCACAGGTTCACATTGCTACATTGAAGGACACCGGACAGAAGGTCGCGGTCAAAGTCCAGCATCCCGCGCTGGACGAATGGGTGCCGCTGGACTTGGCTTTGACTCGATTCACTTTCTCCATGCTGAAGCGCTTTTTCCCTGATTATGATTTGGAATGGTTGTCTAAGGAAATGGATTTATCGCTACCACAAGAGCTGGACTTCCGCAGGGAAGCCCAGAATGCCACTCATGCTAGCGAGTACTTCCAAAAGCACTCCGATACCCCACTGGTCATTCCCAAGGGTTCGTGCTGCTGAAAATCTTGTCTATGCATAACTTGAAGCTAACTAGACCCAAGTGATCTGGTCCCGAAAACGGATCCTCGTCATGGAGTACATCGCAGGCCACCGCCCCGACGACCTGGAGTACCTTGACGCCAACAATATCGACCGCGACGAAGTCTCCGCTGCTCTCGCACACATTTTCAACGAGATGATCTTCGGCGACAACGCTCCACTTCACTGCGATCCGCACGGCGGCAACATCGCCATCCGCCCGAACCACACTCGCTCACACCCCAACTTCGACATCGTCCTCTATGACCACGGTCTCTACCGCGACATCGACCGCGACCTGCGTCGCAACTATGCCAAAATGTGGTTAGCCGTTCTCGATGCGGACTTGCCGCGGATGCGCGAGTTCGCGTACAAGGTCGCCGGCGTCACGGACAAGCAATTCCCGCTCTTTGCCAGCGCAATCACCGGCCGAGACTACAGCGTTCTCACGAAGGAAAGCGTCGTTTCCACGCGAACGGCTAAAGAGAAAGATGACATCTCCGATGCGTTGGGTGAAGGCATGCTACAAGAACTGGTTGTCTTGCTAGGCCAGGTTCCGCGGATTATCCTTCTTATCTTGAAGACCAATGACCTCAGTAATTCTTTCACCTTGGAACCTCGATTTTCTTTTGAATACCATAGACTAACTCCCTCTCAGCTCGCAGCCTAGACGAAAACCTTCACACACGCCAGGGTCCAATGCGCTCTTTCTTGATCCTCGCGCGGTATGCCACACGCACTGTCTTTGAAGAGCAGTTGGAGCTCATCAAGGAGTCTGGTGGTGTCTTCCGTAACTTCTTCCGCTTCATGTATGCCTACACGAGCTACCTTCGCGTCGAAGTCAAGTTGTCTGTTTATGAGTCTCTGCTGTCCTTGAAGACTCGCTTCGGTCTCCGGAGCGGTTAGACAGTGTACTATACTTGCTGTGAACAATTTGCGCTTGGGGGTTTTTGTTCTTCTTTGTTCTGTTTTTCCATTATATCCCTTGCTTTTTTTTTAAATGGTTCATTGGCACGGATTGTCTTCAGTGGCCTATCTGTGCTTCAGCGATGGCGTCCTTTGATTCCTTTCGCACATGGCCTCTTTCTCTCTCTTATCTGGATTATTAGACGGTGGATTATTCCAAGTTTCCAGGCTTCGTTCTGCTGTATTCTCACAGAAACCAAAGATCCGGTGTGGTCTTGATAGATTGTGGATAAACCACACCTCTTAGACTGCTTCTACTATTACTTACTCTACTTTTTAATCAAATTACTATTCTAGTTTCATTGTTTCATTTGAAACTATCAAGGCGCTGCTTTTCAAAAATTGGAGGCAAAAGTATCGATCAAGGATCCCAGATACCGAGGCGCCATCGCAAAAAAAAAAAAAGGGGGAAAACGTATCGGAACGTGGGAAGAAAAAGAAAAATATGTACATCAAACAAATGGGCAATTTGTTTGTCTTCATCTCATCCATCGTCATCTCCGGGCGCACATTTTCAGCGGCGCCGAGCACAACGAATCCCCAAGCACCCATGCTCGTCGATTCTCTCCGACATAAAACTAGCATCCTTGATCAAATGATTGTGTATTAATACAACCTTGGAATTAGAATCGCCAAGTTCGTGAAACGAAACGAGTGGGTTGCGTCATTCAGATGGAGAATCCATCTGGTAAGCTCAAACGGTCAAAACAAAGAGAAACAATTTTAAATGGAAGCAGCCGGGCTGCCGGCAGTCTCAGCCTTGACATCAGGAATGACGCCACCCGTCCCGGACAGATCGGTGGCACGGGTGTTGGGGTTCTTGGTGTAGTAGTTGGCAATGGCAGACTTGATAGCATCCTCGGCAAGCATGGAGCAGTGCACTAAGGTGAACACGTTAGCATTTTGAACCTACCCAGGCCATCAATCATCAGAAAAAAAAGAGACATACACTTGACAGGGGGGAGACACAGCTCCCTCGCCACATCGGTGTTCTTCACTCTGCCAGCCTCGTCTAAGGTCATACCGCGCACGAGCTCGGTCAGATAACTGGACGAAGCGATAGCACTACCACAGCCGAAAGTCTTGAAGACAACGTCATCGATACGACCAGAGTCCTTGTTGACGCGGATCTGCAATTTCATGACATCGCCACAGGCCGGCGCACCGACAAGACCGGTACCCACGTCCTGATCACCCTTCTGCATGGATCCAACATTGCGGGGGTTGTTGTAGTGGTCGAGAACCTTCTCATGGTAGCCTCTGCGCTGTTGAGCTGGGGCGGGAGCAGCACGGCGGGTGGCGGGTTGAGCGGATTGCAGGCCAGTGAGGGGAGAAAGGGCGCTGCGAGTTGCGACAGAGCCGACGCGGGGAGCAACAGTGACTAGGCGTTTGAACATTGTGGATTTGTTATGATGGGTAAAATTGAAGAAGGGGTTGGGTTTTGGTGAAATGAGGTTTGAAGGCGAAAAAAAGATGGATCTGATAGGGAGAAAGTGATGAATTCATAAATAATCTGATCGGACCTTATATAATCACGCTAGTCCTAATGGAGTTGTTTCTTTGGCCGGATCCGCCGGCCGTCGGAGATGACAAAGATGACGTTCGGCTTTTTTTTTTTTCTAAACTCGGTCGCTTGCGATGTGAGAATGCAGGTGATATCAGTTCACAGAGGTGGCGACCGTTCTACACCGTTCTCTATGGACTCAACCGATCGACGTCTTGTTTTCCGCCTCTCCTTAAGATTGTTGAGCGATCAACTACTCCGTAGTGGAGAGCAGTAACAGGCGTAAACTCAAACCTGGCGATCAATTATTAACCGGATGTTCTAGATTCCTGAACCACTTGAATACACTACATGTTGATCTCGACTTATATCCTATGTTGTACATTCTTACATCGAAATTGAACACTTATTCTTCCCGCGGAGTTATGGTCGGAGGCCAGGCCGGAGTTCGGTTTCACTCCCCGGCTTATTCTAATCGTTCCAATCGGGATTTGCATACCCAAAAGAGTAAAGAAGCACTACCAGGCTAACCGTTTCTAGTTCTCTATATAGGCATTGCTCACTCATTCGCCAATTTGTTAGATATGTTATCAAAGTCATCCATTTTCCTACAATTTTACAACCATACCTACTGGAAGTCCCCAAAGGAATCGAGACGCAAGCTCAACCAGTCGCTTTCATTCCAGGAATCCAACGACGAATCTCCAAGTTTCAGATCCAATGCAAAGCTAAAACTAGACATGCAACTACAAAGCCTCGCGAACGGCAGACTTGAACTAAACCCAGGAAACAAGTTAGCAATGAGCAGGAAAAATCAGACAGAGCTTTTTCTGCGTAACATACCGGAATGATCTGCGCGTTCTCCAAATCCCACACCCCAGAAACGGTATAGATATCCTTGCTAAGCAGCTCAAGCACCTGAGCCTCGTTCTCTGCAACAGCAAGCATCATGCTTCCCTTGAAAGAGGGGGTCTCACCATCGGCAGGGTGAGCATTGAGCATTGCACCTGGACAAGAGACAATCCATGTCAGTACATGTGAAATGCTTGCGAGTAGATAAGAACGCCCCCCCCCCCCCAAAAAAAACCAAAATTAATGTGGGTCACATACCACCAGCAACAATAGCACCAGACGCAACGAGCGGCTTAACCCCCTCAAGGTGGTTACTGAACACCACATTAGCAAAAGATCTCCCCCCACGACAGACCCCGCGCTAGACTCCAGATGCCGGGGAAAGACTCACGGGCGAACCTCAAGGCGCTTCGCCTGCGCGCCGGGCTTATCGGGCAGGATGCAGAGGAACTCTCTCTTAGCAGGGGCAGAAGACATATTGCGAAGTTGGAAAGTTAGGATTGATTTGCTGGGTATGGATCTTTGAATTGAGGCTGAGGGGCAGGAAGAAAATCTGTGTAATGGCGGGATGCGGAGGAGCGGTTTCGGCGCGTGGGGGAAAGCGGGGGTGTTGTTTTGGAGGGCGCGGGTGACACGAAGGGCCATGGTGAAGGGAATGCTATTAAATTGGATTGTCGATGGTTTCTGTTCAAAGGATCCAACTACAGCGATGCAGGTATTTTGTTTACCGAATTTTCCCTAGGGGATTTCCCCTTTGCGCTACTTTTTATGAGCAGGGTCACGTGTGTAACTACATCTTGCCCAATTTGTGGAATTTGCTTGGGGAAAAGGGAGATTGATGCCTCGGTTTTCACTAGGCGAAAGACGGTGGAAGACGGTTGAGGGGCAGCAGAGTGAACCGGTTCGTTTGTGAATGCATGATGACAGCTTTCTCTCTATTAAGATGAGTGAGTATACAGAGATTACAGAGATAGCAGGCATAGGCTCGGATGTTATACCGCTGCTATTACACTGAGAACCGACATAACAGCAAGGCATGTGGAAAGCCTGGTATAGAAGTAGTCCCGCCTGAACAGCACTCTTTTGCAGAGCCCTATCCTTCGAGCAGTCTGTTTAGCATGAATTAGATCTGATCACCAACCATTTTCTGTTTCAGTGTCTCACTTACAGTCCGTCGCAATTCCCGACGTTTGACTCGTAACTTGACGCACAGCACTATCATCCTACCGAACACATTCAGTCGCATCTTGCTCCCATTTACCATCAACCAGCTCAGGGAGGTATTTTGTAACGGGATCATCAAAGATCTAGTCTCCGTTTCTCGTGACTAGAACCGCCACACAGTGAATACCTCAGTGGGACCACCAATGCTATCAATACTGTCTTTTTTATATGGCGTGAGATCCTACTAAAGACTGGTTAAGCATAAGAGCTGTGTGGTGATATTGCCAGGAGAAAGGCTCGTTCTCGGCATTCCCGGTGTCGGACAAGAACAATGCGGAAGGTGGTCTTTGGCGAGATATCTTGTTGGGCACTAGTGTTTGCTGTGACTAGTGTCCAAGTCTTTTGTAAGCTTTTTTAGGGCACCTGCTGTGGGTCTGTTATTTGTGTCGAGAGAGAATGCAGGGCCGTGGGGGGGACACGGGGTGAAAGAGAGGACTGAACAGAAAAGCAAGAAGACCGTTGAAGCATAAGGAAGTAAGATCATCTTAAAAGAGTCAAAATCGATTTGAATTCATATTCTTGCTTCCTTCGTATCTCTTTCATATTCAAGATCGGGTCGGTGATGCTCAAGGTCTTTATAAACATCGGCTTGGCGATACGAAGGAGCATCGCAGCATCGAAATTTGGAGTCCCAGCATTACTGCCTATTCAATTTTCAATCTTACATTAGGGCATTTTCTCACGTCTTCTTCAGTATCTGTATTGGACAAACTTTGACATCTAGCCAGAAGGCATGGATAGCAAATGGCAAAAAAAACATTGAAAAAGACAACCAGAAGGAGGAATCGAGATACCGAATCGACAATCACACCTGTTCACCCAGAATCTGCTCAAAAGAAAAAGCAAAGAGAAAATCTGGGGGAATTTGAAAGTCGTCCGCCGAAGATGAAAACTCATTCCCGAAGGGGATATCAAGATGCGCTGCAGCCCCCGTGGACCCGTCAAACTGTGTCGGCTCTAAGCATAGTGTCTGCTGAAAGTCTTCAAAGCTCTCATCGCTGTGGGACTCATCTTCTTGTATACCTTGTTCCCTGAGCCAGTTCTCAATTCGAACGATCCGGTTCATAAAGTCGAAGAAAGCATCTCGAGCGCCGTTCATGTCTATATCAGAAGTCGACAAAGCCCGAACCCTTGATCTCAGTTTAGACAGGGTCTTTAGGAAGGCAGCAGTTTGATCAGGCTTGGGGGTTGCCACAATGTATCTATAGGATACTAGCAAGGCAAATGCTATCTGTACCCATTGCGTGTTGTTGAATCCGACCTCCTCATTGGATGGAAGTTGGATGTACAGATTGATAATCGAGTTGGCTGAGATAAATGCCGAGAGCGACAGTTCATCTCTCCAGGACTTAGACCCAAAGGATGATTGAGGCTCTTGGTTGGTGAGGTTGAGAGCTATTTGGTATAGACAAAGTCCCGTTGCGTGGTATTGTATCGCGAGAAGAACTTCATTTAACAGCCATTAGTGTCCAATCGCCTTTACAGTGGACCTTGTGTTCTGTCTCAACTTACTGCTTTCGTTGATATCGAAGGGTAGATGCTGGTAAAATGCCTCCAGATCCAACTTCAGATTGGTGATGTAGAGCTCTGACCCCGATCCAGAAATTTCCGAGTCAAGTCCATGCTTTGCAGATAGATCATCGATTTTTTCTGCAATAAACTGGAGTTGTATCACATATTTGATGTATTTGTCGTGGGGATATTCGTTGGCTTCGTGGAGAGTCTTGCAACACTCTTCCTGGTACGGGAGACGCAAAATAGTAGATTTCTTTTGCACAAACATCGCAATCCTGAAACGAGATAACTATCAGGCAACATCCAGTAAGCCCCAAAGACACAAAAACAAACTCACGATGACGACAAATAGTAACAACCCAAGACAGCCCTCTGCTCATGGCTTCCCCAAGAAGGCCGATGAAATGTCTGATTCTGCAGTTTATAATGAAGCCCAAAGCGTAACTCTGTCTTCCACGTCCGTGTTTGCGGTGGACGATCCAAGCGCAAATCTATCATGAGGCCTATAGCCAGTTGAAGGAATTGAGTATAACGGTGTGGCCGAGAGTGATAATGCGACCTGCCACACGTTGTTAGTTGCAACCACGATATCCAAGTATTCATCAGTCGGGATTTACCATGCAAGGAATACCAACAACCCTTGCAGCAACTCAAAGGAGATTTCCCCGCCGATGACCATGCGTGATGCAACGACTTTCTTAACTTCATTCCCCAGCGTCCGTTGCAGTGGCATGTTTTTGTACGAAGCTGACGCAAGAATTGCTAAGGATAGAAAAGGCTTCTCCTGACGGAGCTGCTGGATAGATACATCAGGAGGCACAACCACAAATGGGAAATGTGGAGTCAGTTTCGTCTTGAATATGCTTAGGTACCTTTCGGCGGTCTCTATGCCAAGCAAGTCTCGACTGACAATGTTTTCAAGCGCGGCATCGCCATCAACTGATGATATGCTGCGCGTGCTTGTGTTGGTGTCATTTCCTTCTGGACCACGCTGATTGGCCTTCAGTTCATTGATCTTTGACTCGAGGGCCGCGATCTTACTGAGGTATGAGTTAGATGACAAAGGAGAGTATCATGACGGAAAATATGCCCACCGGTCCTTGTGGAAGCCCTTAAATCGACGACCAGTCCGGCGAAACACACATTCTTTTCCCAAACGAATACACCTGCGTTGTTTAGATAAACTCCAGCTTTCTTCCACGGAGACCTTCAGGAGGTTGTTCTGCTTCCTACCGATTACATGCGATATCACTTTCCCGGACACATCGCACTTTCGAATCCGCACAAGCCTGACATGTACTAGATATGGGAGGCATCGTGTTGTTCCATTCGAGCGAAACCGGGGCCGATTATAGTGGCGATCCTTTAGATCCCATGCTGGAGCAACAAAGCTTAGGTCTAATGATGCATCACCGTGGAGTTCGGAGAGAAAAAAAAGCAGGATTAAGTGGATCAGGGACGCAGGGACGCCTTCAAACAAAGTGTGTTAGCAGTGATTTTTCTTCTCTCATCTTTTGTGATCAAAATCAATCTTTGCTCGAGAGAGGCAACATATCTGTTGGGGGGTTGAATGATTACGTTACCTCTTAGCTTCATTGTTACGTACTTCATGTTTTGTCCCCATCTCTTGCAAGGCCAGTTTCCGGCTAAGCATTTTTGCGTCGAGGATAACCCAATCCCCAAATCCACCTCTCTATATCATCACGCCCGACGGGAACAAAAAGGGGAAAGGTTGGTGCAAAAATGGGGACCCAAGGTCCCCTGACATGGTACATCGTTCATGTCACCCCTCCTATTCTTTATAAACACTTTGAATGTTGCTGATCTTAGTCTGACATCCGTCCTGAAAAGAACCGGTTTGCCAAATGGCCGAAAGCACATGTCACGCGCGTAGCTGGTCACCAACCTGCCAAGACGCATGCCGTTACCAGAGCAATGCCAAGCTTTCCTACGTTGTTTAATCAATTGTGGTGCATGGTCTGCAAGGCTGAATCTGATTTTAAAGAGCGGTCTAGTGATCTACCCAGCTTTGAAGTCCCTAATGACAAGTTTTTGGCATCAATCTCAACATCTTCCCCCCCCCCTCAAGCGTTGAAAAATGCCATGGCAGGAAGACGACGGAGCGTGTTTTCTCATACAACGGATTCGAGGTCAACCAATGAATGAATCTCAGCCGAATATATTTTCTACCCACAAAACTCGTGTCACAGAACAGACCGCTGAAGATTGGAAGCAGCTTCACGAACTCCACTCGGACCGAGCGGAAAGCACCGGCGGACAACCGCTCTACCAGGCCTTTCTTTTTCCGAAGGGCTAGAATAATGGAGATAGCCCATTCTTATTTGACTATGAGCTATGGGCTGAGATATCGTGAGCTTTGATCATCGTTCGAAATTGCGCTGGCGGATGCCAAAAGCGGCTCCATGTACCTGTATTCACGGCACTCTGGCCAAGGTAGGGATCTTAAGCCGGGCTTCTTCGGATTTTTGCCCCTGCTTGGTGGGGGTTTATATACACATGAAGTGGCCTGGGGCAAGATGGTTATGAGTGGAAAGATCTGCTGCGCTAATACGTGCCGGATCACACTGAGGCCGGCAACTTTTAGTTGGCCCCGGGAATTTCTTTGCAAAATACAATTAGCTATACCGACATGGGCGAGAAGAAGGCTTGAACGTGGAAAAGATTGTGATTCGACTTGGCCAGAGAATGAAACGTAAGCTTGAACTGGTCCAAGGGTCCATCGGTCTTCCGCTGTCGAGAGGAGGTCTTCAACTAGACTACTTGCGATAATGTGTCTCGTGCTATTTGCAGTGAAGAAAATCGTGCAATTGGCTATATACATAAGATTCAGCAGATAGGGCAATGCAGAGCAAATGCCTGCATTGCTTCATCCACAAGAAGTCTAGACTCATCACACAGCATCTGCATTTCAACTGGGTTGGTCTGATATCCTGCCTCTCACCTAGAAAAAAAAAAAAACAAAAGTCAAGGACGCCAGCTCAGCATATGAGAAAACGGAAAAAATTGAAGCAATAGAAAGGGCAATTTGGAGATGACCTGCGTAGCAGAATCAGAATCAAATAGACTTGTAAACAAGAAAGCGACACATGACGGTGGACGGTCCGGTTCTCGTTCCCTATTGTGGGGTTTGCGCAAGAAGAACAGATGATCGAGATTGAATCACTCGATTGTACATGCCCGGATATACACAAATCCCCATAACTCAGAGCATGTGTGTCCCAAGAGACACAAATTCGGTATGTCAAGGAAAGAGGCCTGGAGATCGAACTTTATAGACCTGCGAACCCACCAAACAACATTTTCCCCCGTAGCGCCAAGGTAACAAATACATACACTCCCTAGAACGCGGCACGAAGATACTGTATTAGGGAGGTCATTAGGCTTTCCGTCGCAAAACATCCATCCAAAAAGAAAAAGAAAAAGAAAAAGAAACGAAAATGGGTAAAGAGGAAAGGAAGCGAAACACGCCGTGGTTGTAAGTTTTCCTCCGATGGCAATCGTCGGGGAAGGCAACACACGGGCGATGAAGAATGGTGGATGTTCGACGACGGGGTGGGATCAAAGATCAACTTGATCCCAAGCGAGATTTCCGGCGGACGGAATGCAGATAAAACCTAGAACGCTTTACGGTCTCCAAGGTTGCCGGGCTTTTCGTCGGTATCAATGTGCCAGACCACGTAGTTGGGCAGCCCAACCACCTGGTAGCCAGCTCGTTTGGCCATGCGGGCGAAACCTTCAGTCTCGGCTTGGTTTTCGAAAGCGTATGCGGGGAAGTTGATACCGGAGCGGTGCACATCAGCCTTGACGAGGATGTTGACACCACCAATTCCGTCAAGCTCTACCTCGTCATCCTTGTTGTTTCTCCAGTCGCCCATGCTGACCATATAGGTACGGCCGGTGTCGTACTCTTTGTAGCCTTCGGCCAGAACGGTGTCGGTAGGCAGAGTCGCGCGCAGGCGGCGGCCCTTGTCGGATTCGATCCATGAGTTGTAGTCAACTAAGAGTGAATATGTCAGCAATCTGCAAGGTACACAGGGTGTCACGGGTGTGCATACAGCGACCCTCAATATCATGGCCATCCTGGTTGTAACGGTGGAACCAAATGTCTAATTTGAAAAAATTAACTGTTAGCAAGCTGTCCAGCCTCCAGTCTAATTTTTAGCCAAAACCACATACTTGGCACGAGGATGTCCTTGTCATGGGCCATGAAGTCCTCCAGGATACGCTCGGGACAGTCGGTGATGTCCACGTCACGCCAGTATACCCAGGAGTGATCTGCCTTCAGAGCGGAGTAGAGCAGGTAGTTCCGGGCACGTGCGATAGCCTTGCGCCGTGGACCCTGCGCGGCGAACGAGTGTCGCTCTGCCACTGTCATCTCAATGTCGGCACCGAAATTCTTCTGAATGACTGTTGCACTGCGGAAGCGAACTTTTTCCTCAACATGGTTCTGGATGCGGTCGAGTTCGGAAGCGAGGTTGGCAAGGGTGTCGTCTTTGCAGTCACCAACGAGGAAGGCCAAATCGATCAACTCATGGGGGTAAGACAGTTTGTAGAGGAGATCGAAGTATTTGGCCAGATAAGGAGCAGCATCTCGGAGAGGAGTCAGGATGAGTACACGTTCGCGGTTTAGGACGGCCTTGGAGGTGGACTTGATGGGATTCAGGTCGAGATCGGTGATGGAGGTGGAGTTGACTTCGTAGGGTTCGTGGCGGTTGAAGAGAACGGGGGTCTGGGCGTGCGCACTCCACTCGACCATCTCATTAATGGTCATCTCCATGGGTGACTTGTTGGAACCATAGCAGTAGAAGCTGTCGGCGCCAGTCGGGTCAGTACGAACCGTTTCCCGATGGTAGGATTGCATGCTCTCTCACCTTTGCATCTCTGATGCAGACCGGCTGACACCGCGCCACATGAGAATCAGTAGTCCCGTCAAGGCTATGGAGACCAAGAAGCGAGTCCGTGTTAATAAAACGATGATTGCCCTCCATGGCGGCAATCTGGCCTTGGCCGATTTCCAATTAACACCCCCCTTTGGCAACAACATGATGAAAGATAACGAAATGTGAGCTGGTGTAGAATTTCAGGGGCGATCCCGTCTCAAACACTCGTCGTAAAACCCCCCGAACGAATGTGGAGAAGAGAGGAGGAGAGGAGTGGTGAGGCGAATGGTTGATAGGGAGAAAACAGAATCGGGAATCGGGGGAAACGCGATTGCCTGCCAAGAACGCCTGAAATCCGTAGGACAACTACATTTTCTTTCTACATTTTCTACCTGATGAGCATAATTGTAACCACATTTGTAGTTCATAAGTCTACTCTACTATTTTAATATCAAATGAATCAAATAAGTACATTAGAGTATTCACTTGGACAGCCCCCTCAACACTCATGACGGCTGAGACCCTTTTTAGTTTTATTTATAGCTTAGATCATCTGGGACTCTGTGCACTTTAGGGGCTATTGAATACTATGACATAGGGTATATCACTGTCTCTGTTCACTCTGTTGCCACACAGGTACGGAGTACCATGTCTTGTACTCTGTCTGTTGTACTCTTTACCCCCTATTTATGCTACCTCTTCTGCAGGGATTGCGCGTACACATGTGACAGGACTTTTACATGCTGATTTGGTCTCTCACATTGAAGCTTTCTGTTGTTTCTGATTAGAATGATAGTTCTATCTTCCCCCATCTTTTTTCCAAGTGTTCCATTTTTTTTTAAAAAAAAAAGCAATTGGAAATGGCAAGTGGGATCTCTAGCACGAGGTTAAAGTGAGACATGGCCTGGGCCCAACCCATATTTCATACAACATATACTTCGTATAGGACACCTTTCTTTCTACATTTGAAATGGCTAGTATAAATTGAATTGCTCTTCTCATTTGAAAAAACAAAATAAAATAAATAGAAGCATTTCAAATTCCTCTCTTTCAAACCCCCAAACGCCTTAGAGAACCCTTGGCCATTTGAAGTCTGGACTGGACTCCACCGGATGATGCCCAAGACGGTCTTCCAATGGCCGGCAGCTGATTCGTCCACCAGAAATTCTCACGGATGTCACTTGGAAGATAATTTGCATTCTTACATCGTAGGCCCAATGTTCATAGAAGGTTAAAAATTGACTCAATGTTCACACTACGCACTGAAAAGGGTGGGACGTAGCTATTATATGTCCAGCCGACCTCAACAACACACTAAATTACAGTCTACCTGGAGCAAACTACCCTAATCTACAATTTCCACAAGGTGAACCCGAAAGTCATCACTTGCTATGTGTCTGTGTAATAATCAATGAATGCACCGAAGCCCACTATTCAAGGCAAAGTCCGATTGGCTCTAGGACAGCATGGCAACATACGGAGTAGCCAGTACAGGGAACAGAGTATAATCATACGACAATTAGCAGGACAGACACAAATCTCACCCACTGAACTTCGAATCACTCCAGGACTGAGAGGAATCGTATGGCAATGCCCAGCGCGTGTTACAGTCCAGTCACATTGATACCATACTGCCGCAGAAGAGGTCGATTTTCATTCAAGATGATCCATTAAGTCGTAGGTATAGACATAGAAGAAAGAGAAGAGAAATGACAAAAGAAATAAGAGAAATCAACCAAAGCTAAAGTATATCCTCCCGAACACAAATATCTACATAGGAAGCAACGCCAAAAGACACGAGATAAAAGAAGAAAACTAAAAGGAAATTAAAAGAAAACCCAAAGGAAATCAGTCAACAAAGAAAAAGTATTCGGGCAAATTGGAAACCGATTGTTCATCCACGAGATCAAAGAAAATATTGTTACACGCTGCATGCGCTAAGTGCACATGGAGCGGGAAGATGACGGAAGGCCTAAGCCTAACGGACCCGGGAGTAAGGGAGAAGAGCCAGTGCTGCAAGGGCTTGATGTGTGAATGAGCATGTGGCACAGAGGAAGGTAGAGAAGAAATCATGGGATCATCAGCGAACAGGAATAGTGTTCAACATCGGGCAAGCATTGCCAGTCTCAATCGCAGGTTTATGGAGATGCAATGAGAGAGGGGCGACGGGATGGCGGCGGGAACGAAAGAGAGGACGACTGAGAAGGGGGAAAAGCAGGAGAAGCAGGACCAGTCATAGGCGGGGTGGCAGTGAGGTAGGAATTGCTGAATGAGTGGTGAGTCGAGCTAGGCATGGAGTCATAGTACTGAACGGCATAGGGAGCCTCGGAGGGCAAGCTAGTAGCAACCTCATCGCAGAGCACGCGCATGCCAGGTAGGCCATTCTTCTTCTGGCGTTTGTGTTCGGGGAACTCAAGGACGGGGCCAGGGGAGGTGCATTCGGACTTGGGGGAACGGAACATCTGCTCGTAGGACTTGAGCTGGAACTCCAGGGCACGGTTGCGGTCAGCGAGAATCTCGTTCTCGGCCTTGGTGGCCTTGATCTGTTGCTGGATCGTCAGATTTTGTTGCTGTAGGGAGCTGACTAGTTGCTGCAGCTGCATGCAGCGGACCTGGGGTTGCAGCTTCTCTGAGAGCTGTGGGGTGACCTGTTCCTGACGGATAAGGTGGACGATAATGGCTAGCATGAAGTCAATTAGGTAGATGGCTCCTTGCACGATGTGCTCCTTGGATTGAGTCAGGCTCTTGGAAGGGTTCCAGCCTGCACGCTCGAGGAAAAAATCATGGATGCGGCTGTCTAACTGGCGATGCAGCTCGCTGAGATTGCTGCGACGGTTGCCCTCAGCAATGCGGTGCTTCTCGCGCTGGTCATCCTCGGTAGATTGGGTACTGCCCTTGCGCTTGCGGCCACAAAGCTGCTGTAGGGGGGCCTTGCGGTTGAGATTCTGTGGGGCTACCAGAGCCATGATCTCGGTCTGGGAGAGATCATTGGGCCAATCGACCGAGTTGGACTTTGGCATGGCAAATGACTCTTGCCAAGAGCCCTCGGCAGAGTTCGCCGGTGAGGGAGGTGTAGTGATGAGCTCGGTAGCCGCCCATGGTGACTTGAATTGGAAAGTCTCCTGGGGCCCTGGGGTATTAGGAACAAGGGTGTCCTTCACATTGAATGGGCTGAAAGGACCGCGGGGTGGCAGCGGCAAAATCTGAGGAAGAGGGGGCAGTCGGCGCTCCTCGCCTACGTCAGAGGCAGCCACACTGGTGCTAGACCTGAAAGAACTTTGATACGGTTAGGAACTATGGGCTGAAGCTGGGACAGTGAGACAACTCACGGCAGAGAGAAGCGGCGAGAGATGTCTTCAGTAAAAGAACCCATTTCTTCATACATCGCAGTGGTTCGTCGTGAAATGCGTAATATGTGCAGTGGCGAGTTTGTTGAATTGGCTCACGGTATGGCCAAGAAAGATTTATACTGAAAGATCACAGGTAGTTCGCGTTCTTGTGTAGACTCGGTCGATCAGGTCGTAGGTTGAATGGCGGGAGTGCAAATAAAAACAAAAGTTGTATATGCACAGTGATGGACAACGGGGGCAGGACTATAAACAGAAAAAAGTTAAAGCGAACTCGAAATCTACACGAGACTAGCGTATGCAATGAGACAATGGACAGAAGGCGAAATCATACAGGCTGGGAAGCATGTTTATATGTAGATTGGGATGGTCCATTGTTTCCCGTTCCCAGATCTCAGGGCCTCTCCAGATCCAGGCGAGGGGAACCGTGAGCCAGGGACGATCCTCGACAGACATGAAGCGCGGAATTTCGGATGGCATACAGACAGATGGTGCATTTCTTTGCCCCACAGCTTCACCACGACGGGGAAGTAAGATGCGAATCCCGGGTGGGTGCTCTGGGCCACTTGCTAGTGCCCGCTTGGGCCCGGGAAGAAGCACCAGAGAAGAGAATAATTATCTTCGGTATCACAGAGTTATCTGTCACATCATGCACAGACTGAACCTCACATCCAAAATTATCAGATCGACGAATGAGGGGAGGTCGATCCACCCCGACAGGAGGGTTCACGATCATCCAGGACCCCTAATTTGTCACCGACCTCTTGGGTCTCGCGATCGGCACGGGGAAGATTTTGGTTTTTTTTTAAAGGTATTGTGGCCCTTGCATCAATAGTTATCCCAATAAATGGCGTTGAAGGTTCTCTATCAAAGCCTCCAGAGAACTCTCACACGGATGTGAAATGTTGGTGATGATGAAGTCGCCAAAACAGAAAACACGGAATTGAAAAACAGTGAACAAAACTAAGGTTTACGTGCATGCTCCACAATATCTACGTACATGCGCGGCCATGTCCGTATTCACCATCAGATCCCTGCTGATATCTCAATACGGAGTAGACGGTGATGCTGTAGTACATCTCAGCATGCATTCAGCATGCATTCAGCATGCATCTAGATCTCCTGCATAGTCAGGAGAAACTTCTATAATCGTGCTACAGTATCAAGGGATTACGCATGATCAACGAGCTAATACCCTTCGAGGCGCTTCTGGCAAATCTACATTGCCCCTAAGATAAATAGAATTAAGCAAGGACTGCGGGAGTGTCATCTTGATACACGCGAGGAGGCAAAATAAGAATACGGATCATGACTCTCTCCTATGGAATTGGGAATAGTTGGTCCAACAGGAAGTTAGAAGCGCCAATGACGGTTTCAGCGTTAGAATTGACTGCAACTATTAGGGGGAAATTTTATCGTCAAGCGAATCTCCAGAAGAGGTTCGAAACGACATTGCTCAAAACCAACGAGTTGGGAGACCCAAAGACCAGGTTACCTTTCCTGTCAGGCAGCCAATCATTAGGACTTGAGATGATTTGGAATTTTTTGACACACAGACGTTGGAGAATCGATCAGTCAGATCAAATTAATCTGCACTCCGTAATATGCCAAGGCTATCGATTTTATTTCTGGCGAACCCCTAAAAACCCTAATTAGATGGGCACGTTCCCCCGAGTGGAGAGTCCTACGTTCAATCATCTTCATTTCCTTTTTGTCCCCAATCGCATCTTGAATTTCGAATAGATTAGACTTGTTAAACCCTGCCTCTTTGCCGCTTGTCTTCGCTAGAACCAATGGTGGGTTGTGGAAATAGAGCTGTCATATTCTCCCGTCCCGTCTTACAGTCAATCAGCCTGCCTCATGGCAACTCCATCCAGCACCCCGTTCCCCACGTTTTGATTGTTTGTGCTCACAGTCCTTATGGTAATATTGGATGTTATTTATCATTGAAGGACCTTGGCAGAAGCCTACCATTATCTACTTCCAGTTCTAAACATATTTTATCTGTTGGTGGGCAAACACCACATCGAGATGACTTCACCTGAGTGACCTTTCTTTCGTACTTTGCAGGCTTTAACCTGAAACTCAGCTCCTCTAATTCATTTGGTTTCATGTTCCCTGTTCCCTGTTCCCAGAATATGCACCCGATCGGTGGCTCACGCTGAGTTTCACACGTCTCCCATCTGCAGACGGCACGTACCAGCAGTAAATCGAATAGAAAACTCTCACACGAACTATTCGAGTTCGGCCAAACTCTCTAAAGTATTTCTCCGATAGTTCCCCGGACCAATCTGGGCCCGAGGGATCCACGCTTGTCCTTGTTATTCACTCCCTGCTTACCATTCTAGGTAACGCGCATTTAGGATCTCCTCTCCGGATCTGCTGAAAAACAAATCGAGATCTCTAAAATTCGATCCTCAGAGAATAGACACTAATCCAGTTCTCTGGGACTTTACTTGAGACTTTGGTTTCATCGTGAGCGCCATCTATATGGGGTGTGCGTGTTACCGCGGGTGTGGACAGCTACGCCGTGGATTGCCAGGTCGATCTCCTCGCATAGTATGAACGCCTCCCTCTTCGTGTTCTGAGGATACCTGTAAAGGGTCCGATTTTCATACTTTCGTAGCCCCCTCTTTCGATAGTACGTGGCGTTCGCTACAAGCTTGGACATGATCCCCGTCCCGTGCGGCTCTCAGGTGCAAGGAACAAGCCACAGTACACAAATTTAGCATCCATTTTCCCAGGTCCTCTTCGCCTACACGGTACAGCTAACAGCAATCCCGGCACCAATGAGCATCTCTGATGTCATTTTCCCACCCAATCATTCCCAATGGTCGCCTTCTCGTGCCGCCTCTTGACCTGTCAAGTTTCAACTGTGAGTGACATGGCGGGGATAGTAGAATTAGAGACATCTTATTTTAATACTGTACATTACTGTACAGAGTACGGAGTAGGTGGAAGTCACTTGACCATTTAATGATTAGAGATGTTCCAATTGAACTGAATTGACATTCGGGCCTTGATCCTCGCCAAGCGCTTAAAAGTGCCTCATGCACGATATAGGACCCTCTTTCCTGTTGAGGGCATGCGAAGAACGGAGTAGCATGGCGACTAGAATAAGGGAATTTTTTATTAACCCCTGTAAAATCATATGCCCACGCGTCCCTGCTCCATGGTACGTGATTCGATCGGTTTCCTCAAGTGCGATTTCGACCTCTCTGCCATTCTTTTTTGGACCTTCGGTTGTAACTGTCATCTTCCCTGTGCCCACTTTGAATTGCCCCTCTCCAATTATGTACGTACAGTGCATTGCTGTGCGTGTTGTTTCCCCACTGGAACGCCCACAATTTCCCCCTCGTTCTATTGAGTGGCAAGCATAAAAATGCAGGCTCGTGTCAGATTGACCCCAAGAAGGAAGGGGCTGTGCATCTTTTTTAGTCTATTCGATAGAGTGATCTATTTGCATAAATGGCTGAGCACTATACCAAGCACTCTCCTCGCCTAAGAGCGGTGATGGACAAAAATTGTTATCCTCATACATGATCGTACCTAATGTCGAAGGCGGCATGAGCAGCAAGGGTAGACAATCATTACTGTTCGTTAAAAAAAAGTCTTATGGATCTCAAGAGCTGGCTTCCCACATTGTTTCAAATACACTGCAATATTGGGTGGAGGGTACACTGCTGCTTACCCAGCGAGTGTCGACCGTTAAGACGTTAGGGAAGGAAAAATTCCAAGATAACAACCAACGCCCACAACTCCTCAATCCCCCAGCCCAAAGAACGAGTATGCAGGAACTCTCCAATCCCTGTGCGTAGCAATTTTATTCCCCGACTGGTGTACTCCGCCACCGGCTCCTGCAAGGACAACTTCCTAGTATATAGATCTAGCAGACGCGCGCGGTGCATGGTACAGACGAATGTTGTATGGACTATTTCTAGAACTCAAATTCGCTGCGTCTGAGAGCTCACACTCGAGGGACTTCTCCGAAGTGCATAGTGCATGCATTCCCATACAGCGTAGATCTTCCCCCGTGGAGTTCTATACAACAGAGAACGTACGTTTTCTCTCTCGTTCTAGGGATCGTCTGGATCGTCTGGGTCGTCTGGATCTGGTTCCTACATGATGCATTGCCTCATCGATTAGCCCTATTGTACGCTCGAGGCCTCCACCATTTCCCATTACCTGGATTGCTAGTTGCCTCAAATGCAAGGCGGACGTATACCCTAACTAGTCGGCCAGGCCTAAAGAGGTATATCTTCACTCAGGTTCCCTTTTTGGGGGGGGGGCTTCTCTCGTTTCAGCTGACATGCATCATGTGCTTTCGAGATTTGAGTGTGAGATGACAAAGTACGGAAGCGGAGCTCCGTTTGGGACAACTCCTTGCCACCTTTATGTTACGCTGGAGTACTCCGTAATCTCGTTTGCCAGCCCATGTCTTGCACTGCTCTCCACTTGTCTGTTCTTACGTGCTGAGTCCCTGTAGGCAAGTGGACAGCATTACTTACATACTGCAATGGCGTTTTCTCGTGTTTGGATCCATTTGCACCTTTCCTGAAGGAGAAAAGAGGGCCAATGTCCACTTTCAGCGACGCTAGATCCCACGAAGAGTTAATCTTGGCAGTTCCCCGTTCACGTCGATGGTAATGTGAATCGAGGGCCCTATGAAAGCCACCAAACGGACAAATTCCGCACAATGCACAACGTCATTGATATCGATAGTTCTAGCCATTCAAGTAATGATCGGTATTTTTCAGCTCACAATCATGGCAGATTCCACCAAAGTATATTTTGCCTTTATAAGTCCAAGATTTTGACCCTGAGAGATCAGAATGTCTGTTAATAAATCTGAAATGTTTCAACTAAGGGACCGAAAACTCAGGGGAACATTAGGACATAATGACAATTCAAAAGAAAAAACCAGGTTGACCAGATCATCGTCGCGTAGCGGCCTACCGCCCTCAGCCCCTATCTGAGTTTATCTTCTAAAATCTAGGTACATCACAATCGCTCTATATTCTATATAGTGCGTCTCAGCTGTGCAAACACGGTCTAGAGCCTCTATTGGTCGACACATGCGGCAATTTTGACATGCAAGTACACATCGTTCACCCCTCTACCGTCGTCATTTAATCCACTACTCTATTCTGTACGACATGGTACTCCGCATCGGTCTAAATCGCGAGATTTTCGGTTCTTCTGTGTTGATTGGGAGTTCGTGCTTTGATATAAGATTCCAGCGACCGTAAGACTAATGCACAGTGTTCTTCAGAGCGTAAAGATCGCCAATTCCACTCTTCCCAACCACCGGGGTATCACTCTGCATACTCCGCACTTCGTTGCACATTAACTCGAATGCTACCAGAATAAGTACTTCATGAGCAGACTATCGTAAATCAATGGCTCCCAAAATGTGTCAAGGACGGAATAAATGGCCTGCATACAACAACGGCCAACGCAATCCTTATCTCTACGATTGGCCATGTGTATCAAAACACTCCACGTCCCAGTCTTCCTCCAACCCCATATCCTGGGCGGATTAAAGCAACCAATCACGGTACGCTTTGTTGAGATCGACTATCCGTTTCAAGTTAGCTGCGATCATGATCATTTTTGGGCCCCAGGAGGGGTCATCGAATCGGATTTAGCGACACGGCCCGGCGCTGTGGATTTGACAGATCGAATTTTTCCCGATGAGCTGGGTTGGTCTTGGCGACTTCATTTTTCACTGTTTCAAAACAATGATGCGAGTCACAGGATGATTTGGAGACGCACATGGTAGTTCTAGTATGAGCACAGAGATAGTCCTATATTGTGCTATCATGATGTCCTAGTAGGTACATTGTTGCATTGTCTATCTCTTGACATATACTGCACAACAACATATTGGCATGTAGACCGGCCTACTTGCGTATCAAAATTCGCATAGAATCATACTTTACCTTCTTCGTCGTCTCATTTTCAGACTATGTAACTTAACTTATCCTATCTAATTCTCTGAACCAACCCACAACTAAGGATCACCCCCCCCCCCCCCCCAAAACCCCCAAAACCCCGGGAAAGAGCAAACCCAACAGCCAACACATGACAAGAGAGTCCCAGGGACAACTTCCTATCTTCCTCCCGTCTCTAGCCCCTCTGTCCAGTCTATTCCCCCAATCCATGTTCCTTGTTTCATGACCCATGACCCATGACCCATCCCGCCACTAAGGTACCTCTCGTAGCTAGCCCGGGCCGAGGAAAAAGGACAACGCACACGCCCCATTCACATGGATGTGTTCTACCGATATCCAATGCCTAGCGTCTAGCGCTTAGTGTGTACCCACTGTGCACCACTGTCTTTGTGATATTGGTCGATGTGACCTCGGCTTGGTTCATAGGAGATAGGAGTGCGCTCGATATATGGTAGGAGGTGTCATGCTAGACACAATTTAGAAATTCTGTTGTCCTTGACTCCTAGAGAACTTTTGTTGTGTAGCTTGTGGATGGAAGGTGAATGTGTGTACTTGCAATGTTCGACTTGTCAGCGCGGGATTTGGAAATAGGGTTGGCTAGATTCATGAGTGAGGAGATTTGACTTTAGGGATCTGGTAGAAGCTACTCCGTAGTCTACGTCTGAATGGGCTGGAGGTTGGAGTTAACGCTTGAGGGCTGAAAATGTGGTGTGTGCATCGGGTAGAAGTATCGATGGGTGGATGGATCCCTTGGCGAAAGTATCCAAAGCGAGACGCTGTTTGACCCTTCGGGCTTTGGTATTTATGAAAATTCAGGCGACAGATCAATCGATGTGCCTAGACCATGCGGAGGAACGGCAGCCAAACTGATCACCTGTGATACCAAGGACAAACGGGATGTGGGGGCGTCACTGGCTTTTCAAATCTACTGGCAAGATAGATTTGTGTCGGAGGGAGCTGTGTCTTGAGGACAACGGTTGAGGGTTAAAAATGAAATACAGTTACAATCGTTAGCTCACATGCGACTAAGGTAGAAGGGAATATTACGGCATTAAAAAAAAGCTCAAGGAATGTTTACACAAGAAGTACAACAAGAACCGAGATCACACCCACAGGCCAGAAGCAGCCTCCCCTCTCGGTTTATCAACAGGGAACAAGCAGGTTACAAAGTGCAACCAATTGCATTAGGACGCGATGAGCGAACCTTGGAACGTGGCAAGACAATCAACAAAGGATAAGAAAAACTCCTTCCAGGGAAGCATCGCCCGAGGTCAGAATCCACAAGGCGAATTTTCTGCACGAAAGACCGAATTATTATCGTTAACAACTGCAATGTGGAACGAATATTGAGCTCGTTGCTTAGAGACTTTTGTACAAAAATCCCCAAGATCATTTGATTCCTCCACTAGTCAATCTTCTACAGAAGCTGAGCGAGGACACCGAAGATAGCGGCAAGGCCGACAACGGGGACGTTGGCACCGTTCATGAAGGCAGCACCGGAGCTAGTGCTGGAAGAGCTGCTGGAAGAGCTGCTGGGAGAGCTGGAGGTACCGGAGGCGCCGTTGGCCGTGGTGGGGTTGTTGTTGGTAGCATCACACTTGAAGCTACCCTTGATAACATCGTCGTTCTTCAGCTTGTGGAGATCGTCACAGCTGAAGTTACCGCGGGTGCTCTGCATGTTGAAGCTACCCTCAACATCCTTGAGAGCACCAAGAGCAAGCCTATTTAGTGTTAGAATTCATGTGCAGAGACAGGTGTGAGAGGAGGGTCACTTACTTGTTGAAGGTACCGCTAAAGTCAATAGCACCGTTAACACGCTGCAAGGCCGGTAGGCTGATGGTAGAGAGCTTGTCATCACGGGCAATGTTGAATCCACCGTCAACGGTCTTCAGGACGGGCATGCTGATGTTGGACAACTTCGAGTTATCCTTGAAGACCAGATCACCAGTCTGGGTCAGGTTAGGAGCGGAGAAAGTCTCGAATTTGGTACCCCAGAATCCGAGCTGACCAGTAAGCTTCTCAAGAGAGGGCAGGGAAACTGAGGAGATGTTCTGGAAGGTCATGTTGGTACCGGTGCCCAGGTTGGGAAGGTTGACTTCGAGGGTATCGTAGTTACCCGAGAAGCTAATCAGATCGGTGGCGTTCTGAAGGTTGTTGATGTTGATGGTTTTCAGTTCACGGTTGTTCTGGATGCTGAAGGTACCGACAGTCTTGAGGGTGATGCCATTCAGGTCAGTCAGACCAGTGTTGGCAATGCTGACATCGCCAGCCTGGGTGACACCCTTGGCGAAAGAGAGCGACTGGAGCTGCGGGAGAGCCTCCCAGTTGATGGAACCAACGGAGTCGAGCTCGGCGAAGCTAAGCAGGGTGAGAGTGGTGAGGCCCTCCAAATCGAAGGCCTTTCCGATCGAGGCAAGAGAGCCAGCAGTGATGGAAGTGACGTTCTGACCACCATTGCAGATCAGACCACCGGTGATCTTCTCGACACCGTTGATCGCGAGATCACCGCTGTAGGACTTGTCAATGGTTATATCACCCTTGATGGTGGTGCAAGTGTTGATTCCATCAGCATCGCTCTGGGTATGGATCACGGTATCGTTGCAGGCTGTGGAATGGCACTGTTAGTGGGTGTATGATGATGCCCATGACAAATAACTCACAGGCAGCGAAAACAGCCTGGCTAGCGGCCAGCGCGGGGAGGATGTACTTGAGAGACATGATAGGTTCTTGAGCAGACGTCAGTAATGGAGTTCAGGATTTTTCGATCAGGGGGGAGAGGGGAGAATGGGTGTACCGATTAGAGATATGGGAATGTTGGAGCAGGAAAATTCGCAATGAGTGAGTAGAGAAGAAGCGCTTCAAACGAGAGGGAAGCGGTAATACTGCCCGAGGGGATAAGGCAGGAACTCTCAAATGGTAAGAACGAATGGACGAAGGTTGGAGGAGAAGTAAAGAGGAAGAAGGAGGCTTTGGGCGAGGAAAAGGGAGGTGGAGATTGTTTGTATTCTAATCTTACCAGGTGCCACTTTTTTTACTTATATGGGCCATCAATACCAAGGGGGGAAGAAAAAAAACACACACAGTACCGCATGCGGCATGTCAGGACCGTGACCGTGCCAGGGCAGTGCTAGGTATTTTTATCACCGGTTTCGACCTCACTGGTTAGCCTGTATTTTACCAAAAGGTACCTCTATTACAATCTAAATTGAAAATTACGATAGTTAAATTACCGCAAATCAAAATTCTAGGCCTTTTTCTGCTTTTCATCGTTCGCTCTTGTGCCACCCCATTCGCCCCCCTTTCTCCATTTGGTGATAGAATTGGCTTGGGTACTTTGCTGACCTGATGATTCATCGATTCAAATGATTACATGGATGCGGGACGTCATTGGAGCTCATATGTAGATATTCATTGTTTACATGATCCTTTCGTCACTTTCAAACTGGGCTATGCACTCAGCAAGGTACCATATACTCTATAGATACGGACAAGGGACTACTTTGTAGAAGATCAGGCCTCGGCATGGTATGAATTATAGTTGCTACGGCAGACTCTGTCAAACCATCATTTATACACTGCGCTGTAGCTTCGCTTATCAAAAGTACCGAAATGGCTACACTCGGTATTTTCGACATGGACAAAAATCCCATGCAAATATATGCCCGTCGCCCATCGAGATACAGCGTTAGTGTTCCGTACTAGACGGGTCTAATAATAAAGCATAAAATACTAGCTTGTTACGAACATCCGGCACTTGACCACAATGGGTCAATCAGAAGTTCTCTAGCCAATTTATCAACGGCCCCATCCCATCCATCACTCGCTGTCGTCATCCATGCGACCAAACTCACTCGAGACTCCGCTGTTGTAGATCTTCAAATGTCTTGTGTGAAAACTTTGTTCCTCATTGGATGTTGTTGCATTCATATGAGACATCATCCAACCCCTGTGGCTATAATAATACAGTGTACTTGGCAATCCCCGAATCCTCCAACACTCTAAAGGATGTCTACAGTCGTTCTCCCCACCCGAAACACTAGCCACGCAATCTCCAAACTTGGTTTCAAAGCTTTTCAATTTGATAGTGGCCGATCTAAATTTGCGGACCCCTATGGACCCGCCCCCTGCCGCTATCGTCGATTTCCCGGAATGCCCGACTTCTGATTGGCACGTTGGAATGGCTCGCCCTGGACCATTTTCAGTCCTCGCCGTTTCCCGAAAATACAGCTCTACGTGAGGCAAAACGATCACCTCCTCGCGAGTATGATATGGAAAAAGGTGTCAAAGGAAGCCTAATCTTCAGCAACAAATGTAGTTCGATACCCTAGCCCAATTAACATGGCGCTACAAATTACGCGCACAGCGTTACCATAGGAGGTAAGTCACAACTGATGTTGTGAAACTCGGCCACTTTTCCCATTTGTCCCCAACTAAGTACTTTCACTCGACGGGTTTATATGCACCTACCTTGCCTGTAAATTACGATGAACAGCTTGAAATCACAACGATGCAGCTCTCAGACGATCTTAACTACACAAGAATTTGAAAATTTTCAATACACAGTGTGCTGACAAAGGAAATTTTCAACATCTGTGCGCGTTTCGAAACGACGCAGAACCCCCGGCCCTGACTTTGGCCCCGTGGATGGAGCTGGCGATCAAGCCATGTCTAGCATCGGCCCGGCAAATCTTCTATGAAAATTCAATCGCATCTTGTTCTTCAATATCGGAGTTAACAATATCAACTTTTGAATGTTTACACAACTGACACCAGCATCCCCTTTCGGATGGCAACAAAGTCATTTTTGTTAGAGACGTTACAGTGAAAGGTCGGGAAATGTTTCAGAACGGAGCCAAGCTGCTCGATACGTCTCACTCCACCTTGTATGGCTCCACTAAGCTAAGTGTGATGTGATTTTTTTTGGCCACTTAAAATACTACTAGTATCAGAAAACATGGGTCATGATGTTCGACTCCGCACCTCTTCATAGAGAATGGGTGAAGCAAACCCCCAAGTCTGCAAAATTGCAAAAACTTGACACACGTGGACCTTAATACCGTCATTACGCCACTCATATGGATTCCATGAAACATCAAGCTAGGCCCAGCTCCGTGCTGGCTGTTCTAAACAGTCACTTGTGACAATACGAAAGACACCTGTGTACTCCGTTTGGTGATTTTTGTCTTGTGGCATTCAACTCACATTCCCGTCCTGTCGACCCTAGAAGATCAAGACGGGCTGGCCACGTACTGGAATGCGTGGAACGCTCAACAACACCTATCTAGGGGTCACAAATGACCACATTCCCTAGAACACGAGAACGAAACCGTGATTGAAAGGCAAACATGAATAATTCACTTGCTCGACCCCTCTGGGGTATGTGTTTATACCCTAATCCGGATAACCCTGGCCGTGCAGACTGGGCGTGCAATGCAGAGCTTTTCCGCGTTGTGATTTTTGTGGTCTCTTGGCTTTCAGGACTAGTGATCTCACGGTCTCACAAACAAGGATCCTTTCTTGTTTCGAACTGATGCACTGAGGATTTGACTCAGTTCAACGTTTCGGGCTAAATGCTAACCTCTATTTTTAATTGGCCACTCTCTAATTGCTTTACATAGATGAACGTTCGGTTCATTTCCGCTTTTTCTAATTTCCTTTAATCACCTCCCGAGTATATTTAGTCGGCGAGTGGGTCAATTTAATCACAGGCGATGACATGAGCACCTGAATCGTTCTCCCCGTTGCTGTTACAAGCGCCGACTACCATCGCAACTGTAGTAGTCGCATTGTGAGCTATCTTTAGCTAGATAACAGTAACTTGAAGGAATTTGCATGTGTATCGGATGTACGCGAATATTGGTGCCGAGTGACAGTGCACGGTCTTCCACGGTAGGCCAGCGGCTCGGCTCGAGCTTCTTGAGAATCCAAATTTTGTCAACGAGCGTTGTGTGCTCAGAATGACTTAGCCTGGCCGATAGGAGGATAATTGAATTTATAAAGGGTGTGGTACGTCACATGTTGAATGCTTGCTTTTGTGAAGTTGAATGTAGTTCTGTATCGTACCAAAGCAGTGTTGTGATTTGCGTTGACAAAAGGCCGACAAAAATCCTAGTACACACACTTATATAGAGTATACGTAGTTCCATAGAACTGAGCCCAAGGGCTTTCAACAAAAAATCTGGTATGTCCTACCTATAACTAGACTGTCGCTATTAATATCCCAAATTAGATCCACTCTATGGTGACAGCCAGAAACCCAACCTGGGAAGACGTATACAGACAGGATGAAGGGGATTATGCCTTCGAATTACACTGCAAAGCCACGCGATTGGATGCGAGATACCCCGCTGTGGTACAGTTCCAAAGAACTATTCATAAGACCACCCCGTGAACTGAAATTGAAGATCCATGGCGATTCCGTACTACAATACCAAGGGTTTCTACCTGAAATTTCGAATTAAAACTTGGAAGACAGCCTAAAGGGTAAAGTGTTGATATACTCCGTATTTGGTGATGCATCGGGGTGATTTTGTGCCAGGTAAACATTACATGAACCCCGGATCCGATGTGTGCTGCAGATGATCCACTATCGCCACGCTACTTCGAGACGAACAAACGGACGTTGGTGAAGTGCTTGAGTCTGCCTCTACTAATAGGCAAGACAGGGAAATTTATTTGGCGATTCAAATTCATATTCTAGTCTCCATGTAAGGATCAGATGATTCTGTCGAGGGGAGAGATATTGGAGAATACATAGTGCTTGATTATATGTTACAGAGGTAAAGTGGTTGCTCCACCAGGACACAATGATATCAATGATCATATCGAGGATCAACGCTCCAAGATAGAAGCTTGCGTTGCTGTCTACACAAATGCATCGAAGAGCGTCATTGTGCTTGGCACTCGTGGGGTAACGCGGCTAAACTCCAACTTCGTACCTCCACAAACCCCAGCTTCCCCTATACCCACCTCGAGACTTCCTCAGATCCAGTACATGTGCCATTGAGACGTGCTACCCATACATCATCTAAGGATGTCACTCAGGCGCTCAGCCCGACTGGGCTCCGTCCCAACCATCAAGTCAACACTACTGCAAAGCTCAGCAACCAAAGCTCAACGCAGCGCAGTGACCAAACCTCGCAAGGCACCCACAAAGTCTAACAAGTTGGAAAAAAAGGCCACAAAGACGAAATCAAAAACAGGAACCTCATATTGTCCCACCGAGCCAGCAGTCATAGAGAAACAAGAAGTAGACAGCCAGCCCTCAACCACCAACCCCGCGATACTCAGATCTCAGACACCGCCTCCCCTCGACCGCCCCGTCGACCCGCACCGAACAAACGCGACCCTCATCACACCCCACGGCTCAACGGTGAACGCATACCCAGCGCACGTAGAAGATGCCTCGCCCTCGAAAACCGGCCTTCCACCGCCAGCGGCTACAACGGGGACGCTGCTGGAGAAAGCTACCGCACACCTAATAGCGACAGACCCACGAATTGCAACAGTGATCGAGCAACATCCATGTCCGCTCTTCTCGCCTGCCGGCCTGGCTGAGGAAATCGACCCCTTCAACAGCTTGACCAGCAGCATAATCGGCCAGCAAGTCTCTGGCGCGGCAGCAAAGTCTATCAGGAACAAGTTTCTGGCACTGTTTGATTTACCCGATACTGTTGCGCCTGATGGGCATAGACATGCAAAGTTCCCGACTCCAGATCAGGTTGCCAAGTGTGATATTCCTACCCTGCGCACGGCGGGGCTGTCGCAGCGCAAAGCGGAGTATATCCAGGGCCTTGCGCAGAAGTTTGCTAGCGGAGAGCTTGGAGCGAGGATGTTGGCGTTGGCGACTGATGAGGAGCTGTTTGAGAAGCTCATCGCTGTTCGTGGATTGGGGAGGTGGTCGGTTGAGATGTTTGCTCTGTTTGCGCTCAAACGCATTGATGTGTTCTCTACTGGAGATTTGGGGGTACAGTAAGTTTATTTCTTGCTTTTGTTCGTCTGTAAATTCTTGGTCTTATAGCTGGGAGAGTGCGGCTCAGCGGAGGATACGTTTATTGACACCTCAATAGACGAGGCTGTGCTGCCTTTATGGGTCGTGATGTGAGCAAACTCAAAGGCAAGGGTGGTGGGAAGTTCAAATACATGGCTGAAAAGGATCTGCTGGAACTTGCCGCAAAGTTTGCTCCATATAGGTATGTGTGGCCCTGTTAACGGCGTAGACAACATGCTTACTCAGTTGATCCAGGAGTTTGTTTATGTGGTATATGTGGCGGATAGAGGACGTTGATGTGGCTGTTCTTGGTGGTTAAAAGGCGTAGAAGTGCTACTGCTGTGAACTAGGCTGCCTTGATACAGCGGGATCCTCTAGGCGTTGAGCGTTTGAGATGGGGCTGTAGTATAAACGATGTCGTGTTGTATAAAATCAACATCTGGGGGTGAATTGTGGCTCTGATTCCGTAGCCACGAGAGAAGGGATTCGAGTAAAGATGTTCTGCAAACGCGGGCAGGTGTTGGGTGCCAACGCCCAAATTGACCAGCTCGGCTACCCCAGCCCGCATAGTATCTTGAACTACACCATCATTACCAAGGATAAACTATGCAGCAAGAGGCGCAAGACCCACTTATAGATTTACATGATTGATCATAAATTGAAGCGCGCGAAGAAAATCGATTTGTACAGTATCAGTACACTCAGGCTGCGTAATCAAGCCATGGGCCGCCGACGACGACACCCATTTTATTACGAAGAAAGCACACAAGGCGTTTATTCAATGCCAACCAGCCCCCTGTTTTCATATTCTATTGAACCAAGCAGCGATGGCTTACTTGCGGACAACAAGGTTGTCAAGGTCAGCACGCTCCTTGGCCTCTTTCTCGACCTCGCGGATGATGGGGCTAAGGTACTCGATGTCCTGTTTGATTTGCATAGTTAGCATTGCGTTCGTTGTGGTGAGCAGATGCCTCAAAACGATATCGGGGTGGATGTGAGGATGTGACAAATCCATGCAACAGGATTGGCCGATATGGAGACTCATGCGGGGAGGACGAAATTTGGATGTTGGGGACTCACCTCCTCGGGCTTGGTCTGCTCGTTAGCGGGAAGGAGAGTGTGGGAGATGGAGCACTGCAATTGACACGTTTGTTAGGATTTGCGCTAGTCGGATATAGAGGAAGGGGGTCTGTCGAACCTGGAAAGCACGGCGGATACGGAAGACACGGTCGTAGGCCTCCTTGGCGGGAAGACGCTTGATGGCCTTCTGGACATTCTCGCTCTCCTCGGGGATCAGGTCATCGAACCTAGTTGGGCGGTTAGCATGTGTTTCGGTCCAACCCTTCCGCGAACGATATCCGAAAGACCGGGCCTCCGGGCAAATTCAGTGTAACTGCGATTGCATTCAAAAGATATGCGACCGTTGCGCATTGAATTTGACCAGCCAATTCCAAATTCTTATCTCAATCGTTCGTGGTCGAGGGGTTGTCGATGTTGAAGGGCAAGAATTACTTGAGTCCGAGTCTCCTGTAGCCGGCGGCATCGGTGTACCAGTGGGAGAGAGGGGTGAGCCAGCTCTTGAGCCACGGGCGCTTGACGATGTAACTGGCGAGCGAAGGGGCAGACATTTTGAATCCCGGGTATCCCAATTGACGTGGGTGTGGTGAAGGGTTGGAAAGGCTATCCGACTGGAACACGAGATGACCCGATGTTGCGAGGTTGTGCAAAACGGAGCTCGGGCGGCTAGTCCTGAAACGGAATCTTTACACCTGAGGCAAGAAACACGTGATCTAGTCATGCCTCAGGCGGTGGGGAATCTGGGAATGGCAATCGGGGCACTCCACCTAACGGATGGGTTTCCTATGTCATTTCCCCTTTTCGACCTTATCGCTTGCTTTGACAGAGATGGGATTTGTTCAGCCTCATAGCAACAACTGATCCCTGCTTATACTGAGAAGCTTGTTTGTTCTCAGAACCCCGCCCACGTCCGTGCTGCAAGATTATAGAACATTGCGCATTCAACGCAATCGCACCGGGTTCGGCAATCATCGGCCCCGAAAAGGCTCTCGATCCTCCGTCAATACTGACACCTTCATCCTTACACCATTTACCGACTTTGGACTTTCGATATTGGGTATTCGGACAATCTACTTCTCTTTTCCAGCTCGGTTTGAAATAAGGTTCTTGGGTTCCGGATCGAGCACCCGATATGCTCGTGTCCGGGAGCCCTCGTTGATTCAGTACGGTTCGACAAGCTGCGTGAGCGCCGGCCACCAAGATGACTACAAACGGCCGAAGCGCTCCGAACAGCTCCCAAACCCAAACTCAATCAATCCATATCAACAATGCTCCCAATGTGCCCGCCGCACCGAGCTCTGATTTCAAAGCCCGCCTCGAAGTCTTTTCCACCAAGATACCCAACTTTTACATAGCACCTTTCTGTGGAGCCAGCGCTGGCGTGGCCTCTGGTATTGTCACATGTCCTCTTGATGTGATCAAAACGAAGCTCCAAGCCCAGGGCGGATTTCGGCGGGGAGCAAAAGAAGTTGCCTCGGGAGTGTTGTATCGTGGCATGCTAGGAAGTGGAAGGAGGATTTGGCGGGAAGATGGCGTTCGCGGTCTCTACCAGGGACTAGGTCCAATGTTGCTGGGTTATCTTCCTACCTGGGCTGTTTATCTAGCAGTCTATGACCGGACTCGTGAATATTTTTATGACCAGACAGGTAGGTATCTCCACACTGGAGGATCCAGTCATTTGTCAGGACTGACCAAACTACAGGAAGCTGGTGGCTATCCCGCGGCTATGCTTCAATCACAGCTGGTGCATGCTCAACTGTTGTCACGAACCCTATTTGGGTAATCAAGACCAGGCTCATGTCACAAAGCCTTAAACAAAATAGTGAAGGTGTGCGAGCCCCTTGGCAATACACAGGCACATGGGATGCCGCTCGCAAGATGTATCAAATTGAGGGCCTTCGCTCCTTCTACTCTGGCCTCACCCCAGCTCTGCTGGGACTGACCCATGTGGCCATTCAATTCCCGCTTTACGAATATCTAAAGATGGCATTGACAGGATATGGTATCGGTGAGCACCCCGATACCGGTAGCTCACACTGGGCGGGAATATCCGTTGCCACTTTCCTCAGCAAGATCTGTGCAAGCACGGTCACATACCCGCACGAAGTTTTGCGGACCCGACTCCAAACGCAGCAACGGACTATTCCGGCACAATCTCACGAAGAGGTTGCGTTCCGCGGCGGATTGAAACATCCGCATGACCGCGGTCGGTCAGGTGGCATTTCCTCGTCAGATGGAATGCCTAGCCGTCCGCGTTATAATGGCATGGTGCGCACATTCCAGACAATTCTCAAGGAAGAGGGATGGCGTGCGTTTTACTCTGGGATCGGCGTCAATCTGTTCCGGGCCGTCCCGGCTGCCATGACCACTATGCTCACCTATGAATATCTGCGGAAGCAGATCAATACCTTGCAGCATGAGGGTACGCTGAGGATCCAGATGGAAGAAGAAGCCCATAGATCTATTTGATACCCACGATATATCAACACACGGTAGACAGCTTCCAACCTCCTCCCTTCTTTGTGCTCCTATTAAATCGCACCCCCTCCCCCCGGCCTTCACCGATTCTGATGGCCAAGTTCTTTTTCCTTCTGCCAACCCCTATATAGATATGGACGGGGTGATCTGCTGCTCGATATTTGCAGATCAACATTGAGCGAGTAAATTTTGGCTACTGCATTTTGAAAGCATACGAGGGTCTTGGCATAGATGACAGTGTCTCCGGAATCTAAGGCTCTAGCTGTGAAACAGCTTTCACAAGTCTTCACATGCTCGCTGCGTCTTAGCAGAAAATATTCTATGCGTCAACACATGGCCTTTTTCTCTTGGTGCTTTTTAAGCTTGTCTACCATCTTCTTGGATTTTGTATGTCTTTTCTGTATTTACAACCCCTATTCTACACGCTCGCCCATTCTTGTGAATGCACGTACTTGAATAAAGAAATGGCTCTCATGCCTGATTTTGCAAGATGAAGGACATGTTTCAGTTTAAACTACCATCTAGGAACTGGTATTTCAGAATCCAAATCAACCACTGCGAAGCCTCTAGCATGAATTCCAAGAGGCCTCTAGGTCGGTTGTGACTTTCACGAGCACATGGAAATACTGGCAGGCATGGGTATCAAGATTCGGAGGGCGATTTTGGGGAACGAGGATGTCATGTAGTATTCTCTACTCCATGCAGAAATCTTGCGCAAAGCAAGTTCCTTGAGAGGAAAGATACCCAAAATTTCAGTTGCAAGGTAGACAGAGAGGTCTTTGCAGGCAGTGATGGCCTCTCTGTGTTCAAGCTCGCTTGAAAGGTTCTCACTGTTGTCCGAAATTTTGCTTGTTGGCTCCACATCTTGGTCATTATCACTGCAAGTCTGCTGTCAGAGAAAGCAGAGGACTTGCTCGACGGTCCCGGCGGTGGATTCCCTGAAAGAATAAATGTAAGCAATTTGAACTGTTGGAGGCTAAGCATCTTACTTGAACGCCATGTTAAAGGGCGGCATCGAGAAAATGTGACAATGTACAGATAATGGAGCGGTGGGCGTTGAAAGTCCCATCCTGGTAGACAATGGCAACACCCGAGAAATGATCTTCCACAAGTAGACTACCAAGTGCCTGGCAAATACAAAGAGGAATTACTGACTGATGCCATATTGAGAAACAAGAGAGAAGCTTGATCAGAAGCTGGGAGAGTCAAAAAAAAGGGAAATAAGGCATCAAAATCAATACCATCGGGTATAACTCAACATCAGTTGATCTATATGGCTTCAAATCTAGTCGAAGCCATGTCCGTTTGGAGACCATAATTATAGCCATGAAGGATAACACGATCGCTATAATAATTAGCTTGAATAGGAAGCACAGTTTACACTAACTTAGAGCAGTGGTCTTCAAAGTCCAGTTTTCTTGATGCTGTTAGATGTTGTATCAAATGCATTCCAGGTTGAAAGTAGAGTGGATGTGCTAATAAACGGGGCAACCACGTGACACACTGTTTAAATTTGCCCCAATTAATTTTTCCCTCTTTCCTCCAGTTTCTCCTTACGCACTTTTTTTCTAATAGCATCAAGGTGCACTTGTCTCTCAGGTGTTTAATGCCGGCACTTGGGAACCAATTACAATAGCCACAGATCTACTAGATGTCGATTTTGATCAGGCTTACTTACTAACCTGACTTGCCAACAACACCGTTGACCAACTCTGCGGCCACAGGATCTATTGAAAGGCAATTGGATGTGCCAGTATAGTCTTATACCACCCCCTGTTTACTTTCACTATGCACCTTGTCTCTCCTTTGGCCAAAATACGCAATTCTCCTTCACCATTCGCATGATGAACATTTTCAAGATTGAACTGGGTTGTCAACACACTTAGACTCCTGGTGCATGATCATTCATACACTGAAAATTCTGATTGAATATGAAGACGCAGATGGTACCTCCAGTTTATTTTTGCTTCCTTTTAATCTACATGCAATGAACAGCCTTGATGAACAAAGAATTTCACACATTGGTATCACAAACTATCTATCAAACACTGTAGTAGATTCAATATATCAACATACACGTACAAAAGCCCCTTTCAGCATAACTAAGTACACATGTACATGTATGCAAGTACACATCAAGTTCGTCCCTTCTGACCATTCTGCGCTCGACTCTCTTCAAGCGCTTGTTGAACCCAGGACTCGTCTTTTCTCTCTAATGGCGTGGCTCGCTGAAAAGAACCAGGCCCCGAAGCTTGGGTCTGGGCATCTCGCCGCGCAGTGCGGATGGAGCTAAAACAGTATGAACAAAGGATCACAGCCATTGTAAAAGCTGCAATTGGAGCATTGAGAGACTAGACAAGATCAGTACTGGAAACCCCATTAAAATAGAAAACGGACAGAAAATTGGAGGGTTTGTCTAAGGAATCTTAGTGGGCTGGGTAGTGTTTAGATTGGTCTTTGTCATGCAGTGTACATACCCCTTTTGGCTTGCCTAACGCTTTGGGATTTTCTCTTTGTTGGGCCATCGCGTCCACTGGTATGTTGTGTCTGATTTTGATGTACTCCGCAGGTAGGCTTGAGTTGTGTCACCTTTGCCAGCCGAACCTTGTTTAAAAGAAGACGAAATTCCACAAAAGGGAAAAATTTAGGCAAATGAGAGAGATTCAAATAAAATTGGGAGGCCCCGCTCTTATATGCGAAAGACGCAGGAAATGTCAAAGTGACGGTCGAGGTGACGATAAATGATGGAAGCGGAGAGTTGAGCGGTAGCCGGGGTGCTAAATGAAAGCAGCCTTATCGCCGGTGCCGACGTTCTCAGGCCGTCGACACATCCTCACCATAACAACAGTTATGGCTTCTGATCCCACTCCTCCCAAAGGAGGAATGTCACTGTATGCCAATTTACTAAATCCCTCTACCGATACGCCTGGCAGCATCTCCCGTGCCCCTGTTGTTTTTAAACAGCCGGAGACCGAACCTCCACCCGATGACACGGCTAAAAAGCAACGACTGAATCCTGGTATCTGAGCTTGACTTGTTGGATACTTGGAACATCACTAATTTGTTATGTTTTTCCACAGCTTCTCTTCGGTTTCAACCCCCCAAAAGACCACAGCTCTCAGCTCAGAAGCCTAAACCGAAACATACATTACCCAAGGCAGTGCCACAGCCCTCAGCTAACCCTTCGGTACCGACAAAGAGCACTTTGGCTGATTGGACCGCTGTGGAAGATGATGATTATGAGTACGCGCGCGAGAAGCGACAGCGCGGTGGAAGAAAGAAGCGCAAGAAGAACTTTGAAATCCATGTCGTCCAAAACTGGGAAGACATCTACGACCCTTCTCGACCAACCAATTGCGCAGAATACCGCCATAGTGATGAGACAATCGGGGAAATTCGCGAGTGGAAGGATGCCTTATATGCGCATGTCAGGAAGCGCTCACCCAGCAGATATTCCGACAGCGAGGATTATGATCGGCCAAACAAGCGTATGTTTGGGTCTTTTGCGGTTAATGAGGACATCCAGACTGAATCAAAATCACTAGGACAATTTGCTCCTCCAAGTAACTTTGCGCCGCCGCCAAATCTTAACGATGTGCCACCATCAGCTTCTATCCCCAATGACCCATCCGGTGACGATGCATTTGCTCGCCGGGCAGCATTAGGACAACGCTTCGACAACAGTTCCATTACCGCTCAGGCCCAACTCCCTACCTCACCTCCATCCCGCACTGAACATCCCACCCAAATTCCCGATGACCGCACTGGCGAAGACGCGTATATGCACCGCTTCCAGAGAGCTGAGAACACACCATCGGGACAAGCCATACCGCCGCCTCCTCCTCCTCCTCCTCCTCCTCCTCCTCCACCACCACCTCGCCCTCTTGATGCCTTCCAACCCAGCTCCGCAACGATCTCCCGCGCACCAGTCCGATACGCTCTTCCGCCACCCCCAGAAGACATCCCAGCCTCCGAAGGCGAACTTGAAGCCATACTGGCCCAAGAGCAACCGACGGATAAGGAAGAATCACGATCCCTTCTTCCCGGCCAAGCAGAATTCGGCTCACGAATGCTTCACAAGTGGGGCTGGAAGGAGGGATCTGGGCTCGGCGCTACTGGTTCTGGTATGGTGAAGCCGCTGCAAGTCAAGCTTGAGAAGCGAAAGAGGCGACCCGACTCAGAGGGTGGTGGCTTTGTCACACCTGCTGGACGAGGTAAGATCATTGGAAGCAACAACAAGGGTGAATATGAAACCAGCAAGTTTGGTCCCATGAGCGAAGTGGTCAAATTATTGGGCATGCTGGATGGAATGGACCTGGATGCTGAGATGGAGAGGGGTGAAAATGGCGGCTTGATGCAGGAGATTGGACAGGAGTGTGGTGACAAGGTATGTTTTCGTTCGTCGATCGGCTTGGACTTTTGCTAACTTGAGGGGCTCATAGTATGGACCCGTGGAGCGAGTCTTCATCGCTCGCGATGTCGGAACCCCAGTCCCGGTCTTTATCAAATTTAAACATCCCTTGTCTGGTCTACGGGTAAGCTTTTGAGATTCAAATGTGAGGTTGTGCATTACTGACGGATGCACATCTGATAGGCCGTGAATGCGCTCGAAGGCCGGATTTTCAACGGCAACACAATTGTTGCACGATTTTTTGATCTCGAGAAGTTCGACCAGGGGATTTACACGGACTAGTTGCCCATGCTTATGCCCTTAAATGGACGCTTTGACACAACCGTTTGTTAATTTGTGCATTCTCAACTATTGCATGAACATACAGCTGTTAATGTGCCCGAAAGCCAGTTACTCAATGGCAGCAAAATCAAAAGACGGTTTTTTTCGACTGAGGAGTTTGACCGGGGGTTCACATGGCGAATTGCTTATGTTCATACCCTTTTGTGTACTTTACTATGTTAATGATATTGCTCGATTCATTTGATGTGGCTCTAGTGAAGTTTCATTGCAATTTTCTCTAAGACTACCTCTAAAAGTAAATCAAGATGTAGACTATGGAGTATCTCAATAGCAAATCATCCAATCCCCTACGAAACTTCAAAAAATCTGACCAAAGTCTAGTGTCCCACCACTCTAATTCATCGATCTATTGCCCCGACACTTTCTTAACAGGGAGGGGTATCCAGGAACGCCAAGTCGGAGGATCCTCCTTCGGCCTAGAAGTGCCGAGCAAGGACTCTGTATCCGACACATCGTCATCACTGATAAATGCCAGATATGTAGGATTCTGCTGGTTGCGCACCAACCTAGTAGGAAGAGGAATCCAAGAGCGCGAGCTCCGGCGCATCTGGGGCCGAGGTTCCGGCAAAGGCTCGTAGACATACTCCTCTTCATCGTCTGCGTAATTATCAGTATAACCAACCAAAGCGACAGAAGAAACATGAAGCGAGGAATGTTGCACTAGAGTCGGCATGCGTGCCGGGCCCCTGTGGAAGGATGCCCGGGTCTCCCGGTTCTCAATTCGGTCAGCGAAAGACCTGGGAGACTGGGGGACCCACGTCTCTATATCAAGTTCCTCGGCGTCGCTGTCATCGATTGTCCAGCCGTCTTCGTTGCTACATCTGAATGCATCGTTGAGTGCAGCCAGAAGGTCTTCTCTGCGCCATTCACGGAAGACAGAATAGCGTAAGATCAACTGCTCAAGCTTGCATTGTAGACACTTCCCTATAAGCGAGAGGTAGATTGTACTGTGCTGCTCTTCGGTGCACTCGTTGCCCGTTCTGAAGGCTCTGTGGCACGCGATTTGGTAGCTTGCACCCAGATCTTGGTGCTGACACATGGCATAGTACCAGATAATTGAATGACACATGATGATAGATGATATAATGGAGCTTTAAGATTTTATTTGTCGATATCGGTGATGGGGGTTTGGCTAAGGGTTGGTGAGTGTGGGTGGGATGGACATAAAAGTCGAAACGGGCAGATCTTCCTTTATATCCCTCGGACCAGATTGTAAGTGTGTTGGCATCTGCCGACAACATTTGTTGTTGAAGAAAGCCTTTGTCGAAGATGAATTTGGGGTTCGAATAAAGAAAACGCTTTGCTGGATCACCTCCTCTCGGTCATCTGTGATAGCTATTGTCCATTATGGAAGGCATGATAGACCCTCTTTGTTACCATGGAGAGTATATGAATGTCTTTGTTTCATGATTGTGTAGATGAAGACCGTAAGTGGGATGTTTCTGTCTACATTTTGTGGTCTTTTAAAAAAGGAAACGAATCAAAAATTGTACAGAGAGTGGAATAGTCCATAGACCAGGTAGGATCAGATAGGATTGATTTGAATTCCATAGCTTGCTACTCTATGAATATCCGGATAGACATCATCAACTAAATAGCCGTACATTTTGACTGACTATAATTTAATAGGAAACATAAATATAGGTATAAGCCATGGACAATATCACTACATCCATGTGTCTCCGCGCTTTCCCAAATCAAGCTTAGCCTACACATTCCATATAGGTTATTTTCCATTTACAATTTCTGTTTAGATAGAGAGAATTTGTATTCAACGGTAGCAGAGCTTTACGTCGAGTTAGAAATTGCTAGCCGCTTGAAACACCCGTATCAAATAGCCCAGAACGAAACAGTGAGCTGATTTCAATAAGTAAGATTTTTAATTATGAGAGCGAATAAGGGTCCAGGAGTCCGCAGGTGGTAGCTGATCTCGATTGGATGATGATGACGGAATGGAATTCCGAAATATTGAAGCATAAATAGGTGGATGTCTCAAGTAGACCTTATTTATCTCCTCGTTAAACAAAAGCTTTCCAGAGAACACATGTTCCTCATAATAGTCATAAGGATGTGCTGAAATAGTACGTAGCCCAACATAATCAGGGCAGGTATCCTTCTGCTTGTCCATACAGTTCTTGCCAGCATGTACATGTATTCAAGCGCCCACACTGGTTATAAGCCACCCGAAGAACTCATGAAAGAATAACGGGCCGCTTGTGTGGCCCTGCAATTTGTTTTTGTTTGTCTTTTGGGCGGTCTTTTTTTTAGATATTTTGTCCCCCTTCTCAGTTTCATAGATGGACGGCACGAAAAGGCGGAGAAAGGCCTAACTTGTTTAAATAGCCAAGGATTTGTTCAGTATCTAGTTCTGGGTTATATCATACTATTCTTTCAAATCTGCTAAATCGACCAAAAGACAAACTTGTGAAACATTCGGCAAGCTATTCACATTCATGGGAATAACACCAGCCTTAACAGCATCCGCAAGAAATTAGCTGGCATCTTCTTAATAACAAAATGTGTCAAATGACAAAGTCTATGAAGTGCTCTAACATATCGAAGAAAGACATTCTGTGGCACCATGTAACAGCACCGAGATCTTTCTGGTACTATAGCACCTGTCAAGGCCTATGCACCCGTATGCCCTCAATTTCCTCTATGCAACTCATGGTACAGAACAAGAGCGGTAAATTAAGAATCGTGCTCATTTGTTGTTTGTTTGGATGAGCTCGTATAAGTAACATTAGCTTGTAACAATCAAGTTGCTAAAAAGTGTAAGTGCGTAGTGTTGAACGAAATACAGCGTACTTTTCCACTAGACCATAACAAAAACCAAGGTTCCTTTTTATGGCCTAGGGGGCCATATTTGAGGTTTGACACGTAGCCCTATGTGCCTGGAACTGCTGTCATATCAAGCGAGAGTCGGACAAAATTGGCAAAATCTCTAGTTTCAAATGTCAGAACCTCACATATGGCCCCCCTAGGCCATAAAAAGAAACCTTGGTTTTTGTTATGGTCTAATGGAAAAGTATGCTGTATTTCGTTTCACATCAAATAATACAGCAAAACATAAAATCACACCGAACCAGTTGATATTATGATTTATGCCTGACATTACCAAGTGAGGCTCGTCGGGAGGTTCCTAGGCAAGGCCAGGCCCGACATGTGTTACATAAGCAAACTCATTGTTAGCGTGGGGAGGTCGATTGCTATCACCTCCCCGGCTTTGACGATTGCCACCTTTAAAATCTTCCGCTCATCTCCTCACCTCTTTTTCCCTCTCTCACTGCCCATAACTCAACAACCCATCGTGCTCTACACCCTATTGGAAATCAAGTTGCATCTTTCGGCTGCTTGATATTCTCTCACCACGAGTCAACTACTCACCCGCTCAACGCCGCCCAAGATGTCGTTGTGCCAGAACCGTCTACAAGAAGAGCGGTAAGCAGGAATTTTTTGTCTAGCGGATCCGGCGAATCTGCGTATCACTTGCACCACGCCCTTGCCCCGAACTAATATCGATGGATTTCCTAGAAAGCAATGGCGTCGCGATCACCCATTTGGCTTTGTCGCAAAGCCGAAACGTGCCCCGCAGGGTGGCCTGGACCTGAAGAACTGGGAATGTGCTATTCCAGGGAAGGCTAACACTCTCTGGGAAGGTGGACTTTTTAAAATCGACCTGATTTTCCCCGATGGTAAGTGGTGCAATACATTCCCGAGTGCCGAAGATCAATATAATAATCGAGATACTTTCCCACTATTAGAATATCCTACCAAACCTCCTAAATGTACGTCTCTCCTCTGTGATATTCGCCTGTGCTCGCTCGCCGGCAGAGAGCTTCTGCTGGGAGCTATCACCATGGTTTATTGTGACAGCAAACCACTAATACAAGAATTATTCAGGCAAATTCACGCCGGCACTTTTCCACCCAAATGTTTATCCTTCCGGGACGGTCTGCCTGTCAATTCTGAATGAGGAGGAGGGTTGGCGACCTGCAATCACTATTAAGCAACTCTTGCTTGGCATCCAAGATCTCCTGGATGACCCAAACCCCGAGTCACCTGCGCAGGCTGAGGCCTACAACCTCTTTAAGAAGGACCGCCCCCAATACGAACGCAGGGTCCGCATGGTTGTCAAGGAAAATCAGCCCAACTAGGAAACCAGCCCAATCAGGCATTTGAGTTACCCAAGCGTAAACAGCGATGGCGCTGCATGGGTCTAATTTTTTTTTTCTCTTTCAGCATTTGATACCGGGGAGATTGAGGGAAGATTATGCATTTATTGTTTAACGAAAGGAGCAAGTTTTTCTTTTCTATTCACGAGCATGGCGTTTCTACATATCCCAATGGATGGCGTTCTCTGGGATTAGGGTCACTCGGAAACAATGATACCACACACATGCTCTTTGCCGGGATGCCTAGGCTTGTCATGTATTGAGTACAAGATGACTCTCGTAGAAGAAAATGGATGTTGTCCAGGGATCTTTTGGTCCTCTGCATAAGTAAAATCATCTGGGCAGTCAACCCAACATCCGTGTATCTCTGCGCTGATGGAGTGAGCCTATGGCGGGTTTGTTGCGAAGCTGCAGCAACTTGCAATATCTAGTCACAAGACACCAGTTTGGTTACCTTGTGACCCAAAGCGAAGTCGATAACCCTTTCTTTATTCCGAATCTTAAAATTGTAGGGTCGTGTACTAAACACCGCGTCATGTCTACCAATTCAGCTAGAGCTATGTAGTCGAAGGTATCAACCATCGGGTTCTCCCGCGGTCGGGACCAGCCGTAAATAAGCACAACTCGGCGCGGCCTCTTCGCGGTATTTGATGCAAAGAACCCAAATAGTACTACGGCAGCCGATTTGGACCAAATTTGACAATGGAGTTTGTGCCATGCAGAAACTTACAAATCGCCGCTAATGGAACCATACAATACTAGAAAATTACATAGTATAGTTACACCATAGATCTATTTCTATCAACTTTTTTTGGCTTACTTGGTTTCACCTAATGGTTACTTATCCTAAACACTACGTAAAGGTGCAAGCTTTGCTCAGGTGTCGTACACAGGCCCCGTACGACTAGGGAGGGTATCATATTAGGGGGGGGAAAAAGAAAGCATACTTAGTCAAGTTCAATGACCTCAGGGCCATCATCATCGATCTCGATAGGACGGGATTCGGTTCTAATCGCTAACTGACCCTATAGAGGTATTATTAGACTTCCGCAGAGCTCGAAAAGCCCGAAACCCGACCCTTTTGAGGGTCGAGTCGGGTCGGGTTTCGGGCTTTTGGAGCTTTTCGAGCTTTGCGGAAGTCTAAGTATATCTCAGGGAGTAGGAACGAAGGATATATAAGGACACTCCCTCATGTACTTAGTTTAGTTCTTCGTCTTCAATCATACATTGTTACTTGTGTTTACCTTTGGACCATGTTGACTCGTTAACTATATAATCACTTGACAACACCTACGAGCAGACCAATACCGCGGTATAGATCTACTCGGCGCTCTACCTGGCATCGTTCCTCGATGCCCTCAAAAGGATTTAGGCTAGAATAAGACTGTGCGTAGCAACAGCTCGGTTGAGAGGCAGATCGTTGACGTTGGAGGATCAGCACAGGCAAGTATAATCAGGAAAGCTTCTAACATAACTGTGACCAGTTAGGCAGTGCGTAACACTTTCCTACTTAACCTACATAGTATACCTCCTCGTACGATGTATAGGAGCGCTATCATTAGATAACTTAGCAGAATCAGACCGTCTTCGCTTAAATCCTATATCTAGTGATAAACTTGATTCTACCCCTCTCTCTATATCAATATCCTATGCTTTATCCTTATCACCCCCAGTCGTACGATCAACAGGCTCTTCTCTCTATAGATCTATTTGATTTAATATCTCGGATTATAAGTTCATAACTACTTATAGAAGTTTGGCCTCTTCCTCCTCTTTGATGGCTATATCTAGGATCGTACGAGAGATAGATTCCTACTCCAATCCTATATCCGTTGGCTCCTTTCGGGTAATAACAATAATGATCTGATTCTCCTGGCCGACTTTATAGAATTGCTCCAATAGGTCTTTGGTATTTTGCTCACGGTTAGCAGACTCTGTGATTAGCATCGGTTGATGCTTCTTTCTAATTTCACGGGCAAGGTGGAATTGATCATCAAAATCACGCTCATAGATATCAAGGCTATTAGGGATCGCAGGAAGGAGGTCTCGGGTGATGAAGTCATAGAAATGTTTTATCGTACGAGGGCGGATATCGTGGGCAAAATAGCCTATAAATTCAAAGGGTTAGAAGAGATGTATCATAATATAAGAAAACATACCAAGATCCTCAAGCCATTTTGCTCCTTTTTTCTCCTTTACTCCATCCATTTCCATTTTCTCTGTAGGAATATGCCAAATAAAGAATTGGAATACTCGTACGAATCACAGATGATGGTGAAGACCTAGCAACTTGCTGGCCTGTACGGATAGGACGTGACTTTCCAATCTTACTCTGTTCCTCGGGCTCAAACAAAGAAGTTAGAAGATAGATTCAAAAGTCTTTTGAACCGATCTAATCCTTCCGGGTCTCACCTGAATTTTTATGATCGTAACATTGAAATGGGTGGAATCTCGCCTGGAGTAGCTCCTCCCTTTCTCATGAGAACCGACTTGTCTAATTGTCGTTAGACGGGAATAGTTCTTGGAGATTTCTTGCTGATGGTCGGGAAAGCAATACGAGGAACACCTTGTTCCCGAATGGGACTACACATCTTGGTTTGATGATCTTCAACCGTGCTCTTGGAAGCAATAGACAGACATGCTTGTAGGAGGAGTTGAGCTGGCGATTAACACAGCAGCATTCTGAAATCCTTGGCTACAAATCTACATTTTGTCATTGATTTTGAGTTGCGTTGAACGGACATGACGGTACACTTCATGGCTTGGCGAGGGTTATCTAATTCAATGGTGATGTAATCCTGTGCTCAACTCAGACCGCTAACTAACCAACTAGCCCCTGAGAGATTACACAGGACCAGCTAACCGCTAAGCCAAAAGATCATAGAAAAAAAGGAACGTCCGATTGTGGAGCGGTATGTATATTAGGCCCTAAGATCCTCTAGGGACCACAGGTGGGGGGGGGGGGGGATGTGACCATCACGTGAAATTGACTCAGCCCACTCTTCAGTGATCCCCTGTCAGGCTGAGATAGACCAATAGCAGTATGACCCGAAAAAAGAAACTCGGGAACCCGCTAGTATAGTCACATATCTAAGGATAGTAGGAAATTCCTAAATCTATATGTTGTGGTTACAATCGGTGGTAACTGGGCTATCCAGGGGCTGTTATCTTATCGGTGACTCAAAGACTTGGCCGACATCGCCCTTCGCCCCGCCGGGAGGGCACCGGGACAAATTTGAAAAAAACCGCCGTTCTATGGTTCCCCATATAACCCGGACGATTAGTCAATTCTACTCCATTCCTTTCTTCTCTCTCCCCCGAACTGATCTTCATCTCTAACCACCTTTCCCAATTGCCTATCATGTGTGGAATTTTCGCGTGCCACCAGTGCGTCGTGTGCTACCCTAACTCCCCGCGTCTGGTGGGATGTCAATTTGGAGAATACTAACTAGAGCTCTATAGTCATCCCGATGTTCAAAAGTTCAAGCCTACGGCTTTACGCATGGCCAAGGCGTGAGTATCTCCATTCCTTCTTCAATTGCTACAACCTGCAATTAACTATCTATACAATTATCACTGACTTGTGTCCTGATCATAGTGTGCGTCATCGTGGTCCCGATTGGAGTGAGTCACAGCCCGAGTTACAATGCGCGATGTACGTAGGGATCACAGGGTTAACACAAGCTCTCTAACAGGTGGAAACTTCTGCGCTCAGAGCACTAGTGAGTTGACATTCAATTACCTTGGGGTCGGCGTGGTGTGCTAACGCGTGATTCATAGTTCTGGCGCACGAGCGTCTGAGCATCGTCGGTATTGGTATGTAACCCCTGTGAAGGAACAACAATATGAAGGTCGATTCATTAACAACTTCTTCTTAGACTCCGGTGCCCAGCCCCTCGTCAACGATGATAGCACCCTCGCCCTCGCCGTCAACGGTGAAATCTACAACCACCGCCTCATTCGCAAGAACCTTCACCACAAGTACAACTTCAAGACGCACTCTGATTGCGAAGTTATCATCCCTTTGGTACGTCACGCCAGATATTCCAGAAATGGAGTTAGAGTTGAGATGCTGATGTACACATGTGCTAGTATGAGGAGTACGGCCTTGATGCCCCCAAGCACCTTGATGGCATGTTCTCTTGGGTTCTTTGGGATAAGAAGCAGGACCGTGTTGTTGCTGCTCGTGACCCCATTGGTGTCACCAGCTTCTACCTTGGTCGGTCCTCATCGACTCCTGGCGCCGTCTACTTTGCCTCTGAGCTTAAATGCCTGCACCCCGTCTGTGACGACATCATTGCCTTCCCCCCTGGCCACATCTATGATTCCAACACCGACACCCTGACCCGCTACTTCGAACCCAAGTGGTGGAACCCCGCCAACGTTCCTTCGACCCCTGTTGACTACAAGGTGATTCGCCACAGCCTGGAGAAGGCCGTCCGCAAGCGTCTCATGGCCGAGGTGCCCTACGGTGTTTTGCTGTCTGGTGGTCTAGACTCCAGCTTGGTCGCGTCTATCGCCCAGCGCGAGACCCTCCGCATGGCCGAAGCTGCCCGCAACGCGCCCCGGAACTTGAACGCGGATGGTGAATTGGTTGGCATTGATGACGACAACGAGCTGTCGACCGTCACCACCTTCCAGCAGCTGCACTCATTCTCCATCGGTCTCCCCGGTGCCCCTGATACCGCCGCTGCCATTGAGGTTGCCAAGTTCCTCGGCACCAAGCACCACCCCTTCACTTTCACTGTTGAGGAGGGTCTCGATGCCCTCTCTGACGTGATCTACCACCTCGAGACCTACGATGTGACCACCATCCGCGCCTCTACTCCCATGTACTTGCTCTCCCGTAAGATCAAAGCTATGGGTGTCAAGATGGTCCTGAGTGGCGAGGGTTCCGACGAGATCTTCGGTGGCTACCTCTACTTCCACGCTGCTCCCAACAAGGAGGAGCTCCACAAGGAGACTGTCCGCCGTGTCAAGAACTTGCATTTGGCTGACTGCCTTCGTGCCAACAAGTCCACCTCCGCATGGGGTCTTGAGGCCCGTGTGCCTTTCCTCGACAAGGAGTTCCTCGAGACCTGCATGGGTGTCGATCCCCAAGACAAGATGATCACCCCCGAGCGTATCGAGAAGCACATGCTGCGCAAGGCCTTTGACACTACCGACGAGCCCGAAACCGCTGCCTATTTGCCCGACAAGATCCTCTGGCGTCAGAAGGAGCAGTTCAGCGATGGCGTTGGCTACAGCTGGATTGACGGCCTGAAGGATGAGGCCGAGCGCCAGGTCACTGACGAGATGATGAAGAACCCCAAGCCCGAGTGGGGTTCTGATGTTCCCGACACCAAGGAGGCGTATGTTTCCCACTTTTGTCCATTTGACCGCACCGTTAGTAACTAACCTGGGATACAGATACTGGTACCGCACCATGTTTGATGAGCACTTCCCTCCCTACTGTGCTGGCACTGTCGAGCGCTGGACCCCTACCTGGTCCAAGCAGACTGACCCCAGTGGAAGGTGAATAACCTTTTCCCCCCTTGTTTTTCGTTCATTTTCTCTAACCATCCTCTGCAGAGCCATCGCCATCCACAACCAGAAGTATGACAAGTCGGAGTAAAAATTCTGAGAGCATATAAACAAAAGGGATGTGAATTTTTTTTTCTGATTTAGCATTTGATTTGGGGATATTTGCACCGGATTAGATTGTATATATACCCTTTTGGTATACAGTCGGCATAACATTAGGATCTCAATGTTTCTCTCATGTATTTTCATAAACACGTGACCAGCCCTGCCCAAACATCGTCGGCGGGCTTTCCCGGCAGCCGGGCAACCGCCAATCACCGCCCTCCCACCAACCCGTGCTAAGCCCCTAGGTTCCCCCAACATCATCACAACTATTCTTTCCCTTCCTTTCTCTCCATCTCTTCTTAGAACCACTTCTTCCTCCTCCATCTCTAATTAGACTTCTCTCGTCAAAATGTCTGCCCCCGCTGCTTTCTCCGACATCGCCAAGGCGACCAATGATGTACGCACAACAGTTGGGAACAAAAATCGTAACCTTGACTAATACTTCACCTCCATAGCTTCTGAACAAGGATTTCTACCACGGCGCTGCCGGTTTGTTTATCCATTCCACGGATTGGAGATTCAATAGCTAATTAAAAGCTTCTAGCCAACCTTGAGGTTAAGTCTAAGGCCCCCAACGGTGTCACCTTCACCGTCAAGGGCAAGTCTGCTCACGAGGGCCCTATTGCTGGTCAGGTTCGTTAAAATATAAACTCCAGCCCGCTACTCAACTTTGCATATTGCTAACTGGTGCGCCTATAGCTCGAAGCCAAATACGTTGATGCGCCCACTGGTAAAAGCCCCTTCCACAAAAAACCTCCCGATCCCAGCGCGCACAAAGCCCGTCTTATGCCGTTGATGTTCGGCTGCGGTATTCCAATAGCGCGCTGGGGGAATGTAATCATTTTTTCGGACGCGAAGATACACAGGATCAGGCTAATATGCTCACTCCGACCAGGCCTCACCCTCACCCAGGCTTGGACTACCGCCAACGCTCTCGACACCAAGCTCGAGCTCGACAACAATATTGCCAAGGGCCTCAAGGCTGAGATCCTGACCCAGTACCAGCCCGCTAAGCAGTCCAAGGGTGCCAAGCTCAACCTGTACTTCAAGCAGCCCAACCTGAACGCCCGTGCCTTCTTCGATCTCCTCAACGGCCCCTCGGCCAACTTCGACGCCGTTCTCGGCCACGAGGGCTTCCTCGTCGGTGCTGAGGGTGGCTACGACGTCAACAAGGCCGCCATCACCAAGTACTCCGCTGCCGTCGGTTACAGCGTTGCTCAGTACTCCGCTGCCATCACCGCCAGCAACAACCTGTCCCTCTTCTCCGCCAGCTACTACCACCGCGTCAACGCTCAGGTTGAAGCCGGTGCTAAGGCTTCTTGGGACTCCAAGTCTGGCAACGCCGTCGGCCTCGAGGTCGCCAGCAAGTACCGCCTGGACCCCTCTTCCTTCGCCAAGGTTCGTTTAATGTGTTGATATCGCTGTTGTGAATCACGACTAATCGCGCAATTCTCTCGCAAAAATAGGCTAAGATCAACGACCGTGGTATTGCCGCTCTGGCTTACAACGTTCTCCTCCGCCCTGGTGTCACTCTCGGCCTCGGTGCCTCCTTCGATACCCAGAACCTGAACCAGGCTGCCCACAAGGTCGGCGCCAGCTTCACCTTCGAGGCTTAAGCGTCTGTATCCCACGCCTTGCAGGAGCCTGACAAATGACCTACCATTTTTTGAGAAGATTTATGTAAACTTCAGTTATCAGTTCACTTGTCTTGCTGATTCACCAGAACGATTATTATGACGGGGGTTCCAAGATAATATCCATGTGTGTCGTAGATCTTTTTCGCTCCGTCACCCTTTGTATATCATGTCCAACTGTTTCCTTTGTTGATCAATTCGATCGATTCACACAATCTATAGCACCACGAGAGATCCTCGTAGTCATGCAAGAGTAGGAATGCATCAACCAGCAATGTCCTTGAACTGATTACGCCAAGAGATCATATGTATCCAGGGTTGTATGTAAACTCCGTCAAGGAGACGAAGTCTACCTCTGCTTCCTCGTCTTCCTCCCATCAACGACCTTGGGAACCGACCGCCAAAATTCTACGACAACAAGCATAACAATCAAACATCCAGAACAAAGAAAGAATCTTGAAACGGTCCAATCAACCTCGGGCTCACGGCCAACCCGATCCTCATCAGTTCTCCCAGCCCCCCCCCCTCCCTCCTCCTCTCCCCCCCTCCTCCTATCCTCCGCCTCCTGCGTCCTGAAATGCCCCCGAGCATTAAAATGATTCAACGGATTCCGATGAATAAATCCCTCCCAATCCTCCGGATCCACATGCTTTGTTCCAGCGCTAGCGCTAGCCCCGGACTCCGACCCCATCCCAGCACCACCACTACCACTAGGCGCCCATCCCTGAGCCTGTCTCCCCGTAGCACCATACCCACCCTGCTCGTAGAAACTGGGTGGCGGACCATGGAATGTCGAGCGCCGCTTGCTCAGCCCGCTGGCGGGCCGTGAACCGGCGTAGCTGCTGTGGCTGCCCATCGGGTGTTGGTGGCTGTGGCTTTGCCCTGGGGAGGCGTGCTGCGTAATATGGAAGCCGTGGTCGCGGTCATAGACTGCGCGCTTTGAGGCGTTGCCCAGAACATTGTAGGCGGCGGAAATGCGGGCGAAGCGTTGACTTGCGTCTGGGTCTGTGCGGTTGCGGTCTGGATGGTGGCGCATTGAGAGGGCGTAGAATTGTCTAGACATTTGGTAAGTATTTGAAAGACATTTTTAATATATGGGACTGGAGATTGGGGGGTTCGGAGGTGGAGGAGAGATATTGGGTGTGGGCATGAGTGTACTTCTTGATCTCCGCTGCTGATGCGGTTTTGGGGACGTCGAGAATTTCGTAGAAGTTTGGTTCGCGGGCTCGGGCTGGGTTGCTAGTTGAAAAGAAAAATCTTTTGGGTCTTGAGAACTGCTGTGGATTTTGTTGTTGGCGTGGGTATAATTGCGGTCGGAGGGGCTGGGTTGAGATGCTACGGTAGGTTGAAGAGGAGGGAGAGAGGGTTGCGCGCGGAAGAAGGAGAATCGATGTTACTCGATAGGGAGGCATTGTTGTGTGCTTAGAGAATGGGACATCGAGAAAAAAAAAAACAGAAATCAGATTTTAGGTGCAGGTGAGGGCAGAAGAAGAAGAGGGAGAGGGAGAAGCGGAAGAAGATCGGAGGTGAAGATTGGAGTGGCGTCACTGCGGTTCGAAATTGATCGACCCTACAAGTTTACCACATATTCACTGCTGAATATTGGCAACTTCCACAGTATAGCATCACTATGTTTCAGTCTTTTCTATACCTTGAAATGCCAGATTTATTACAACTTACACTCAAGCACGTGGGCAGTTCCAATTCACATAGCTCCAGCTGATGATCAGATTAGATAAGAGATCCTAGTTGTGGCATCTCGGGCACAAACCTTCCGGTGGACTTCTTGATCCAATTAGAATACTCCTTGGCTAGCTTGAGATACTCCAAGGTTCCACACATTATGGAACAATGGTTTTTTTTTCGTTCTAGAGGTTGCAAATACTCTACATGAGCTTGCGCTCGGTGATGCACATCTCGTTGTAGCTGGTGGAATTGTTGATGGGAGAGGGTGTGCTGCAAGCATTGTCTTTTGGAGCCTCTGGTTATAGGGACCCACCACCATAGCAATAAGATGTATGAGTGGTATTATAGTGGGAATGATAGGAATGGAGACTCGGGCTTGGTTTGCTGGTGCCATCGATGGTCCAGATACCGAGAGTGTCGATGTCAAAGATATGTGAAGTATACCTCAGGCGCTTAGGGAGTCATGATGAATTCAACAATCGTATGATGTAGCCTGATAGTGTAAACTAAGTGCATCGAGTAGGTAGCTGCCTGGGCCTTTTTTCAAAACATTACATCACTCAGCGCCTCCACACATTGCTTTTCCAAATTTCATGCGTTTAAATTTATCTTTAACGGCACTTACGATGCTAAGTGGAAGAGACCCGATAATTTAACGGTATCTACCTTGAAACAGCTCCTATCTTGAGATATTTACCGATTGAATTGCATTTTCACGGTCGTGGGCAATTTCTTGCTCTCGAAAATGTAGATGTGTCAGAATTATACTTGGTGCTTTCAAACTCTCACTCGGGACAAAATCTTTACGCCTAAGCTGAATCCAAAACTCCTCTTTGGTAGTAGTAATGTCTAAAATAGCGCGGGGCTTTGTGCTTGCATAGATGCGTCTGTACTCGCTAGCATCCATACCTCATTGCATTCACACGGGTCAGTCGCCACTTCCATGCTTAGTCAAACAGCGGCCTTTACAGAGCCATCGCCAAAGACTCACTTGGAAGAGCGATAGCATGGGCGGCCAAAATTGCAACGAAACTAGTGCGCTGAAACCGTTGCAGATGTGTGGCTAAAAGATACTGGACGATCTCGCCTTTGAGAGCCAAGAACTGATAATAATCGCTGCATCGCACGGACACACCAATCTGGTCGAATCATTTTTGCCTCACTGCATTCAACAAAAACAGAAAAAGAAAAAGAAGGAGACATCTTCAAAAGAGCGCTTAATGTCGCAGTCTTAGAAGAGTAAGTTGCAGTAATCAAACTACTCCTCTAACACAAGGTCGATTTCAATAACAACCATTAGGGCAGACATGCTGCGATTCCTTTATGCAAGGTGGTCGAAATGGGACATATTTCAATTGTCAGGCCTTTTCTTGAACACAACTACTGCAACCTCAATAAATACGACCTAGATGGCAGGACGCCTCTTGCAAATAGCTGCTGCAAATCTGGAAATTGCTCAAGTTTTTTTTTTAAAAAAAGCCGGTGCTTATTTATAAAAAGATGACCGTTCGTGACTCCGAGAGGCAAAATCAGACGACCTGCCCGTTATGAAGCTCCTGTTAACGAATCACCTTTATTGGCGGCGTTTGGAAGTGGTCTTGAAGTCTTGGTTGAATTCTCTGTGTGTTTAGGTAGCACACTTAGCACATATAGAAGTAGAGAACATTCAAGCAGAATTTCAGATACTAACTTATACATACCTAGGTACTCAATTTACTTATTCTCTGGAACATAGTTAAGCCATGGGCCAATAATGATGCCACAGGATCTTCTGCATGGCCAAAGGTTTCTTTCCGGTTAGCGGTATACGATGGCAGACAACGTGAATGGTAGATATTGGAACATTGCTGTCTTATATAATAGTAGAAAATGCGAATAGGAGAAGTTGAATCAAAATGACTTGTACATGAGCTTCAGGGTTCCCATGAGATACAACTCGTAGTGTCTGCAATAGGTCACATTTCGCTGCATTTCGCTGCCAAGAAAATCTAAGAAATCGCCTTATCTTATCAGCAAAACTCTTTCCCCAGCATCCGACATTCCCCTCTTTTGCCTTTGAACGTACCACTTGTTTAATTGCCACATTCAACATGGCAGCTCAGACTACGGAAAAGTTGGATCAATTGGACCGTAAGATTACCCATTTTTTTCCGTTTGCTTTCCCCTGACTGATCGAATACCAGTGAACGTCCAAGCCGCCCCCACGGCAGATTTGGTTCCCGCTGAAGCGGAGGAGGACTCGGACGACGCCCAAGACGGCGAGGGTGCCGCAGAGGCTGGAGCTGCTGGAGGTAGGTTTTTGAGGCTTATTTCCGTGACTGCGCCTCCAGAACCCCACCCCACCCCCACCCCGCAGAAGCCGGCCGGATTGAACTAACAGCGGGGTGAACTCTAGCCGATAAAAAGAAGAAGAAGAAGAAGTCCAAGAAGAAGGGCAAGAAGAAGGGCGGTGCTAAGGTTCAGAGCGAGCCACCGCGCGTCCCCGTGTCTAACCTCTTCCCCAACGGCCAATATCCGGAGGGCGAGATCGTCGAATACCTAAACGACAATGCTTACCGCACCACTAACGAAGAGAAACGATACCTCGATCGCATGAATAATGACTTCCTGCAAGAGTACCGCCAAGGTGCCGAGGTTCACCGTCAAGTCCGCCAGTATGCGCAGAAGAACATCAAGCCCGGCCAGACTTTGACCGAGATCGCGGAGGGTATCGAGGATTCAGTGCGCGCTCTGACAGGCCACTCAGGTCTGGAGGAAGGTGATAACATCAAGGGTGGCATGGGATTCCCTTGTGGTTTAAGCATCAACCACTGCGCTGCGCATTATACCCCGAACGCGGGCAACAAGATGGTCCTAAAGGAGGGAGACGTGATGAAGGTCGACTTCGGTGCGCACCTAAACGGTCGCATTGTGGACAGTGCTTTCACCATGACTTTTGACCCAGTATACGATCCTCTTCTCGCTGCTGTCAAAGACGCCACCAACACCGGTATCCGGGTAAAATTTCCTACACTTCTTCGTTTCAAGCAGAGCTAACGGCTTCCCAGGAAGCGGGAATTGACGTCCGTATGAGTGATATCGGTGCCGCCATTCAAGAAGCGATGGAGAGCTACGAAGTTGAGCTCAATGGCACGATGCACCCCGTCAAGTGCATCCGCAACTTGAACGGTCACAACATTGACCAGCACGTCATCCACGGCGGCAAGAGTGTGCCTATTGTCAAGAGCAGCGATCAGACCAAGATGGAAGAGGGTGAAGTATTCGCTATTGAGACTTTCGGTAGTACTGGTAAAGGTTACGTGCGAGAAGAAGTAAGTTTATACTGTAACTGCTGGGCCGACAACAAAAGCTAACATGATCCCAGATGGAAACTTCGCACTACGCTCTCGCCTCTGACGCTCCCAACGTTCCTCTGCGTCTTTCCTCCGCCAAGAACCTGTTGAATCTGATTAACAAGAACTTTGGCACTCTTCCCTTCTGTCGCCGGTACATTGACCGCCTGGGTCAGGACAAGTACCTCTTGGGCGTAAGTAAAAATGATAGAAGTCCATATGAGAGACATTGAAACTGACGAAAGTAGTTGAACAACTTGGTTTCTGCTGGAATTGTGCAGGATTATCCTCCTCTTTGCGATATCAAGGGCTCATACACTGCCCAATATGAACATGTAGGTTTCCATTTTGGGATTTTCTCCACTTGGTGCGTTTGCTGACTGGTTTTTTTTAGACAATTGTGTTGCGCCCGAATGTGAAGGAGGTTATTAGTCGTGGCGACGACTACTGATGTATTCCATAGACACACGTAAACATTAAAAGCATCTTGCAGAGACATCTCCTATCAGTAATGCCCTTATGTTGTAGTAGATTGGACAGTCAACCAAAACCTGACATCAAAGCGCCGATCTTGCCAAGCCTCAAGCCATCAAGCATGCCGTGTCGCCCCACGTGGAACAACCGTCTTCCGACTTTTTAAATCGGCTTCTGCCTCTCATGGCCTCATCTTCGACACATACCAATTTCCATCATGTCTGCAGTTGTTGAAACAAGTTCGCCGCACCTCCGAGTGTCGGCAGCCAAGGCATCCGATATAACACAGCCAGAGTCCGCCAGAATCCAGCCACCGAAAGCTTTGGTCGAGGACCATTTCTTTTGGACATACGCTGAAGAGCCACATCGCTCAAGACGACAGGCAATTATTAAGGCCCATCCGGAGGTATGTGACTCTGCCTGTCAAGCCCTCGTGGTGGCATGAGGGTCCAGCTGAGACTCCCATGTGTGAGCTTTGCGAAGTTCCGATTTCCACCTGCCCACTTTCCTAGGCGACAAACGACCTCAACAAATGCAATTGCAATGCTGATTCATGATATTTTGTGTCTATAGGTCACCAAACTATGTGGTCCCGAGCCTCTTACCAAATGGGTTGTCCTCGGCGTCGTGTCCCTCCAACTCACCTGTGCCTACCTCCTTCGCAACACCTCAATGCTCGATTGGCGGTTCCTGGCTACGGCGTACGTGATCGGTGCGACTTGCAACCAGAACCTATTCCTCGCCATTCATGAAATATCACACAACCTGGCGTTCCGGTCCGCTTTGGCCAACCGATTGCTCGCCATCTTCGCAAACCTCCCTATCGGACTGCCATACAGCGCAGCATTCAGAGTATGTAAAGTGTTCCTCATGACAGAAACAAGCAGGACCCTAAGAGGAACCACCAACTAACGAAATCACACCAACAGCCCTACCACCTGACCCACCACAAATCCCTCGGCGTAACAGGCCTCGATACCGACCTCCCCACGGCAGTGGAAGCCTTCTTCCTAAACTCCCTCCTAGGCAAAACATTTTTCTGCACCTTCCAAATCCTCTTCTACGCCGTGCGCCCGATGTTCATCTACAGCCCGCCCTTCACCTACATCCACCTCCTGAACCTCAGCGTCCAAATAAGCTTCGATTACATCCTATGCAAACTATGCGGCAGCATTCAGCCAGTGCTATACTTCATACTGAGCTCATTCCTCGCGGGGTCCCTGCACCCCTGCGCAGGCCACTTCATCGCAGAGCACTATTTCTTCTCGAACGTGAAGAGCGGCGGTACAGAGTCCCTGACGGAGCTGAAGAAGAACGAGAAGGCCAAAGCCCCACACCCGCTTGACTCTCTGCCTCCCCCGGAGACATACTCATACTACGGCCCGCTCAATCTTCTGACTTACAATGTCGGCTTGCATAACGAGCACCATGATTTCCCTGCCATCCCCTGGACTAAGCTGCATAAGCTGCATGAGATTGCGAGGGAGTTCTATGAGCCGCTGCCTTGCCACCGGAGCTGGGTTTGGGTTATCTATACTTTCATCCTGGATAAGGATGTTGGTATGTGGTGTCGTGTGAAGCGCGAACAGGGTGGACGGATTGTTGGTGGTGGGACGAAGCGCGGTGGTGATTCTGCTGCATCTAAGCAGTGGAATGGGCGTGGGGGTGAGGGAATCTCGGCTGCGTCGGCGGGTCCGGCGGGCGAGGAGGGTGATGGATGGAAGGAGAGTGAGATTCAATGTTAAATCTTTACTCTGCCTTGACGTCTGGAGTTGAATCTCAGCAGTTCAGTTACACAAATTATTGAGTGGAGTTCTTGGACTTATCAGATAAAATTGATTGCAACAAAATTGGGCTGTTATCTCCGGTGCCTGCGTGCGCAAACCCGGCTAAGGCGCAAAGACAGAACCGAATGACTGCAATCAGCTCATTGACTGAAGGAGGGAGATAAGGTCCCCAATTATATACGACATGGACTTTGCTCTAGTAGTAATCAGATAAATTATCCCAAGCTCGAGAATGGTTTATGAAACAAAGGGAAACGAGTCGAGAGGCCGAGTCCGTTCATCGGAAATGATATTAGACAAGACAGGAAGGGTAAAAAAACAAAAGAAAAGGGAAGACAAAGAGGATGAGACGGACAGAAGTCCGGCCTCAAGGGGAGTTTGCAAGTCCAGAGAAACAACAAGAAAGTAGAGAGAGTATTGATACTGGGCAAAAAATTCAAAGCAAACGCAGAAAAGGCTGATGCTAGAACAGATAGAAAACAGCATGCTCTTCAAGAGGCAAAAACAGATGGGAATTTGGAAGAGGCGTCAGCGACGTTAGACCGGAGGCATTGGGCACGCGGAGAGAAGGCACAATGGAACCTGATGGACCGTGAGAAAGCGACAAACAGAAGACGAGCCTAGAAGAAGAAGTATGCGATCAAGAAGCTGAGCAAGCAGAGGCATGCTACGTTCTGGATCGAGACTCCACTAGCTGCTGGCACATGTGACTGCTGCATGGCGGCAGGCACAGCCGTGCCGGCAGTCTCTCCGCCAGTCTTCCGCTGCCGCAGTCCTTGTTCCGCGAGTCGGTCCTTCAGTCGCTGGATCTGTACGTTGGCTTCAGACAGCTGGGACTTGAGTTCTTCGCTTGACGGAAGAGCATTAGCAATAGAGGATTTGGCGTTTGAAATGGCGGGTGCGGGCTCTTGCTGCGGAGACTGGGGCTTCTCGGAGAAATCGGGAGCAGGGATTGGGGAGGTTTCATCGGAGTCGATCTTCTTCGGAGCCGGGGTCTGGAAGTTTGCGCCGCCAGGAGAAGGGTGCGCTGGAAGTTCCTCATGATGGACCTGATGAGAGTTAGACCATGTGTGTGGAGATATGATTGTTGAGTTGTATACCGAGTCGTTGGAAGTGGCATCTGTTGGCAGGAAGACAACTCGAATCTTGCGCTCAACTACGTCGGCCTTGGCAGTTTGGTCGAACTAGATGCAAATGTTAGTTACTGATCTTATGTTCGCGATTCCGCCTTGTGAACATACAATCTGGGCAACGCTGGCATCCTCCAAACTGCGGGAGACTGGGACGGCCTGGACCAGGAACTTGTCCTTGCACTTGGCATCTGCAGCAGGGTCCTCCTTCATAGCCTGAAGCAACACTAGTGATAGAGTTTAGCCCGCCGTAATCTTGACACACTCACTAATTAACCAACCTTGGACTTCGACCGTCTTGCCCGGCTCAATGTGGCCAGAGTTGGGTCGTACACAATAGCTAGAGTATGGTCAGATTACAGATCTTGGGTATAGGTGTTGCACGGAGAATCGTTGGGACATACTGCTTAGGAGCGGTAGTTTTGACCTAGTGCGCCGAGGGCATAAGTTAGTATTGCTTGTCCCGCGACAATGGCCGAGGGGGTATGTCCCACATACCTTGAAGACCACGGATTCCTCGTTCGGGTTACTCAAGCGAAGTACCTGGCACACTTCATGGTTGAAGGGTCCTATTTTCAAGAGATGAGCTGCTAATCTAGGCAGGTCTGATACAGGATCGGGATATGGCACTCACGCTTGAAGCCCAACTCGGAGGGCTCAATTTGGATAGTCATAATGTACGTGGTCAAAGTGAAAGAGGTGGGGGAAGGGAACAAAGATGATAGGAGGACAGATGCACGCGATTGGGTTCCGATCTGGAAATAAAGACGTGAGAGGGTTATCAGGTCTAAGCCGATGTGATGCCTCAAGCAGTTTGATTACTGTCCACCTGGGCACTTTGGGGAAATCAGCTGACTCATCAAGCGGTCAGGTGATGTCACCGTTGATAAGCTCCACATCGTAACTGGACCATTTGCCTTCATTTTTGGTTATTTCACTGCGACCTTGGGCTATCAAACTGCAGATATATTATTTGAATGTCTTGGTGTCATTCACCGGCATGTTATCGCACCCTCGTGTCCTCAGTTGAACATCTTCCTTGGACCTGCATGTGATACTTGCGGTGGGGCCACCTCTTTTATATTGTACAGACGAAGTGTTTCGTGGTCTATTAATTGCGCATGAGCCATAGATGCTTCATTTTCATAATTCAAATGTGTGGAACTGTGGCAATGAGGTGCGTGACCATATCCCTCGGCCCCATTCAAGTTGTGCAGATTTTTAGTTTAGCATCTCGATTGAAGTCATTTAGCTTGCCAAGGATGGTATCCTATATTCTTGAATTGTACACATCTACAATGCCGGTACCCCATAGCACACACATCTTGAAGTGAACTATACAATGCTAGCAGCCCAAAACAAGAATACTTACATGCTGCTATTGCATTGTGAATAGTACTTGAAAAGTCTAAGTTTCCTTTGATAATTTACTCATCTTTGCATCCACCGTCTTCAAGTTGCGTGCTTATTCGGCTCTGTAAGCCACGCCACACAGCTACCCAAATGAGTAAGTGGGGGGATGTATGCATAGTTAGCATAAGTCAAAAAAAAATATTAAGAGGTTCAATTGACAAGATAACTCTCTCACTGATGTGTAAATGTAGGGATATCCCTCAGACACGCCAGTTGTAGGAATTTGATACCATAGAAACCTGGGGAAAGCAAGTGGGCCTTATCGCTCGCCGCCTTTCTGATACGTCACCCACTCTGTTTTCGCGACAAAACTCACTTCTAAACCACCCATCTGGTTCAATCTTGAAAAATTGCACCCATTCCGTGAGTGCTTCCTATAATCGATTACTTCACTACCCAGCAGTCATCATGGCATCGGACCTGGACCAGCTCATTGAGATGGGCTTCGATAAAGAGCGCGCCCAGCTCGCAGTGAAGAAGAATGATGGCTGTAAGCTTCTGCCTTTCCCCCTGATTTCCACGAGAGGGTGTCTCTGACTGGCTGAATAGTGCAAGGTGCACTGCAGTGGCTCGAGGACAACCAAGACAAGTCATTGGAAGAGATACAGACACAAGCGAAAGAGGCACAAGACGAAGAGGCCTCTGCACTTCTACCAGGCGAACAACCACGCAGCTTAGTATGCAACGAGTGTGACAAGAAGTTCCGAGGCCAGTCACAAGCCGAATTTCATGCATCAAAGTCAGGACATGTTGATTTTGCCGAGTCCACGGAGGAAATTGCCCCGTTGACCGAGGAGCAGAAGAAGCAGAGACTGGCAGAGCTACGGGAGAAACTTGCGGCGAAGCGCGCTGTGCTTTCAGAACAGGACAAGATTGATAAGAAGAAGAACGAGGTGCGTATTCGTGGTCTTGGCCCCGTCAACTTAGCGACTAGAGGTTTTTCGCTGACTTTTCTCACCAGGAAATCCGAAGGAAGAGCACCAAGGAAAGCCAAGACGCAAAGGAGGATCTTGAGCGGAAGCAACTGTTGAAGGAGGCAGTCATGAAGAAGAAGGAGAAGCAGGATGAAATCGATGCTAAGAAACGCATCAAGGCAAAGATCGAGGCCGACAAGGAGGAGCGTCGATTGAAAGCAGAGAAGCAACGAGCTGAGCGTGCCGGACTGGCTCCTCCTCCCCAGCCCGCTGCCGCCCCAGTACCCACTTCCTCTGGCCCCGCTACGTCTAAACCTGCCTCCGCCTATACGGAAACTCGGTTGCGATTCCAGTCATCCAAGGGCAACATCCTGAAGACACTGCCTGTTGACACCACGTTGTTTGAGGTTGCCGCCGCTTTGAGGGAACAAGATGGAATCGAGGCGCAAAGCTTCGTGCAGAATTTTCCCCGGAAGGTGTTTAACAATGAGTTCTTCGGAGAGACTTTGAAGGAACTAGGACTTGTTCCTAGTGCCAGTCTTGTCATACAATGATTGATGCCAAACTATCCTTCATCCAAAAGGACAAATAGCTTTTACAAAGAATGAGAAATGAGATGAACCCCCGAAACAATTAAATCGCTTCTACATTTGAAGCATATCCCTATTAATCTCCAACAATCCTTAGTATGTGTTTTGTTTACTTGCATCGACTTAATTTATGACGCTCTAATTTTTATCTTATCACGTTATCGTCATGTGATCTCGCGATGAGCCGCGTCTTGGTGCCTGACAACGCGCTGGACACGCCGTCATTACACCCTTGATATCGAACTCAACATTATATCACAACCAAACATGCCAGCGTGAGATCCAACACCCAGGACCCGGAAAATGTTACATCTCATGGAACCGAGCACTGATAGTGATAATCTCAGCGTTGGTGATCAACATCGCGGTGGTGCGGGATCTATAATGATGCCGAACGCTACGGGAGCCGCCACAGCAAACCCATTCGAGGAACCCCAACGCCGCATCAGCGAATACACTGCACAAGAAATTGCAACATTACAAGCCCGTCTTGACAAGAAATTGGGACCCGAATACATCTCTGCGCGACCTGGTGCTGCGGGGCAGAAAGTGCACTATCTCTCCGCGGACAAATGCATCAACCTTGCCAATGAGGTGTTTGGATTCAATGGCTGGTCCAGCTCGATCCAGACGATTCAGATAGATTTTGTGCGTTGAGCATACGGCTGTCAACTACTTAGGGGCTGACTAACGCTTATCAGGTTGAGGAGAATCAAAACACAGGCAAGATCAGCCTGGGACTTTCAGTCATCATGAGGGTCACATTGAGGGATGGAACTTTTCATGAGGTAAAGAGGTCTCTCCGACATATAAACTTTTGGTGGGTTGTTCTGTTAACTCCAACATTCATAGGATATTGGCTACGGGCATATCGAGAACTGCAAGGGCAAGGCTGCAGCGTTTGAGAAGGCCAAAAAAGAAGGCACAACAGATGCTTTGAAACGTGCGTTGAGGAACTTTGGTAACGTGCTGGGAAACTGTATCTATGACAAGGATTATGTGGCCAAGGTGACCAAAGTCAAGGCAGCGCCTGTGAGGTCCCCGGTATCTTCCGATATGCCATTTGCGATGCTGACTATCGGATTAGGGAAGATGGGACGTTGAAGATCTTCACCGTCACCCTGACTTTGCGCCGCCTGCTAAGAAACAGCTTCCTACATCGAAATGTGCACTTGAAGAGGATGATCTGCCCCTTCCTCGTCCTGTTCACCAAGCGAGAGAAAATAATATAGGGAACAACACTTCTTTCGAGGGGGATGGGGAGTTTGGCAGTACGTGATAAAAAAAACGCAGACTTAAACTTTGGCTAATATTCTCTAGGCGACCTCTTTGATGAAGCCGATTTTGGAGTAGCTGAAACCGATTTAGGCAATCCCGACGAGATTGTAATAGATACAGAGACTAGTCAAGAACAGCAGCGCACTGTACCTACAAACGGCCCAGCGCCTCAACGAGGGCCGCCTATTCGAGCAGGATTTAACCCCGCTGTCGTAACACCATCAAAACCCGAGCGATGGAACGGCGCGGGCCAAGCAGGACGACCTAATCCCCTCAATGCGCGACAGAACCCATCAGCTATCCAATCTGCAGCTGCGGTACAAGGTCGACAAATGCCCGCTCAGGGTCTCGCTCAAAGTCTCTCAAACCCCAGACAACCAGTCCCGCCGCAGCAACCGGTTGTTCAGAATGCCCCACACAACAACATTCCCCAGCCTCCGGTGAAAAGGGAGGCCGCCCCGGGGGCTTTCAGGGAAATCAGGACATGAACCCACCACAAGGCACACCGTCACGGGGTTCTATTCCGCTCGAGCAGTGGATATCCTCCGTGAAAACCCAAACTCCGTCCCGCCGGGAGCACCTCAATTCGATCCACACGCAGAGAGTCCCTCCATCCGCAAGACGGCTGGTGTAGACCATACCAAAAGCATTCCTATTGCTAGACCGATGCTTTCCAGCGCCTCTCCAGCACCACCCATCATCAACAACAACACGCGCGATTTTGTCAACCCCGCAATGGATCTGCAGCGCAGAGTCGGTGCTCCTGGCGGCGGAATAAGCAGTCCGGTCAGCAGAGGCCCTTCTGTCTCATCGTATCGACCATTGACCCGGCCCAACATTGACCAAAGGAGCGTTTCCAACCCAGCCGCGATGAATCGAGGGAGTGTGCCACCGCAGCAGAATCTCAACGGAAAACGGCCTCCATTAGTGGACGTTACCAATGCCGATGCTACACCTGGCGCATATCCAGGGGTCCCGGCACTCGGTCCAAACGACCCAAAACGGCCGCGGGTTTCGGATGTTGACTCCTCTGGGTCTCGCCCACCAACCCAGTAATGAACACGATCTGATCGGTCTTTTGTGCCCTGGCGAAGGGTGCATGGCCGCACAATTTCCAACCATAAGCGTTCTTATCTCATCGAAATTTCTTTTAAGTCTTCAACTCTGGCCCACAGCGTCAAGATGCAGTTATCACGGCGGGGAAGTATGGCAGGCGTTCCGGAGTCCTTCAAGCCAATGCGATTCCTCAGGATCCTAGCGGGGGAAAACGTACGGGTTACCTGAATCTTGATACATTCTTTCACATCGGCATGTTTTATTTTTGTTATCCTAAAACGAGTCTAGAGCATTCTAGACTTCAGAAACGCAACGGCAGTTTTAGATCTGGGCTTGTGTTCCAGACATATCAATCACATTAAGAATGAAACATCAATAACTCAACTAGCTCCCGCAACCAAAGTTCGACATCACGTTCGATACAAAAGTACGAACAGGGATTGGAAATGTCGATCCTCCTAAGCTTGATGCCATGCCACCGGTACATCTATCCGGACCTCCTATACGTTCTGCCGTCCTGCTTCGAGAGCGAGAGCTAGTGTGAGAGTTCAGGGCGAATCCAGGACAAATCGCCAAAAAAAAAAAAAACTACTTGACCTGGCACCAAAGCCATCAATCCTGAGGAAACACCCAGGTGTTCCCCATGTGCATGGCAGGCCCATGGCACTGGATAGCGCTGTGTTGTCGGTACGCTAACATTAGTGGGTTGCCAAGTGGAAAGCTGCCAACTGGTTCGAGGCGAGCGGGTTCGTGCATAAGATCAGTGCTTGCACGACGGTGGAATTTTTGGAGGGTGCGGCGTGATTTGGTCTTATTGGTCCTTTTGCTTTTTTTGTGTCGTCGAGTCCTTATCTTCTTCCTTGCTTGCGTAGTAAGTATATTATCCCCGGCCCACGTGTCCTTGGAGCGGGGTGTTTGGGCAGCAACTAGATATGAGTCCACATAGGGCTAATAGGCTCATGTTCGGTGTGAATTATATCTAACTGACGTTATAAAGCATACTCCGAGCATTGATTGCCCTGTACAATAGTAGTCATTTATTTCGGGACTTGATCGGCTGTGGCATTTTTTGACAGAAAACTGTGAGTTTTTTCTTGTCAGGCGCCTTTCTTGGGGCTTCTCCCGACTTGAATGGATGAATTGATAGAAACTAGAAAACGCAATTTCTTTAAAAGAATGAATCAAGTCAAATCTGATCAAGCAACAAAAGTACGATCTATTAACATCGGGAACGGGGATCCTCAATTCGGTCTCCAAGCTCAAGCTACTACAGGATCTTTAGATTCTTCACTATCGCCATATGCACACTATCAGAATTGGATATAGGCCCCATGATAATGAAGCGCCGAGGCCACAAGTTGATCGGTATGTGTTCTTCAGCTTCTTGCTTTCATGATGTTTGAAGGATGCTATGATTCTGCACTGTCCAAAATGGGCAGCAGACAAGGCTTCGTTAATCGGTATTTGCTAGACCTTGACTCTAGCAGCATGTACTGTTGTTGCGGGTCTTGCTCTTGTCTTCTTTGCTCTGGTCTTGGAAGTTTTATACTAGAGAACTGTTGGAAGGTCGCGTGACCACCACTGTTTGCTCCCAGTACTTAGTCTCAGTCATAGCATGTAGATAGTTTCTCTCTCTCTAAACGCATCAAGAGATTTCCAGTTACATCTACATTCATCGTAGATCTCTAGTATCTCTAAAAAGAACCCGTCGAGGACGCTGACTAACTGCCGAGTTGATAGCTACACAAGTAAGAGGCTCGAGTATACCTTGATGCGTCTTCCTGACCTCTCCAGGAAAAAAAGGTCACTCTCCGAAAGATCCTATGGCCGGAGTGTATGGCAGCCCTATAGGTGTAAATCATATGGGTTCAAAGGTGAGTGCCCTTGTTTACAACTCCCGAGTCATTCTAACTGAATTTAATCTGAATTAGACGCGAGCCTGGTAATTACAAAAAAAAAACTTCTGTGACTGCTATCATTTTCCGAACAAGAAAAACTCTGGGCATGTTTATTTTGGGCCCACAGAGTTAATTGATATGCGATACACAAAAGAGAGGGACCTCGATGCTAGTAATGAGATCATAGTGCTGTCTCCGAGTTGAGAGTTAGGGTTAGATACATGTGTAGTTATTTGATGGGACTTGACGGTTCTTGTTGTATTCTCTACCTGCACCCTCCGGCTTTCAAAACTCAACCAATTCTCCCAATGACACAACATATTCGAGGAATTTTTCCACCTATTACAGTTGAATACAAAAGTCCCGCTGACCCGGTCGGGTAGTTAGGAGCCCCTGTCTAGACCGAGTCGGATGCATCTTTTATGCTTTTGGTGAAGGGGTGATGCCGAATCTGCAGTGGACAACAGCTGTGGTGAGTGATTCGCTAAAGAAGACGCGGCGCCCTGTTGTTTGGAGAGGAGAGCAGGCTTGGATTGTGAGGCTGAGGAGTGCTAATTCACGGAGTAGTTAGCGTTAATCTCGACAGAGATTAGTCTTAAAAACCCTTTGGAGTGTGATACGGGATACTGAAGGAGTTGACGGGGCTGGAAATCGTGGAGTAGACTGTCCAGACTGTAGTCCAAGGATATGGACCAAAAGGGTTTGCGCACGATGCTCGAGGTAATTCTTGGACTTTTTTTTGCCTCCAACATATAGTTTTCATATGCTCGCGAAGTCAACCCGTTTCAACTGATGATTTACTCCACAAATCTGTATCGAGTACGGCACCAGCGTTTGAAGTGGACAAAGAAACCAAATGGTTTTAGTGAAGGTAAGTTGCCATCCTCCATGTCCAATAGTAGACTTCGTGTCTGCCTCATACTATGCCTAGCCGAAGGGAATGCATAGCCTCTAGATTGGGTAACATTCTCCTTTACCCAGTGGCCTCGATAGCCATCCTATATACCATATTGCGATAACTTACGACAGGAATATGAGGATCTTAGGAATTGATGCCGAAAATGACCTCTTTTGAGGCCACCACCCAATGCCCTATAGCACCACTATTCTCCACCCAAAGGAACTCAAATACTTGATACTCCGCCTAAAAGACCGAGAGGAATCTTCAATGAGTTCTCCGTATACCATAGCCGTCCTAAATCTGCCCAGGATTGTGAAGGGTGGCGTCAAGGTGACTCCTTATCATCACCCTTTTTTCCATCTCAGAAACAGTGTTTCTTAATAAAAGACGTAACGGATCATGGAGTACTAAATCCGTAATCAGTTGCTTGAAAATCTCGAGCAAAAACATTGCACGAGTCAGAGAAGAGGGGTTTGTCGATCTTGAGGTCGGAATTGGAGGCTCAGGTCTGATTGAAGTTGCTCGGCATATTAGAAGAGAAAGTGGATTTAAAATATGATTTCATCTAGCCGGACCCTGAATCCATAGGTCTAGTCAACAGGCAGGGCCATATCTTCTCAACTACGTGTCTGAATCCAAAGCTTGTGCTCTCCCTGAGCTCCGTGGAACGGACCGTCTTCACTTACATGGAAGTGAAAACATCTTTTACAATGTAAGCAACCAACTGGTTTTTTGAAGGCTCAAATACTTGGTTAATCATACACAGCCCGTTAAACAATCAGTGATCTTTCGCTTTTGAGCAGTTGAACAACTGAAATAAGAACAGCATTCAGCCAGGAAAATCGAAAGATCTCAAAGCTCAACAAGGCCACAGAATGGATGAAAACGGCATTTTTAATAGAGACTTTAGATCACTAGAGCCGACTGAGGCCCACAGAAGAAGCATTCCACTGAAACTGATACTCCGGAACTTGCATGTCATTACCTAGCGGCGAGATTGGTTGGAAGGGGATGAACCAGTAGTCCTCGTTTTGGGGTGGGGAATCCTTGCAGGGTTAGGCATCGAGAATAGTCGAGCCGGAGCTGGGTGGGATGCCGGGCCACTGGATTGACTCATGGAGCTCGAAGCACGGTTCGAAACATCCAATGACGGCCGATTCTCAGTGTGAGCGTGCTGGACGGAAATAGTACGAACGTGGGCTGCTGATAAATTGCGCAAGGTGGTGGGCTCGTAGGGAGAAGGGGAAGGTCCAATACAGCGGGGTTTGTATGGCGCAGGGCCAACTGTACGAGCGCCAGTTGACTGAAAGCCTTGTTGCTTAGAAATATTCGGATGGCTTGCATTCAACTCCTGAGTCGTAGTCTGGAATGGCACCGCATCAGGGTTAATTATGCTAGAGTTGGAAGCGACAGGGCCTACAGGTCCTGCAAATATCGAATCGTTAAGAGTCCGTGGCTTTTTTGTAGCCTCCTTTGGACGTGACACCATAGCAGGAACAACTTGAACAAACACATCAGAGGTGGTGCTCTTCTTCGGGATTTCAAGCGGACGAAGTGTCGGAACATGGACTACACGCTGTGGCTGGAGTGGTGCAACGAGTTTGTCCGAGACCTGAAGTGATTCGAATCGCGAAATGATGTCGGAACTCTCACTCCTGCTTGGTGAGAGGCCAGGCACACGTACCTTGTGCGCGCGTTTACCAGCAGATGGAGGTGAATTTGAACTAGACGAAGGCGGAGACGGTGACCGGTGTCTCTCAAAGGGAGTAAGATCGCGCCGGCCAGCTGGAGGAACTTCAGCAGCGTTAGCTCCCTGCTGCGATGTGGAAAGATACTCCACAAGCGCCACCAGATTACCCAGCCGGTTCTCTATATCCGAGTTCGCAGGTGCTGCAGGTGTTGGTGCATATGCCGTAGGGACTAACTGGAGCAGTTTAGTTTCAAGTATTCGTTCGACATCACGGGTAGTGGCCAAGTCCTGGGGCGAACGAATGTGTTTGCGGATGTCGCGAAGCTCTTCAATAATCTGCGGACCATAGGTTCCGAAACCGCCAAGCTCTTGACTCTGCTCATGGCAAGCGTGCGCTTCTGGGGCCGCATTTGTCGTTATTTTGGGGGCAATGACTTTGTCAATGCTCTTGACTGGCATTGAGTCTTTGACCTTCTCGGTAAACTGAAGACCTGCCAGTTCTGCAGTTCCTGGACTCTGGATAGCTACTGCCTCCAAAGTGTGAAGGGGCTTCGTTGCTGCATCGACAGGAGAATCATCCTCGCTAAGAAGGTCTTGAGACCGGGTTTCCTGCTTGGTTTCCCCCTTCTGGTTACCAGGAGCAACACACTGTTTGATTTGGTTGACATTGGCGACGGGTGTCCTCTTAGCCTCAGCCAGGGCCCTAGAATTTTCAGATGAGACTACTGCTTTGCTCAGAGGAGCCATGTCCTTTTTTCGTGGCTCCTCGCCAGGCGAAACCTTCCATTGAATGTTATCCGCGGCGATTGCGACTGCTGCTGGATAAGGAGCCTGGGAGCAAGTTGCCATAATTTCTCTCCATTCAGACTTAGCGATTTGTTGCACAGAAAAAGAATTCGACGCTGGTGGAGTGGTGCCTTCTACGGGAGAAGGTTTGTTATGTGAGTGAAAAGCCTTGGATGTATCAGGCCGGGCCTTGCGGGGCTGGAAAGAAGCGGTTTGATCAAGAGGAACACGAGTTGGTGGCGGTGTTTCTACTAAATAGGGTCCCATTTGCGGCTGGGAAATCTTGGTTGCAGTAGCAACAGTACAAGATGGCATCATCTTGTTCTTGGGTGTCCCACTTTGAGTTATTTTGATGTTTTGCTCGTTGGGCGCCATGGGCTTCTGCGTAGATAAAGTCTTTTGAATTGGTGCAGACATAATTGTGTCGCAAGACCTCTCGTATGATTCAGTCGCCCGGCGAGACTGAAACAAGGACATAAATTGTCCCGGTTCGGAGATTCTTGCAGCAAAGTTGACACTAGTCAAGAAGTTAGCATAGAAAACTTATTAAAAGAACTCCGACCAGTTACCTTGGAGGCGGCCGCTTGGGTCTGCTAGGGACAGACGGAACTAAGAACGTTATCAGGTGTGCTCTTTTTCTGCACTGGTCATCAAAACCTACCATGGACCTGCTCATGGCCGTTACTCTTGCTCTTGCCTTTTCCTCGCCCACGTCCCCTTCCTCGCTCGCGAGAGTCGCTGTCGTCGTTGTTGTTGTAGTTTAACGCAGGGTCCAGGTGAATGCTGGACGACATTGTGGTCGAGCGACCGCGTGGTCCTGGGCGTCCTGGGCGACCAAAATTTCCACGAAAGGCGGCTCTACAGTTTCTGTCTTGTCAATTGGGATGCTTCAATTGTCGGAGCAAACATCTTCTTACCTTGCAAAACTACCAGGAAGATCAGCAGGTCCCGTGTGGGGAGGAGTGATGTGACCGCCTCGTCCTCTCTTTCCCATGACACCACCACCGCGACCTGATGATGGAGTTGGGTAAGGGTTATTGGCGTAGGTTCGTGGCTGGCTTCCATTGGGATGAAACATGGCGTTCAACTTAGCTCGGTGGGACTGGCCGGAATCGATGTCATCGAGTTCCTCCATTCCAAGAGTATCTCCGATCTTAGTGTGCAAATCTGAAGTCAAACTAAGTTGGTGGAAAATCAGAGGGATTAAGGCTGTTTTTTTGTCAGCACTTACCAGTCCACTTGCTCAGTTGGGCTTCATCTCTCTGATCAACAAGTCTCTTTGATTCAATGTCAGCAAGCTGTGAGCGAGCCTGAGTCTTCATGTCGGCGGTGGAAATCATTTCACGTCGAGCTGTTCCTAGGTCCGCCTGTTAAAATTGTTAGTTAGATAGCTCCACGAAGAAGTAAGAGACTAGATATCACCATTTGAAGAATTTGCATCTTGCGGAGCTGCTCCGGGAATTCACTCATCTTGCCGGTGCGCTTCCGACGAGTGAGGGAGGAGTGAGGTTATGGTGTGGGAGACACTGTCTCCCGAAAAGATAAATATTGCAATTCAAAATACCCTCAAAAGAGATGGCTCTTTGACGAAAGAACAGCTGAAATCAGGCCTAAAAAAAGAAAAGTTGGGATACTTGGAACTCTGCAAAGCGAAAGAGACAGAGGTGGACACCAAGCCGAGCTGCCACCCAAAACAAGAACTTGTGAAAAGTCTGCAAGGTATCAAGCGAGAGTGTACGACATGAAAAAATCCCCGGGAAGAGAGAGTGGCTATAGAAGGAAGAAGGAGAGGATATAGGAAGAGGGTAAATTATGGAACAACCAGGACCAGTTGTGATCCAAGATATGGCACTTTTGTGAATGCACAAACAATTGGGTTTCTCTGTTTGGTAGGAACGAGCCTGTACTGTGTATTTTCGAGGTTGCGACTTGTCAGTCGCACCTTCCGTCGAGGTCCTTTTTGCCTCAAGGAGCCATTGTAGAGCACGTGAGCACGTCCATGATGGTGAAGCCCAATAGATATAAACCAGAGAGCTATTGATAACCACCGGGGAGTTTGGGGATGCAGAGAATGAGTGGAGTTGTAGATGATGAGAAACGGGGCCGACGGATTTCGAAAGCCGATTTGACAAAGCACAAGTGCCTAGTCGCTGGATCGGGGAGGGTTTTCTTCATTGTGCTTGATCTGAGATTTCAGAGTAGATATACAGACTACCTGGATAGGCACACATTAACTATGAAAGTACTTTGAGACTGCAATTCACTCCTACATAACGAACGACACCGATTTGTAATGAGATTATTATAGCGTATCAAATATAACAGATAGTTGTTCAAAGTGGATATATATGTACATAGCAACACAGCCCCAAGAGATTTCTCGGGCACACCGAGAGTGTAATCAGTCATTCTATGTGGAACGTTCCCAAAAGATTAGTCTAGGGTGCACTGCAACTATGAGCTTCGCCGTCATCTGCAAAGACAAATTCCAATGTGAGTGTCTGTGCTGAGGGTGCGAACAAATAGCCATTCAACTGGGCTCGGGGCAGACTTACTTCGAATAATCTTGATAACCGCCTGCACTAGACTAACAGCCATCACAAGCACCCCAAAGCAAATGCATATATATGCCGGGATCTTCTCTCGCCATGTAGCACTACTAAGTTTGATGTAACAGAGAGGAGGGAATATGTAGGCTAGAGCAGCAGCACTTGTCGCGCCAATGAGTTCAAAAACACTTCCCAGATCACAGGTTATCAACGACAACACCATCGAAGTCACCACCAGGGCGGTTGTGAAGATAACGTGCCGAACGGCGTTGTGCGGTTCGTTGGGGAAGTAGTAGGTTGTCATGACGGAACGACAGACGAATGCCTCAAGCGGTAGTGTAGTCAACATGTTTAAGCCAAAACAACTAGTCGTAGTCAGCCCAGAAACTCCACATCAAGATGGATAGGGAAATTGTACAATCGTGCAATGTTAACGACGATGTTGTCTGATGGGAAGTTGTTCAGAACGTTGCCCTGGGTTTTCGACCCGAAGGACAGGAACCCTGCGATGCCCATTGCTAGGCACATCACCAGAGATATTCCTGTCGAGTAATGTGTGACCCGGGTGAAGCGGTCGAGTGTCGGCTTTTTCAATGAGCCGTAGATCAGAAGACTGTTGTGGTCTGTCGAAATTAGCGACCGTGGTATCAGTAGGATGAGAAGGAACATACGACAAACAAAAGCTGAACAATGGTTAGTTACATGTTCCAGTTATTGAAAGGGATGGCTAAGAATTACCAAAAGAAATGACCCCGACAGCCTGGAAAAAACCAATGTTGAAAATGAGGTAGCTTTTAATCTCGCCACGCGATTCAGGCGGGACCTGAAAGCCCTGGGTGATGACCGTGACAACAATAACTACCATGCTGACCAATGCTAAGGCGGATGCTTTCGCCAGCTACCTGACCGTTAGCCTTTGACAAGCAGTGTAAAGAAGGATATCTGACCTTGGCGATGTCTCTATACAACGACAATGGATATGAAACAGCCAAAATGAAGAGAACGATAACGGCCCGGCGATCCGTGAGGAGCCACAGAAAAGGCATATCCCCAAGAAACGGAAATAAAGCGCCTAGAACGTGTGGAATGGTATCGCCAACAATAATACAGAATGCGACCATGCCGCCGAATGCAAATGCCCATTGCGCAACTGAGATCGCGATGAGCCCACTTTTCCCGAAGCAATGCTGCATAGTCGCCTGGAACGAATCCGCCCCACTCAGTTTAGAGTTGATCACAATCAATCGAATGGTCCAATCCACTGTGATGGTGAGAGCAGTCAATAACAAAATCCCCACTGTCATACCTGCTTGACGAAGCGCATAAGGTTGCCCAATTATTCCAGCCCCAATAATGCTGTTGGCCATATTCATGAATGCCATCTTCATTCCACTCCGCGGCCGCGCATCTTCGAGATGGTCTTCGGGGAAGAAATCGTCAGATGTCGCAAGTGTTACACTAGGTGCTTCAATATTTGTGAGAAGAGGAATTGATTGTCCACTGTGATGCATTCCTGGGCCCCCAATATCAAGTTCATAGTCCTCATTCTCCAACCACAGTGTGTCATCCTGACTGTCATCTGGGCTCAGAGCACGCTCAATGGAAATGCGACGGGCGTCTTCGGGCTCTTCCTGGAGGTCAAATCGAACTCGATTCATGGTGCGGGGTGTGCGGCGCTTTCCATCGGCCGTAGGTTGAGAGATTGCGGAGTGGCGTCTGCCATTTGTCCCGTCACTTGAGGGGATCGGCGACGGAAGAGGTTCTGGGTGGAAAGCTAGATCCTGCTCCTCACTTGAGGTAGACAGGAGTGATTGGGCTTCGTGTTCATCCTGGCCATTCTGGGCATACAGGTGATCCTTTGACAACTCATTCTCTGGCATTGCTGACCGTAGATAGTGGGAAGTGCAACGGTTGCTTTCAGGCCACCTGGATGAAGGCCACACGTGATAGCTTATCGATAAGAACATCTATGCCACGATAAGAGATAAGAACGGTTGCACGGGGTTCTCCACGGTACTCCACTCCATGCCCATGGATGGTCTGGCTGATGACAAAATAATGAGAAGTTGTGCACGGAAAAGTCGTTCTATACAATTTAAGCCGTTTTCTCTGCCTTATTGTAGCTACAGCACCATTGAGAGGGGACATATCTACCAAAAGGAGATCTGCTAACTAAGACTTGGAAAAGATTACTTAGTTAACTAACTATTTCAATCCAGAATTTAGTTCCTTTCATGGGAGCATGCCCCCGCTTCACACTGCGCTCTTTGCCAGCCATGAAAAGTATGTTGATATCATCAACAACCTTTTGAGTGTCTGGCTGGGTGTCTGTTAGAAAGATGTCGCAAATGAGAAGCTTCAAATTGTAGCCCCTCATCGCCGGCGCTTAGTTTCGGAGAATCGTTCTGGATTCATCATCCTGCCAGGTATGAAAAATATTAGCTTGAATAGATAGGCTGCAGCACCTTAGGAATAGGAGCAAGCTATTGGTATAACAATTCGAAATCGAATTTTGACCACCTACCTTTCACGGGCTGCACTTCGACATCGAACGGACACGCCCGATATCCAGCTACTATGACCGCTAGCAAATCTCGGAGTACATCGCGTATTGCAATCTTCTGTCGTTGATTCGTTTATTTTGAATGCTAGGGATGCGATTTTAATTGGGGATGGCTCGTAGGAAGGCACTTCGTTGGGTATTGAGGCGGATTTTGATAATTTCAAGGTGAACTAGATTACAATTGCAGAGAAAAGACTAAGGGAGGGTAATGTTTACCTCGGCAATATCAAGTTGGGCTTCTCAGTTGTATGTACTGGCCACTGTGACGTTGTATATTTCCAGAAACAAACATGCACATGGACCTACATCGTATCTCCTAGCCAGCCGGAGTGGCGAGACAATGATTGGACGAGAACAGAAAAAGGCTAGTAGCCGAAGAATTTTTGTTGATGCATTACAAGTTATTCTTTAATCTGGAGCAATTCAGCGCTGGGGTTACTTACCGATCCACATGGACTTCTCGCCATTCATCACCGAGAGGTTGTGGGGGAGGGGCCTAGAGTGTGGGTCGTGGCTCTAATAGGCTAGCTACGTGGATGTCAGGATATATACATATTTACATGTACATTCTACAAAATTAGAATGATCTTTTCATTCAAGACGGGAGTATGCGAATGGATTACAGATGCAATTCTGAGATGTTTTGCTGTTAAGCCGTGATCAGGGCTCGGCAATTCAAGCGAGACCTATAGCAAGAACCTCGTTTCAGCTCAGCCTATGCCACCAATTTAAAACACAAAATAATTTCAACTGTAAAAGTAGACTGGTCTTCAAGAATTAGGTGCACGTATTGGGAAGTCATGTGCTCCATGTACTGTACAGTAATAGCCATACCCAGTCTAGCGATTACAGACGTCCTTTCCTGCCTTGATCTCGCACCGACCCCCGAGTTGATCATTTAAACGATTGACTCGGATCTCAAAGAATAAGACCATACTTTGGCGATGAGCTTCCTCTGCAATGGCACAAAAGCTGGACCTCGGTCGTTCCACTTTGCGAATCCGAGACTCAAAGTTGCAGCTTCATCTGACTGCATCTGCCCATTTCACCCAACCACAAAGCCATGGAGCTCCCCAAATACCAATTGACTTCTCGCAATTGTCAGACCTTGAAAGTGTGTGGATAACAGAGGCACCAGAGCTGGAGCTGCGCTTGTTTGTCGGGGGAAATTGGGATCAAATTAAAGTAGCGTCACTCGTCTCGAAACTGAGCAGCAAACTCTGTGAAATGGAGGTGTGTGCGCAATAAAAATATCCAAACTAGAAACTGACCATTTCTTGCTCTAGATCTGGTCGGATCTAGGATTCGCAGTTGAGCTCAAGAAAGACGGACATGAAGATCGCGTTGACACTTCGGGTTTCCACTGCCTCAAATTTGCTCTGCATAGAGATTGTCGAGTACGGATCAACACAACGGGCTATACTCTGCCCAACTCGATGACCAAACCCCCAGACGCGTGCCCTCCCTCCGGTGTACCGGTAGCTAACTTGACGTCAATTGGTATTCAAGTAGAATTTGTATTCCGGACCAAGGACACACCACGAGCCCAAGACTTTTCGAAGTTGGAGGCTGGTATTCTTTGGCAAGAAGAACTGGCTGTACCCGCTTCTCAACTGCTAGAAAGAATAGCAGAAGTCACAATCCCACAGCCAATGTCCGACGAGGGTTCCTATAAAGCTCTTGAATCACAGACTGCTTGCATATCGGGAGATGGATCAGACTCATCATGCGAAGAGCTCTTCCGTTTGTTTTACCTAGGACTTCAAAGACTGGTAATTTCCAACTCGATCAAAGATCCCCATGTTCGCATCTCACAACAGGACACGATCAAGAGCTTCGCAGATGTATCTCCCGCGGTGTTCAATCCTGGATACCGGGATGTGAGTTGTTGGTCTCAGTATTGCAAATGAAAAACTAACTTGACCTAGGCGATCAACCAGCGAGCAGTGACAATTCAAATAATCGCGAAATCTGTGTCGTCAATGTTAGCGGGGAATAAGAATCCATCGACCAATGCCGAATTAGCAGATTTGTTAGAGCTCACTCGCTCTCATCACACAAGTCATTTGACGATACACGCTCAACTACCAAGTTGCAGGACCGCAATCCTCTCATCACTTTGGCATGTCCTCCAGAAAAATGTGCCCAAGACAAAACCCATCAAAAAACGAGCATCGATGTTCTCGACAGAGCGTATATCAAACGCACTCAGTGGATCGGACGAGCCCGTGCGTCTCTTTTCTACGGATCTACAGCGATCTAATTATGGAAACCTGGGACTGCGTCGTTCCTTCCAAACAGAAAATCATGACGACAGCGAAGAAAGTGACGTGTGTCTATTGAATAGCGAATCCGAGGACCAGCTTTTGGATAATTTCAGCGAGGCAAGCTTCACAGACATCGGGGAATCGACTCAAACATCCCTTGATACGTTGTTCTCAACAATTGGGTCATCTCAGACTTCATACGGTGATCATGATCATATGCTTCTCTCGGGCCATGATGAAATAGTGGATTATACAGGGAATTATGTGACTGAGCATTATGCTGAAGAAGATATGGAGGCATATGGTACGGACATTATCATGGCTGATGACATTTAGATTATTTTTTCATGATACTTTTGCTAAGATGTGTAATTAAACATCAATTAATATAACACTTAATTAATAGATCAAGTGGTAAGAATAAATACTAGATTTTTACTAGTGACGCCACCAGCGTAACCAACAGCGAATTGGCACACAAGTACTCTTCAGGGGAGAAATCCTTACTAGACGCCATGGATGGTTCTCGACATAAGAAGCTTCTCCGTGACGAGTTTGGTGTCCTTATTAGATGCATTGTCTGCCTCGTAGACCTTGTTTGTTTTTATTCCGCAAAGATGGACGTTGATGGAACTTGCTTGGGTGTATTTAAGTTCGGCCCTATTGTAGAGGGTATCCACAAGCTTGCTATAGATTTTTGTTAGACAAAGAATAGACAGTTGGAAGAAAAGTCTGAACAGTTTAGTTCGTATTTAGATCGAGATCTGAGGAGGCTGATCTGAAAATTCCAGGGATAATATCTCCGAAGTTGTTGACGCATGATAGGTTAGACATTGCGAACTATGGAATAGATAGTCGTCAAAAAAGGTTATTGATGAGTGTTTAGCTGAGACCGTTAGCTCATTGATGAAACAGGTCTGTCGCAGTGTGTGGATGAAGTACAGAAGAGGAATAGGAAGAATGCTCGGGCAAATAGAGGGCTTCAGACCGTTACAGAAACCTGGCACAAGCAGATACTGTGCATTCACCTTATATGCGTTGTCCCAGACGAGAGATCCGATTTCCTTCTTGCATCCGTGATATAGCATGATTGATTTCGCGTCCTTCAACTCGATACCACATTCGTCGATGCTTGGGAATGAAGGCCGGCAGTAGCCCAGCATAACCTCTCTGAACTTGTTTGAACGTGTGAAATCCGCTGTTTGTTGTAGTGGTGTGATTCAAGTTTATCGGCGAAGATTCCAATTGGACATGCTATTTTCTCTCCTGAAAGCCCTCAATGCCGACGGCCAGCCTCCAGTAGACGAAGAAGGTCACATGATTGAAAGAACAGGCTGGGTATAAGAGAGTCTTTGCACTGTCGACAGCAGACTGGATAAAATTCCTTAACTGGCCATGATAGCCTTCCTCAAGTTTATAGGCACCGCTTGGTTATCACTGGGATGACTCAAACAGTATGTAAACACTTCTATAATCTCAGCAGACGTTGTGGGAGATTTAGAGTCAAGTGTGGCGTCGAAACGGATCCTCTACTACATGCGGGGTTTTTAAACCTCCACGACAACCAGTATGGCTGACACTTTAAGATCAGTGTGAGATATTTTGTGACCGCATACCACGCAGTATTCATGCATTATTCTCATTATCGACCTGCGGCGATATCAAAAATCAAGGTGACTCGTCCAAACCAAACATTCTAATAGAGTTGTTCCAAGCACTAGAGAGAAAAATGAGTTAGCATGGAGCCGAGAATCAGGATGAATCAACATCGTACGCTTCGCAAACTTCCTCTACAGTGATACCCTTGACGCTAGCAATAACATGAGCAACATGAGCGATGGTGGCTGGCTCATTCCGGCCCTTCACCATACACCCCTTCTGCCATTTCTCCTTCTTCACAGCTTTCGGCAGATCCGGTGCACCGCCTAGGTGCTTTGCAGATGCATGAGAGGGACGGATTTCACACTAGGAGATGGAGTTAACCACGAAGATCCGATCAGTACCCACAGCAAAGCACATACCCATGGCCCATCAGTTTCAATTTGGAGTCGGTCAAGTGGAATAGCTTTGACAACCTCCAGGTTTTCTTCGGTCTTCATACTGCACCCGTTGACACCGACGTCAAGGCCGAGCGCAACCATCCGGTTCATTTCATCCATTGTCCCCGTAAAGCTGTGCACAAGTCCCCGTTTAGGAAGCTTGGCAAGCCTTGGGGCAAGGAGTCTCTCAAAGTCCTCGCTTGCAGCTCTGGAGTGGAGGAATAAAGGGAGCTGAATCTCAACAGCCAGGTCTAGTTGGGCCTCAAAGTATTTGAGCTGTGGCTCCTTGGGGCTCATGAACAGTCGGTCATAATCAAGGCCGATTTCACCGAATGCGACAGCGTGGCCGGATTGTGTGGATTCAATTGCTAGAGCCCGAAGCTCCTCCAACATTTTTGAGGGACCCTCTGGGTATTCGTCAAAGAGTTTGGCTTGGCATGGATGCACACCAACGGTTGCATAACAAAAGTCCGCTGCAGATGGCAGTTGTTAATAAGAAAAAAGGGAAAGTCTTGACAAGGCTGCAACCTACGGTATTTGCTGGCGATATGGACAGCGCGCTTCGATTCTACCAGATCTGAGCCGGTAATCATGAACTTTGAGCAGCCTATACTGCGAGCACGCTGGATGACGTCGTCAAGATCGTCTTCATGGGCCTGCTTTCCGCGATATTGACCACGGAAAACGGGATCGCTCAAGTTGATACCAATCTAGCGTTTCGCAGTCAGCAATGAGAGTTGCCTAGCCTTTCGAAGGTGACGCTCTTAATTAAAGGGGACCCACATCAACATATCGGAGAGGTTTAGATTCAGCCATATCTAATGTGGTCTGTTGCGTTCCAGTTGTGGAGAATCTTCTGAGATTTGCAGCAGATTTGGAATTTACAGAAGAGAGACTTGCCAAGCTGGGACTCTTATGAAAACCTACCGAATGAGTCAGCTTAGGCTTTCCAAAAACCAGCCAGTCTTTGCGTTATTGAGCTAGCTGACATGCTCGACTTTGGACGCGAAACAGACCTAACGAGACGGGTCTGTCTATGCTTGTCGACCTCACACTAGAGATGATATTGCGGCGGGAAATTTTCAAAGCACAATTAAAGGTAGGGTTGGTTTGCATTAGAAGAATATCCTTGCTATTTGTGATGATGAAATGCTGCCTCTGTTGAGCACAAATGTGTGTTGACTCACGGTCGGAAAATGTTCAGCCACACCAAGGCTGAGAATTTTAACTAGTTCACGTAATTCCCAAGCGAGCTGGACACCCCACTCAAAGGGTGTGGCTGGTTGTCATGGCTTTCAAGCTTGTACGTGGTGTCTTCCGTGGTGCTTTCACTGGTATCCGATGGGTCTTGTGGCTGTGATTATAGGGAGCATATGGAGATTTCTTCATTGTTCTTCCGTGCAATTTTGGGGGGGCTTTTCGTTTTTTACGATGTTGGTTTTAACCCCATCGCCCCTGTTGGCGTGCTATGTTACCCCCCCCCCCCCACGTGACCTTGCTTATGCCCGCTGTCTTCTGTTCTTATCCACCCTGTATTATTTAATGGAGCGTTGCACCTCTTTCAAACTATTCCCACAACATTTTGTCTTTATCTTTTGTACATAATTCAGCTATCTCTTCTCCGTTCCAATACGTAGGTGTTACGCACTGCCTAACGGATTTGTGAGTGTGTGTGATCAAAGCTTGTTTGCCATGTATGAAGATCTAAGTGCACTCGGTTTCTCCATTCTTGCCCCCGGATAGGCGAACGGAATGCCAGTAAACAAAGGCATAATACCCTCGCAACGGAGGACTTCCATAGCTGAGAAGTAAGTCTACCTTCTGGGGTTATTTCGCTGTGAGGATCACAGAAAAGTAGTAGAACGAGCTAGGCTGGTCACGCGGAACACGGAGGAGAACGCGTGTAAGCCCATTTGTTAGATATGAATATTCGAGTCTTTCCTGGATCATCACATGGTATTCTTGAACAATGGCGGAGCAGACAAGTCGCGTTGCACTATACTTCAGCTTCTCTTCCTGGTCGGTAGGTACTTTATTGGATCGAACTACATCTTTCCAAAGATCCATTGGTCGAAGTCCCATTCGAAAAGTTGCACTAGGCAGCTTATGAGGCGGCTTATACTCGACAGTCGTTAGAATGGTGGTCGAGGTACCATCGATACGACTTATGCAGAACTGGTCAGGTCGTGGTTGACGTATGCTAGGTAGTTCGTTTGCCTCATCTTCTGACTCATCTTCCATAGGTTTATTCTCGCTCATGGAATTTTTATGATTGCTGAAGTGGATTCCATCTCTGAGCGCGAACTCCTCACGAGCAGCTGGCAGTTTGCAAAGCTCAGATATAATATCGTGGACATGTTCTTCAACGCCAAATCGCTCGTAGGCCTCAAGTTGTTTCTCGCTGCTTAGTGGGTCATGAGCAAATCGACGGCCAAAACCTTCTAATTCAGCCATAGACGAAAATAGACGTAACTCCTGTCCTCGCTCCGGGTGAAGATATTGGTAGACGGACTTAAAGACCTCTGAGAGCTGTTTTGGACAGTCGGTCCAATGTTCCAATCGAGTGGGGCAGTGGGGCAGTGGGGCAGTATTTTCCTTTGGGAAGAGATATTTTTCCAGTTGTTGAGCTGGATGGTGAATCAACTTTCAGCGATCGGGAGAGAAGGACATGGCAGTGCTGAATGAGCTCAGTAAGAGTGGTCTGTCGGGTGCGCTCATCTGCCTTAAGGTAAAGATCTTTGTAATTTGGAGAGCTGTGGTCGGCCATCGTTTTGTTGGAAAGGGCAAGTCAAGCCTAGACGCAAGTGTGTGAGAACACTGCTAACGATCAGGTCTGATCAGCGTTCTGCCAGCAGATCCCGGCTCTCGGAAAAATCGTTTCTTCCGGAAAATTACTCTGGCCTCACATTTCAGGTATCCGGACCAAACTAAAGCGGTTAACGTAATTCCCAAGCGAGCTGGCCACCCCAACCAAAACACGTCTATGAATAAGATC